AGCTCACAATGCAGACACACAACCGTAGCTGACAAAACCAAACGTCCACACCATTGACATTTCAACAATTTATTGACAAAAAGTACAACCACCATACAGTTTGATCATCCTCAAAGCGCCCGGTTTGTTTACGTGTTGCTCGGCGCGTCCACTGGCGTCACAGGAGTATGTGGCGCAGCTACTGACGCAGCGACGTTCAGAAAATTTCAGTTAGTGTCCGAAATCTCGTTCAGTCGTTCCCCATGTAGTGCACTATATAGTAAACACGAAATAGGGAATAGTGAGTGAGAGTGAGTGGACGGTTTTGAACACAGCTAGTGCTGACAGAGCTAACAGTGTGAAGCAGGAAGTAAATAACCCTAACCAGAAGTGAATGTGCCTTTTGTAGGATAGTGAAGCAGCAGCCTTCGGGGCTGAAAAATGAAGCCAACATGGAAGTGCCAAAAACTGCTGTTTATTGAATGGCTGCTTGAGGCTGGCTACGGAAGGTGTACGGAGTAGCAGGTGGTACCATTCATGGTAGCCTTGGCCACCTATGTGTAAATGTGTGTGAATGGGTGAATGTGACTCGTATTGTAAAAGGGCACAGTGCACAATGGTGGTGATGAGCTAGCCAGTGGGATACACACATGCACTGGCAGGCATGGGCAGCCGGACCATCTTACTACAACAAATCACAGAGAAGCTCAGATTACGACACAGACAGAGGGAATGGGACTTTATTCCAGACCCCAAGGAGGTGCGCCAGGCTTTAAAGACAATTTTTGTAGTGGCCAAAAAGTGATACTGCACTTTGAGGGTCCATCATGTGATGTGACTTGGTCCCAAAAGTATCTTTTCCCTTAGACTATTGGAAAGAGAAGTCTGTAAACCAGTGGATTCATTTTTTTGAGCATCAAATCCCCTGTGAAATGTCTCAATTTAAAATCAGGATTTGATCCATTTGGTCTGATAACTTTTGAAAAGTCTAGAAGAGCCACAAGATTAAGTTACTTATCCCCATTCAAGTTAGCAGAGCACTAAACCCAAAGTCAGATGCCCGGCCAGCAGAAGTTAGCCACTTGGCTGCTATATTAATGCCCTGAATGTCCCATATAAGACCTTAAAATATCTGTGGGATGACTCTTTCATTTTAAGACTTTTTTAACCCCTTAATAAAAAAAGTCATTATCAGATTTGAAGGAATGAACAGAAACTGTATTTTAACTAGTGCTGTTAGCATTCTGTATGTGTTTCTGAAGCATAGCACCAGGCATCCCAGGATAGATTTTATTCTAAATACATATATATTGAACATAACTTTTCCTGAATGAGCAGGCAGCTCATCAGACTCTGGTTTTATTGGTGAAGATATGAGAGGGGGGTGTCAGTGACAGAGTGGTCTGGCTCTCAGCAGCCATATTTGGTCACATAGCAATCTGATCCTGTGCAGACTGTATTCCTTATAAATGCTCTGTCCACTGACTCTCACAGTTCTTCTCTGCATTGCTGTCATCTCTATGTGTGTCAGTGTCTCAGACATGTTATTCTGCACAAGCAACAAACTGACGCGTTCAAGCATTTGAAAAGGCTAAGCCTCCTCATAGCTTACTGCTAAGCATCTGGTGTGTTCACTGTGGAACATGGAGCTTGTTAAAGCCAGAAATGTGTTCCTGCATGTGGAAAGAGTTCCATTTGGATTTTCCCAATGCCACGCTCTACACTGCAGCTACAGAGTTTGTCTGTTGAAACAGCCTTAAGGTTTTCAAGACTTATTTTGATACCACTTTCTACAGTTAGAAATGTTAATATTGCTTTCATTAAGGGTTTTTAATATTAAACATCCAGTTATAAATGTTAATAAGTCATTGATACATAGATTGTAGTTCAATCCAAGTAGTCATTAGGTCCAAACCAGTCTATGGCAATGTTAACTGGCAACCCAGTAGTTGTTCGCATGCTTATAACTGATCAATTCATTAATTAGTACATGTTGTAAGAATTATTAATCATACAACATGTATGATCATATTGATACACTGATTAGTTGACCCAGTGTTATGCTGAGAGGAGAACAGAGCTGACCTTGATGTTGATCTGTAACTTCCCTGTGCTCATTTTGTGTGAATTGATGTTGTGAAGCAGTTGAGGAGGTGAAATGATGCATTTAACCTAAAATATCTAAAAGTTCATCGTTTGGAATCACTTCCAGTTGCTTAGACATGTGGGAGAGGATAATGTCACTCTTGAAAAAAGTTATGACACAACTTTGTCGATCTTTTTTTTTAAAAGTACACTAGTTTACATTACATTATTAAAAAGTTACTACGTACAATCCTTTATCAAAAGCACCTTACTATGAATTGGCATCTAACTTGTGCACAACTTGTTCAAACTCTACAATAGCAGTACAACAAGCAAGCTGAGAGCCTCAGACCCAAGACAGCACATGGAAACAATACTCATGTGTCTGCTGGAGTGAACCAGTGCTCTGTGGTACATCCTGTACTAGTGTGAGTTTTTTATGTAGAGACCAAAGCTTTGGGTAGGATTCCAGCCAGCTTGTGTGAGTTCACTGACAATCGAGGCTGATAACAATCTTTTATTAAAATCATATATCAGCCAGTCACTGTCATGTACTGCCGATAAGACGGAGACCATTGTTTTTATTATCTGTATTTGTTATCAGTCATTTCAGATGGATGAGCAGTGAATATTTCCACTCTTGTGTGGGAGGATTTGATTTTGATTTACTTTAATGGAATGTGCCCTGCCTTAAAGACATAACAGCCAAATGGATTTTATCCTCCTTGGTTGTTTTCAACCTGACAAGAATGAGATTGATATCACTGACTGTGTACTTTAGTCCTGATGTCATCAGGTCAACATTTTCATTTGTCCAGTACCTTGGTTTACTGTCAAATACCTGCAACACTAATGACATCAGCCTCAGCTGTACTTAGTATTTAGTGCTATTAAGGAAATTTTAGCATGCTAACATGCTAAACTAGAAGGATGAACATGGTATAAACTTCCATTAACATGTTTGACTGCTAAGGATCAAAAACAAACTTTCAACCTCAACTTTTATCCATATTACATTTCGGTTTTCTTTAAAATGAAGCTTCCAGCCAAAAAGAACCACGTCTAAAGGCAAAAACAGGGATTCAAATATACAAATGGGGATAACTATGTGCAACCCAGTTGCCAGGAAAAATACTGGCATTGTAAGTTTCTGCAAATGGCATATAACTTACATTTATGCAGCTGTGGTACAGGAGGTAGAGCGGATTGTCCACTAATCGGAAGAATGGCAGCTAAATTCCTGGCTCCTCCAGTCCACATGTCGAAGTATTCTCGAGCAAAATATGGAACCCCAGATTGTTCCCGATGGCTGTTACATCCACGTGTTAGTGTGTTAAAGAAAAAAACTGAGTAGCAGGTGGCACCTTGTATGGTAGCCTTGGCTATGTTGAAATGATATGTATAAAAAGTAGGAATTTAATGTATACGTGCTTTGCAGGAAAGTACAGTGTCAACATTTTTTTCTGGCAACTGGGCTACTGTGCATGCACAGGCAGTCTCTTCTCAAAGGTCCTCATGGTTTCCCACTTGGTTATACACATAAAAAACAGACAGAAATTATTGTGTTTAAACTCTGCCCTCTTTCTCACCTACACACACACACACCAAACACATTACCGCAGAGAGTAGGTGTCATTGTTGGTTTTAAGTAAAGAAAATAAGGTGGGAAGGGGAAAGGTTTTTAGACCAACTTCCTGCTTCATGTTACACACCGACCTACTGTACTGTGTCCCAGATCTCAGCAAGTAAATTAAGTTGCAATAAGTTGAAATCTATTTAATGTGTTGTTCATGTAGCATGGCTTCTGCCATTGCTACCACCAGGCCCTCAGGAACGCTGTTCAGCCTTGCAGCCAAATTTTCAATCAAGATATTGCAGCAAAAAGAAATCCTTAGAAGCTGGAATAAATTTGCCAGTAGACCACTATTATAGAAGAAACTTCTGTAAAACTGTTGATAGGACACTTCCAACTGCAAACAAGGTCAATTCTGACTCTTTCTATTGTGATATTTTTGATCCATGGTGGTTTTATAGTTGTACAACATTCCTCAAACCAAGAATTGTGATTTAAAAATCTGTGATGTCAGCAAAATTTAAAATCTATGAGCCGTGAAGGAAAAAAGGCCTTGAGAGAATTCCCTCAAATTTTGCAATAACGTCCACTAGAACTCATTAAAATTTAGTAGTCAAAGGTCAAAGGTCAAGGTCACTGTGACCTTGTCTGTCTTATTCTTGTGAAGGTGATATATCACAGAGAATTTCCTCAAATTTGGCACAAACGTAAATTTGGACTCAAGAATGAAATGATTAGAATTTGGTTGTCAAAGGTCACTGTAACCTCACAAGAAATGTTTTTGGCCATAACTTTGGCCATTGTAGTTCATATTTATTGATGTTCACTAGTTTATGATATTAATTTATGGATCAAAAGCAAGTCCTGATTTGTTACTTTCTGACCATTAACCAGCGTTACATTGAGAAGAGAACAGAGTTGTCCTTTAGAAAGTTACCTCCAAAACTCAAATTAGTTAAATACAGAAAGTTGTGTGGTATGTTTAATGGACAGGTATGTGAGGGACGCCACTGTCCTGATCTTGCTCACTGTCCTGCTCAAGAGACAGTGTTTCAACTTGAGAATCATAGAATAGAATAGAATATCGTTTATTTGTCACTGTCACATGTACAACAAAAATTAAAGTGCCATCTTGTCAGTGCATCAACTCATAAAACTATATCATATAAAACCATAAGCACGGTAACTCCTTGGTTTTTGGGGTGTTAAGGAGCAGGTTATTCATCTTCCTCTATTCACCCTGATAATATTCAACAGAAAACATGTAATACTTGGGCATTTTCTGTGTGATGATATATTTAACCATACTTATTAAACCCAATATCTAACCATCACTCTCTTCCTGCTTGTCCTCTGTTCTCAGGGTGGAGTTCCAAAACAAGTTCTACTCTGGCCAGGGCTTCAAGTTTGTCCCCTTCTCATTTGAGAGCATCTTAGAGGGACGATTTGACGAGTGATCAGCTCCTCCAGCAGAGTCCCCACCCTTCCCTCTTCTCTTCTGTGTTTGTGTGCATGAGCCCAAGTGCAGCCCTCTGTCACCCTCTAGTGGTCATTTGTGGAACTTGTACTGTGTAATGAACGATAATGTGGTCCTTGTGAAGGGTTTTTCCAGTGCATATGTGCCAAGCTGTACCCATACTGGAGCTTCTATTGCTGTGGCACAGTACCATCACTGTACTCAGCACTCAGCACGTTCACCACTGCTCTAACAACATCTCCTCTGCCAGCTTTCCTCCTAAGATACCCATTACCAAACACACTCGGCGGGGTCTGTGTTCTTGTAGACGAAATTGGCTTAAAGGCAGTAGTGGACAAGTCGCCATTACAGCAGTGGCACAGCACTCATATATACACCCATAACATTGTAATGTATGCAAAGTGCTGTTTTCCAAGAAATCTGTCCTGTAATACCTGTTAGGTTTTGAAAGTATAGTCACATTAAGGTTCTAATCTACAAAATGTAAACTTTTCAACAAAATTCAGCCCAGTTTTAACAGACAGCTAGATACCTTATCTGTTCTTTGCTGTTATCAGCTGCTCCAACAACAAAGTGACACTTAAAATAGAAAGTGTAATTTTACTTTTCTAAAAATCAATTTTCATTAAACCCCCTCATGTTTAGATCACATTCTGAGCAGCTTGCCATGAAAAGACTGGGTGATCTGCCTACACTGGGCCATTGGTAAGCCACCAACCTACTGAGTTCTTAGTATGGCACAGTTTTTGTCTGGATGAAAAATTCCCCTTTAACAGTATCTTGTACTGTTAAGTTATGCATTTCTTATAATTCCAATGTAAGAAATCATGGAGTTTAATTATTTAAACCAGAGCTAGCCAGTACTGCTGCTGGGTTAATGAGTTTGTCCACATAGCACTCTCACATCCAGACTGTGGAGGTTGGACAGAAGCACTACATTCATGTTATTTTTTCCCTAAATTCTGACTCACAACCCATGTCAGACTAGTGCTTTGTGACTGTATGACATCCAGATTCACACAGACTAACTCCATCTGTCAGAGGTAACACATAAATAAACTTTGGTTTTTGGTGTTATGTCCTCTCCTGACAAACTGCACTTTCCAATTTGCTGGAGGAGGGCTGAGAAGTCTTGTCTGAGTGGTTCAGTGGTGTCAGGTCAGACAAACTGAACCAATCCAAATTCGAAATAAACTACACCAAACCTGTGTCCTGTGAAGGCACATTATGTATATGCACAGCTTGGAACAGTAAGGCAGTGGAAAAACCTTTGAAGAGTCATCCTGCTCATGAAAATGACTGTACGATCAGCTGTGGACCATTGTAGAAATCCCAGTGTTTACTCAAAGCTTGAAGTTTTATTGCACCTCTGTTGTTCCATCCAAAAGAATTGACAAATCATCAGACAGTGCAGGGAATAACACAAGACAGAAGATCTGTTCTACAGTACATTTGTGTGCAGTAAGGATACATTTCATAGGTAAATACAGTATTAAATGCCCAATCGTGGTAACTGCTGAAATCTCAGATTGTGGTGTTATTGCTACAAAGGGGTCTCACAAACAGTCAGGTGAAACATATTTGGAAGAGAAAATGAAGGCAAACTGTAATTGTGATTAAAGCTTATAGACCAACTTTCTGCCTCAAGTTTGACTGTACAGAGTCTCAGATCTCAGCAGTTACTAAAATTAAGACTCAAGCTGCAATAAGAATAATATTATAATACTTATGCCACAACTACCACTTACAATGGGTTGTAAAGTGTAGTTTCTGTCATGAAGTGGCGTAATGGAGAGTTGGGCCATGATTTAACAGCTGGCAAGATTTGTAATATGACTAGCTGTGACAAAGCAATATGACGCCTCTTAGTATTTGTTTAGTTAGTCCAGAAATCACATTGTTCATTCTAAACTCCAGTTTATAAAATATATATAATACTAAATAGAATATAGTATGGATCATATTGATACACTGATTAGTTGACCCAGTGTTATGCTGAGAGGAGAACAGAGCTGACCTTGATGTTGATCTGTAACTTCCCTGTGCTCATTTTGTGTGAATTGATGTTGTGAAGCAGTTGAGGAGGTGAAATGATGCGTTTAGCCTAAAATATCTAAAAGTTCATTGTTTGAAATCACTTCCAGTTGCTTAGACATGTGGGAGAGGATGATATCACTCTGGAAAAAAATATGACATTGTCCATCTTTGTTTTTTGTTTTTTGTTTTTTTTTAAAGTACACTAGTTTACATATCGTAGCTTTAATTTTATTTTGTTGTGCAACATTGTTCAACAAATGACTTGAGTTAAATAAGATAAAGACTTAAAAATGTCCTGTACTGCAATGAAACACCTCTCTTCTGTTCAAACTTAAGCACAGTTTGAATTCACAATAGCAATCATGTTGGTTTGATAATCAAAGTTATTGATACCGTATTTGATTTTCATTATTTTTATGATGTTGTTGGTGTTTACACGAAAGGTTTTGGTTAATTTGTATTCCCATTCTTATGCCAAAAGTCTGAAGAAGAAAAGAGGCTCAAAACAACACGTGCAACTGATGTAGGTCAGTGACTGGTGATATGGAAGCTAATGTGTCTTTGATCAATAATAAACAGAGACCAGGGGATTCATTATGTGTCCTGTTGTTTTTTTTTAAAGCATTTAAATCAGGGGTGTCAAACATAAGGCCTGCGGGCTAGGACCAGCCCTCCAAAGGGTCTGATCTGGCCCCGTGGTTGACTTTGCAAAGATAATATTGGTGCACTTATGAAGATCTTAGCCCCCGATCACACAGAAGGTGTTTTAGCAGCTGGAGTCAGCTTTTTGTAATTGTTTTTAATGAGAATGAAGCTTTTTGCTCGATGTTTTTGCTTTGCTACATGCCTCGCGTTTTTACGCTCCAGGCCCCTAGCGTTTTTGCCAGAGCACCCTGAACTTCTCGAGTTGAAAAATATTCAACCCAGAGCCGCTGGGTCGATGTCATCTTCATGTTTTTTCCCAGTTGTTCAGTGGGATGACTTGAGAGGCGGGCCTTCTAGTTGCTGACAGACTCTCACCCTCAACCAGAGCTAGAGCAAGTACCTTCTGCCTGTCCATTTTAGGAACTACATACCAATACTGTGAAATACTGTGTAAGGCTGCTTTTTCAACAGCTTCCACTTTAGTCTGGTGCGGTGATGCCAGAATTACTACACAGCAGTGGAAATGCATGGAGAAATGCACATGTAATGACAGTGAGTAGTAGACTGACTCTCAGGCTGTTCATCATCTGCTCTGTAAATGGATAAATATTTTCAGGATATACATCTTTACACTAAAAGAAAGGGAAACATTTGGAGGTGTTGTTATTTATAGGTTGTTATACAATAGTTTTACTGGGCTGGACCACTTGAGATCACTTGACCTTGGGGCACCTGAAAGCCACAGGTCCACTGTATGGCAATGCATTTGTATTACACTGATTAATGACAGCAGTGTTGGGTAATGTGCAGCTCCAGGGTCATAACCAGAAGTTTATAACACAGAGGTCAATTTTTTCTAAAGACACCCCAATCCCCACAGAGCCCTGTGAAAAATGTCTCTAAAATGTTTTTTTTTTTTTCCAGGCTTAATTAATTATTTTTTATTTATTATTCATTTATTAAAACCTCTTTATGTTCCAAAGTTCTGGTCTGTGAAAGTGTTGTCCTCACTGAATTGCATTGTTGCAGGCAAAATTATTGAATTACTATATTTTTTCATATCTTTTATATCTCTGTCTCAAAAACTCAGGCACATGGGATTTTTTTTTCAGTAACAAATGCAAAATATTATATGAATGTAGGTGAAGTTAAAACTTCTAAGAAATCCAATTTCATACTCAAATGAATATATTTGAGGACTGGACAATAGGCCTATATATATTATAATATGTATTTTATCACATTTCATTTGTTTTGTACTGCATGTGTAGTATTTCTGATAATGACATGTTGCGAGTTCGACTCCGGCTTGTAACCCCTGACAGAGTGAAGCAGCTTTTAACATTGCTGGTGAAGCAGTACATCATCACTGACGGCAGAGGGCGCTGAGCTGCAGCTGAAAGGAGTCAACTTCCGAAACAAACAATCACAGAATGGAGCAGCGACAGAGAGCTGCGTCAAGTTCACGAGATTTAGCTCAACCAATACCAGAAATTCACGTTTTTAATAATAAAAGTATTACATTTTAACAATTTCAATGAGTCGAGCATTTTAACCGTGAATATTCCAAGTTGTCTGACATTTAATCTGTCACCAATTTCATAATGTTATCAGTTTTGCAGAGGCCTAAATGTATGTTTTTAGAATATAAAAGTACAAAAAGAGGTTAATGTTAGTGTGAGGGCCTCCACCATAAACTAGTTTTTGGAATTATAGAATTTACCCTTTGATGGTTCAAAGTTAAAAGTTGCAGATGAAATCCTGGAGCTAAAAAAAACAAAAACAAAAAAAACCAACCCTTGTTTTTTCCACTCTTGTCATGCATGCTGGTTAGTTCATGCAAGGGGTTTATTTTTGGCCAAATTATAAATAAGACATAGAACAAAGTGTTTTTGATGAAATATCACTATTTTAAGTTCAGATTATGTTATGTGTTTTTGTTTTTTTGTTTGGGGTTTTTTTCTGATGGAATAGTTTGTTGCTGATTATGTGTCCAAGGACTGTCAGAAATTTAAAAATCTAATGTTAATTTCTGATTTTACAGCTTCTGGCTGTGATAAATGGTGTTATTTTGGTGATTTTTAAAGAAAAAATGCGATTTGGAAGGCATGATTTCTTTAAAAAATCGGCAGTAAAATAAATACAAAATACAACCTTTGACATTTGTATGCCCCTCCCCTAAGCCAAAATAATAACAAAAAAAGACATTCAGCAGTGCTTTAAATTTATTTGACTTGCCTCCCACTTTCTGCATCACCCCTTCCATTGTATAAGTAACAAACAATTCCTTATGCAATTACAATTCTGAAACATAAGTAACAATTAAATTACATGTTCTTACAGGTATATATTAGGACAGTTTTTCGTTCTTGGTCTTTTTTAAAGTTACAACACAGATGTCCTTGTTGCTTTACATAAATTGCTTTAACTTTGCTTTTATTTTGAAAGGTTTGACCGGAACATCGAGGTTGTTATCGTAGCTAGCTTGGCGCTACTGTCCGACATGAGTTCAGTGGTCTGTGGAATGTTTGGTTAAGTAGAAGTGCACGGGCTGGGAATGAAAGTAACCTTGTAGTGGTAAAAGTGCTTTAAATAAGTTCCTGAACGCTAAATAAGATCGATGATCTGATCGGAAGGAGCAGAGGAGGATCTACGGAAACTGTTGGAACATTAAATTTAAAGTCACGTCGGAACAAAAAGGAAGACAACGGGCGAGCAGTGAATCCGGTGGCATTTATCATTCAACCCCATCGGAACTGGTTTCCCTGTAAGCTGACGTTAGTTGTGGTAAGATCTATATGGTTCCGTCCTCGCCTTCCTTGGAACAAAGACGCCAAATGTGTCCTCTGATGTTTCATGGTAAGTGCTGCGGCGAAGTCCCATCGCCACTCTTTCCAAAGCCAAACTCCATTTGGAAATCTTTGTATTCAGAGAGCGCTGCTTACAGACTGACTTTAGATTGGTATTGAAAATATGGTACTCTTCACAACATCGCAGATTTATTTATGCAATCAGCATAGCTTATATTTTAATTAAAAATGTTGGAAACGGCGTCTTTAAGTAATCACATTTTCAACGTTGACGTCCACATCTGTAACGTTACGCAGTAACGTTCGCCACATGTAACGTTAAACGTGTAAATGTGATGAAAATGAGAAATACTCGGGAAATTCTATGTATGCCGAATTTAACAACGTGTCTCTTTGACTCGAAAAAATAAGTGTACCATAAATAAACGACATGTAACATTGCGTATAAACAAATTCATCTTTAATTGTTGTGTTTTACAACGGAAGTAGCATAGCTGTTTGAAAGGCAACTTACAAGAGCTAGCTAAAGTGCTGGCATTAAAACACTGAAGGCAATGTCTCCAAGCAAAGTGTCAGGTGCAGAGGCGTGGGAAATTTTCTAAATTCTCCCAGTGGACCGGCTGCACGGTGCCCTTTAAAAACTGTTGGAAATATCACCTGGAAATGAATGACTGTATCTGTGCGTCTGTAGCCTATGTGGAAGAGACTGTAGTCTTACCAGTAGGATAACTATTGGGTTTTGGCTCATTATTGAAACTCTTCAAATAAACTTTGAATGTGCAAGTGTTCTAAGTATGCCTTCAACTGCTGCCTGAGGAATTCATGCATGTTAGCCATGCATGTTAGTCCTAAAAATAGGAGTCCAAAAATATTAGTTAACACAGACAACTCTCTCCTAAATCCAAAAACTAGAGTGCTAAAACTAATTTGTGATGTCACTGGGTATAACTGAATGGTGAAAGATGTTCTAGATGACAGAGAGAGCACCCAAGAAAATGGGGGCAGCAGGCCAAACAAAGTACTCCAGACATTTCTCTCCCCAGCAACTTTTTCCAGCTCCTCCTGGGGGATCCTGAGGCGTCCCCAGGCCAGATGAGATACTGTATGTAACCCATCCAGCATGTTCTGGGTCTCACCTGGCCCCTGTCGAGGCGAAAGAGCATTGCCTCTTAAGCCTAGTTCACATTACACGATTTTCACCGCGATTTTGACGTTGTTTGGGTCAGAGGTGAGTCGGCAGCTAGTCTGCCACGACAAGTCCTCATGTGTGAACAAGCCTACGAGCAAGTCGCCCCCTCGTCTGAGACTGGGACTGGATATCTGGCATGCTAGAAAACTGGAGAAGTGTGACACGACTGACAAAGAGCATTAGCCAATGAGAGGCGGGATACGTCCCACGTCAGCATGCAGGAGGATGGAAGAAATGTGAGCAGGACAAGCCGCAGGGTTGCCAGGTCCGCTTATTAGCCGCGACTTTGGGCTTGTGTTTTTTGTAAAGTCACTTACAAATATTGGTAGTCGCGGGTTGCAGTTTTTTGGGCTTGTTTCTGAAGTGGAGTTGCTTATTTGGGCTTGCTCTCTAAACATTGCCTTTCTCTATATGTATCCGTCACTTTTTTTGGGCTTGTTTCCATAGCCCTATCCATGCCTTTACGATTTGTCGTCTCCAGGTTAAAAAAAACGTAGTTAGGTGCCGTCACCGCGTTATCTGGGGCTCTGTCGGGGAGGGCTCAGTGGAGAAATCTTGTGGTGTGCACACACAGGTGGTAACGCAGTTGGCGAGACTCCCGATGACAGAAACACACGTCGCCAGGTATGAACACTCAAAAGATTACGATAGTCTGTGTGACGCAAAATCAGGGTGATAATCGTGTAATGTGTAACTAGCCTTTAGGGATGCACGATAATATCGGCACATCATCGATATTGGCCAATATCGGCTTTAAAATTAACTGTCAAAAACGGCCAACATGGTTTTTGTTATTTTGCACAATGAATGAATATTATGTGAAGAGCATTGTATTTCATGTCTCCATCTGCTGGTGGGTCATCACGATAAGAGTATGCATGCATAATATGATGTTAATTCCACTACAGAAGAGACTTGATGATCACTAAAATTAGATAGGGAAAAATAGTGGATATATCGATGTTGGTATTGGTTATTGTTCAAATGAGTTGTCTCATATCGGCATATTGGATATCGGCAAAAATCCAATATTGTGCATCCCTAGTGGCTTTACTCTGAGCTCTCTCTTGATGTCTGAGCTCCTCACCCTATCTCTAAGGCTGAGCCCAGCCACCCCATGGAGGAAACTCATTTCAGCCACTTGTATCCACAATCTCATACTTTCGGTCATTACCCAGAGCTCATGACCATAGGTGAGGACTGGGACGTAGATGGACCAGTAAATCAAAAGCTTTGCCTTCTGGCTCAGCTCTCTGTTCACCAGTCCAGCACAAGCAGTCACGTCACTGCAGACGCCACACTAAACTGCCGATCCATCACACACTCCATTTTACCCTCACTCATGAACAAGACCCTGAGATACTTGAACTCCTTTGCTGGGTGCAGTAACTCACTGACACTTCTGAGTATATGGATCCATTTTCTGTTTCACAACATAGAACACTACAATAAGATAAATGTCATTTGGGTATAAAAAAGAAAGCAAACATTCTGTGGGTCCACCAAAATAGTCTCCCATTCATTGTTTTTGGAGCAGCTCCAGACTTTATATCCTTCGACATCACAAGTTTGAGACTTCCTTCTCTAGTTTCTGGCTTTGAGAGAGAGGAGCTCATGTTCATAAATATTGATTTAACTTTCATAGGCAATGGGAATAACCTAATGAAATTCTTAATAAAGGTGTTGTTCCCTTTTAATGTCGTTTTTATGATCATTGTATTATAGGTTATTGCTTATTGCTCTCTTCACTTGCCCTTCCACAGTTCCACACTGTCCTTTTTTGAGGTTATAGGTCAGCTACAGAACAGCAGCCCTGAAAACTGTAGGAACTTCAGAGTCATGCCCATGAACAGAATTCCACTTATCTTAAAAGATGCCTTTTTTTCCTCACAGTTTAGGCTAATGGAAAACAATGAATTAAGCTTAATGGTTGGTGGCTGTGTGGCATTGAAATAAAGGAGGCAACTTTCTGTTGCCTCCTTTATGTCTGTTTCCTCTCTGTGATCACCAGGGATGAGCACCAAATTCTGGGCCTTATGCATAACACAGGGTGCTTCCACTATTTTTTGATACAAAGTTGAGTGTTTTAACCAAGTCATTCTCCAGTTTTAATTTAATTATGGTACTAATTTCTTAGAAATAAAAAAAAAATGCAAACAAAACCAAACTTAAATCCATTGATTATTTTTCTAATAGTTTTTTGCAAATTTATAAATATATGAATCTCATTGTTGACTAATTGTTTGATAACTAATCTGCTGCCAACCCCCAAAAAACAGCTTTTAACTGTTAACAGAGAGCTTTACAAAAACATCCTGAAAACACTGTGGACACGTGTCGCTTTCACATGTATACAAAGTCAGTTCATTGTTGAGCTGAGATTTGAAGCACAGCCTCTCTGATGCAACCAGTTAATCTGCTCCAGTCTGTGAGGAGGCCTGGCCGTCAGATGTGACTCCTGTGAAATTATTGCTGTCGCTGACTGATGACTTGCCAAAATTAGAGTGTATGTGACATGGATCTATGAAAGCTCGCCACATCAGCAGGAGTACAGCCTGTCTGCTGCTAGTGGGGTTCAATGGGGACTTCTGTCCTCCATTTCAGAACTAAACGGGGCCCTTTGTGGGGGACAGAAAGCAGTATTGGAAACAGATGTGTGGGGGTTTCTATTTTGAGGGGGCACAAACAAGTGGGCTCCAGTGAGCTGTAAAATGGGCTATTAGAAAGGTTCCTCACAAAACAAATGAGTTGGTGTGAAGATGACAGTGAGAATATGTATTTAAAAGTGAATATCTTTAATACTTTCTGAACCAAGCAGTAAAATATGAGTGTTTTTTTGCTTTGAGTGAACATGCTACGTACATATAGGCAATATATACAAGTAAAGGTAACGCTTAATATAATGGGTCTGTAATTTCCTAATCATTTCCTAGAATTTTACCACAAATAACTATTTAATTTAGAAATGATTCTATGGAAATAATGGTCTAATAGAGACAGCTATTTTTAATGGTTTTCCATTCATTTAACTGAAGAAGAGAGAAGTGTTAAAGTTTGATCCTTTATTGTAACTATAAGTTTACAGTTGGACATTTAAAAGGACTTAAAGTTCATTATTTGCATTCTGCATATTTGATTTAAGTCTAAAGGAAGTTATTTGCATAAATGCATTGAAATTTGCATAATTACTAGTTTATTACACATGATTTGTGATTGATACTGTAATCTGATAAACAGTAAGTTTATGAGTTCACCAATGCAACTACATTACCCAAGATACATTGCGAGTTCTATACCAGAATGCTTTGCAACACAACATGAGTTGAGATTATTGAGATGAGATGCTAGTCTGCACAAGATACGAGTGATTCTGCTACGTAAAAGTTCCCGTTTTTTAACCCGGCTTCCAGTCGACCATTTATTTCACTGGCTAGTTAGATGAGTGTCAGAATATCCTTGTTAGGCCGTAAGGTGAACACAGTTATCATTTCATCTCGTTCCGACATCTGGGGACTACACGATCTTTACTTCATAAAAAAGATCGATACATGTTCAGCTAATCAGCGGGAGTTCGTAGCTCATAACCCCGCAAGAGTCCTATGATCGGGGTCGTAATTCGGCACTTTTTCCGTCTGAGCGTATTGATCAGTTCCGCCTGAGCGTAATGAGATTTAGTACGCGAGTGGTGGCACGGCCGTCACGTGATCACGCTACACCAATAAGGTACCCGCATTTCGTGTCACCATGGTTTCATTCAGCAGAGGAAAACAGACCCGGAAGTCCTCAAAAGTGAGCAGAAATGAGCTGAAACAGCGCTATTCACATCGCCGTGTCCATCAAACACGATGAGACAAATAGACAATAAGTTGAACTAAGCAAAAATGTCTTAAAACACATTTGATTCAATACCTGGGCATAACCGACGTATTATTACATTGAGAACATAGCTACAGAAGACGAGAACAGCCATGTATGTTTTATTTTTTTTGTGTGCACTGTTATCTCGTGATAACGACTTATTATTTCGTTATCTCGATATAACAAAGATTGTTTTCCCGTGATAATTGTCAAGTCTGATGATTGCGCACTGGTTAATGTGATCGTCTTGATTTCAGCCTACAAGAGCTGCCGTGGTCCTGCTAGATGTCTCCTGCTGCTTGCCGTTATCATTAGTCACACTTCTACTGTTATTATACACATATAATTACTGTCACATACTATAGGCTTATTTGTCAGGTATTGAATCAGGAAATCAGTTTCTGTGAGACTTTTTCTGATTCACCTTACGGCCTATGTTTGCCTCCAGCAGACTCGCAGGTCAGGTTTAGCTTTGAATGTGTGGATGTGCAGGGTCAGCCAACACTAATGTGTGTGAAAATGTTAAAAGTCCTTATTCTACTGTTTGCCATTAATGTTTTTGTAAAATATCACACTACCAGCTCTCACAGACTGTTAACAGTGATTTCTCTGGTTATTGACATGGAAGTAAACTGTAAGAGAAACCTGACGGGTGCGTGGAGGCATACAACTGCAGGGTAGTAATTGTAGTTAGAATTTCAGTGTATCAAAAGACAGTATGTAATGTGAGGAGCATTTCTCGTAGTCATGAACCTACAGAGAGTTATCAGCTGAATCTGCAGCTCCCCTCAACTTTACAGAGCTTCATAGTGAGTTTCAGCTCATTGTTTAGCTGGGCTTTTATTGTGAAGAAGCTATTAAAAAGCAGGAATGGAGCATAAAACTTCTCCCTGTCTTTGTAGTGACAGGTTGACCCTGTATAATTTATTCATGACATGTGGTTTCTTTAAAAAAAAAAAAAAAAATCTGAATTTGTATCACAGGAGCTCTCTCCACTACTCAGGCAGGCCTGCCATGTGCAATGACTGTATGTAAGAATGGATTCAAGCCCAAAGGAACACTGCTCAGCCTTGCAGCCATTTTTCCCCTAAAGCATTTTCCCCACAGGCCACCATTTTAAAAGGGACGTTTGTAAAACTTTTGAAAGAACACCTTGGGCTGCAAACAGGGTCAACTTTGACTCTTACTAGTATTATTTATTTTTATCCCTGGAGGTTTTATATTTCTTAGACTTTCCTGGAGCCTAGAACAGCAAATTAAAAATGGCTGACATCATCAGTAAAGTCTGTGGGCCAAGCAGGAACTATGGGCGGGGCCAATGGGAGAAACACTGCTGCACATATTCAGTGGCCCGCATACCGTGGAAAAACACATGGAAGCTAAAAACCTTTTTCTGGGGTATGCGCCAGCCGAGCAACTCCATTGGAATGAATAGGCGCCATCTTGGGATTAAGTATCTAGATATGGTTATAAATCTAAGGATGGACAACGTGTCTCCACTTTCTCCTACTGAACAAAAATGATGCGAAAAATAAATATAGGGATGCTGAAGTCTTGCGCTGCTGATCCCATTTGAAGCTGTCTGCACAGAAGCAATCTTCCGCCCTTACATCTGTCCGACAAATCACAAGCAGCGCCATTGAACGCAAGCTCACAGATTGACACATATGTCAATCATGACAGAAACCATCTGTGGGAAAAAAAGTATTTAATGATTTTTTAGTTTGGCCTTTGTCCCATCCGCTAACATTGAGGGAACAGGGTTTATGACATATGATGCATCCAGCCACTACGAAGTGAACAAGATGTTTTGGCTTCACTATTGGGGAGCTTTGGTATCGTCCATTTTAATTATACAGACTGTGGTCATGGAACTTGTATCTGCACCATAGACTGTATAAAATTATGGCTGTAGTCACCATGACATCACCCAGTGGTTAAAAAGCCTCAAGTTTGGCATTTTGGCTGTCACTATCTTGGATTTTTGGAGCCAGAGGTATCCATATTTACTATTTACTATTTTTACCCTAGCCCTAGCTGCTAGTTTGGTTATCACGATGCATTTACAGCAATGGTTAACTATGATAATGCTAATGCTAATGCTAATTTTTGCTAGCAAAAAAATGGGTCAAAACCATTAAAACGATGTATTTATCAGAAAAACGGAACATCAAACTCCGTTGAGGGTCTTTTAGTACAATGCTGAACAAGAATTTTTAGATGACCAAAATGTAACCATTAACTGAAAACACACTGAAATAGCAACAGCTACTGCTACACCTGTATTCTGTAAATCTGGTGTCACACCATGGTCAAGTTACCTAACTAACATTGTTGCAGTGGTAGCGACTTGTCAACAAACGGCACTCACCTTTCATTCATAATGGCCACGCCCTTAGTTATGCAGAACTTTAACCCTCAATAATTTTTAAATTATATAAAACTTCAAACTTGGCTTCATTTTTCAGCCCCAGAGGTTGCTACTCGCTCTGCTCTCTCTGCTGAAGTTAGAACAATATGTTATTGAGGTGCTGAATAAATCCTAAGAATATGAACATGCTTCCTCGTTTAATCTTCCCCTTTTTCTGTGCAGGATTCCATGTGATGGTGTGAGGATGGGACAGGGTGGTGCTGGAAGTGACTGCAGCCCTGGAGGCTGATGAACCCGCTCCATTGGCCAGTCAGGATGCACATAGCCTCAGTGGGTGTCAGCAAGTTCTGCTTCCTGTTTTCTCTTGCATTCTGTGCCCTCCTGCTTTTGCTCATCCCCAACCTCCAGCCCCCAGCGCGCCAGGTCGACCTGCCTCAGCCCCGTCCCCAAGTCAGACCCGCGCAGGCAGGCCCATCACACCATGTCGGGGTTCCAGCAGTGTCTGTCCACACAGGGGAAACACGCTCTGCCACAGAGCTAAACAGAAGCTCAGCAGGGCAGGGGAGATCCATCAAGACTGAAGGTAGTAGGGATGATATCATTAGTCCCAAAAGGGGGATGGACTCTGAAAGAGGAGCTCTGTCTGGAGGAAAGGGTGGTAGACTTTCAGGGTCTAGATCATGGGACCTGTTAGAGTTAAAGGACATTTTTATTGCAGTAAAGACTACCAGGAAGTATCACAAGTCCAGATTGGAGCTGCTGATTCAGACCTGGATTTCCCAAGCTATAGAACAGGTGAGAGCTGGAGTTTGTTAACGTTTTTGGCTGGACCGCAGCATGTGAGGCCAGCCCTATTAATGCGTGAGTGCATGAGTGAGTGAGTGACTGACTGACTGACTGAGTGAGTGGCCCCTTTTACACTGCTGGATTTTCGGCGAATGTTGGGCCGTTTTGCAGGCAAGCTGCGAGTGTTAAGACACACAAAGCCGAATTGGCGAGTTTAGTTGGGTTAAAATATTGTCACTCACTGAGCTACATATTTTGTTGCTAACGCCCCCCATTGCCCCGAAAAAGGCACAAAATGTATGAACAAAAGTAGGAAGGTGGCATTTCGCTGCACTCCCCGATTTTCTTTTAATACTGCCAATGCTGAATGAAGACTGATTGGGCTTTCCTGCAAATTTGCACAATTCCTTTTTTTAAAAGAGTGAGTGAGTGAGTGAGCGATGATAAAGTTAAACCATTGGTTGGAGTAAGTGTGTGTTGGTGTTTCCCCATTAGCTGTTTTTTGTTTTTTTGTTGGCTGATTAAGCTGTGGACGCTGACAGCAGGGTCCTGCACAGGTCAATTTTTGAAAACCCACACCTGCTCATACACGTAAAGCTCAGACATAATGACTAATAAGTAATAAGTTGGTGTGGTACTAAGTCAAATGAACAAACAATATTTGTTTGTTCATTTTCTGTAGCCACTATTACATTAGCATAAAAGCATAGTGGAATTAACAATCTAGCTAGTTAGGGCCAGCCCCGGTCAAAATGGCAGTTTTTGATGGAGTAAGGATCAGCTCAGCAGTTCGTTTAAAGAACAGCTGTGTCTGTATGACTCAAGCCTTAAATTTATTTAAATGTTACTTACTAATACATGTTATAATGTCAGAACCACAGAGGGTCAGAAATGAGGAGAGGGTGGAAATCAGACAGGGATTGAAACTGAAGTGAATATTACGTGTCACAGTGTTGGAACGGGTGCCTCCACAATGACAAATTCTGCTTTTGGTATTTGGCACTGACACAACATTTCACAAAATATCATTATCGGTGGAACTTGGCTCTGATAGTGGCTGCTGGCTTCGCAGTTTCCACCAGTCACAAGGGAAGGTGCATTCCACACTGGAGTGGGGTGAAGAGGAGAGGGTTGTGTTGAATGCAGAAAAATGGAGTTTACCAGCGGGTACAGCTCAATTCAGTCAAGGGTAAGCAAAAGTCATGGCGAAAGTCTGTGACTGAGTATATGCCACCGCTTCCTGTTTCACATTATAAGTCCTTGTTGCATAAAGTAATCTTACATTTCATACATCGTACAGCCATATCCAAGGTTTTGATCTGACCTTGTCTTGTTAGATGTAGCTGTAACAGACTTGTGCTCACTGGAGAGCTGGACTATCCTGAAAAATATGAGTCATCATTTGAGTCATTTATCAAGCAAAATATTTAGATTAGAAGGTTCAGCTTCTCAAGTTTTTTTTTTATGCCTCTGTGCCAGCATTAGCCGTGCCCAGAGACATTATAGACCTGTTTCCACTGAGCAGTACGGTACGGTATGGTACAGTTCAGTTTGGTATGCTTTTTTCCGTTTCCACTGTGAAAAGTTGTGGATGGTACCAATAGAACCGCTCCATACCATTACCATTTTTGGTACCCTTCCTGTTGGTGTACTTAGCACACAGATCTGGTACTAAAGGGAGGAGCTGTGAACACTGCAGTCTATTGATTGGTCAGTAGTGCACAGTCACTCTGCCCAGGGCTGAGTTGCGGCTGGTTTTGAAGCAGAAGCCACTGTTTGTATCGTGGAGAGTTTAATTAGTAGACTGTATCTATAAAATGAAAGGATATTTTGCTGCCTCTTACAGCAGCTGGAGTTGGAGGAAAAAATAACTTAATTCACTGGGCCGACTGCCGGGGTTTTTAAGGTGGAACATTAACTTGTAATGTTACTTAATGCACAAGCTGATGACGTGACTCAATCAACACACCTTAGATATTCCATATGACAACTTTGACCATTACTTTAGTTTTTATATGACATACACTTTTAGTAATGAGTGGATGTTTAAGCGTTTATATGTATTAATGTTGGCCAGGTTATGTGAACTGCATTCTAATCATTCGCCTAAAGAGAATTCCTTCAAACTTGGCACAAATGTCCAATAGGACTCAACAATAAACTGATTTGTTTTTAGGAGTCAAAGGGCAAGGTCACTGTGACCTTGTCTGTCTCATCCTTTGAACATTTTGAGGGAATTTCTTCAACTTTAAATTTGACACAAGCATCCACTCGGACTCAGTGATGAACTTGATTAGTTTTTAGTGGTGAAAGGTCAAGGTTGCTGTGACTAAATCTCTCTCAGTCTTGTGAACATGATATCTCAAAAACACCTTGAGGGAATTTCTTCAAATTTGGCACAAACATTTACTTGGACTCAATGATGACCTGATTAGATTTTGGTGGTCTAAGGTCAAAGTCACTGTGACCTTGTCTGTCTCATTCTTGTGAATGTGATATCTCAAGAACACCTTAAGAGAATTTCTTGACATAAATGTCTAATTGGACTGAAGAATAAACTGATTAGAATTTTGTGGTCGAAGGTCAAGGTCATTGTGACTGCACAAAATATGTTTTTGGCCATATCTATCTATTATTCAACGTCATATATCTGGAACAGAAGGGGAGATAATTGGTCAGATACTGAAGTGGTGACACTCATTTTGGGTGTAACGATTGTAACTGCGGTTCAAAGTTTGACTTAATATGATTTTGGCTTTGGCTCAAAAGGATTCGATTTTTTTACCTGTTCACAAATTAAGGTCTGAAAAAAAAAAAACCTCTTCAAATTTTATCAAGCAATACTGCAGAACATTATGTCTGCTGCACCAGTGACAGTCAACAGTCCCAGCGATGCACTGGGTAACATTTTAGCTTGTTATCCAAGGAGAATACATTATCATTGAAATGCTGCTGTCTGAGTATTGATTACCTCTGTTCCAGGGTCAGTGTCATCCATCTCACTCTAGCATTTTCATGGGAACATGCCCTTGTGAACTACAGTGAGCCAGAGCTTCAGAATTTGCATTGCATAGCATTATATCATTTTGCAACACATATATCCAAAGTAACTTTAATGTAGGAACACGTGCAAACCCTTAGGGCCGCTGGTTTATGGCAAAAATCATTATCATGATTATTTTTGCACTAGATTGCGATTACGATTACGGTATGTAACAGGATTACTCATTCACCTAAGGCTCTCTTTACGTCATCTTGGCTCAAGGTGAAAAAAACATGCCACAGCCCGGCTGATAGTGAGTTGGGCTTTTAGGGACGGGTGAAAAGGCAACATTGTAAAGGAAAGGGTGTAAATAAAACATATCAGTTATATTAAAATTCACACCTTGTACATTTGTCATAAACAGGGAAAGAAATTATAGAGACCCAAACTGTCTTTTGTACCAGGCTGTAAACATGTTTATTTCTGTTGTAAAGTTGGACATTTTTACAGGGGGGTCTATGGAGATTGACAGGCTTCTGGAATCAGCCTCAGGTGGCCAGACAAAAGCTGCGATTTTCTGCACTTCCATGTTGGCTTCAGTTTTCAGCCACATAGGTTGCTGCTCAACCACGGACCTTAATTTAGGCGGTTAATCAAAAATCCATTCAAACAACCCATTGACTTTGAGACAAGGGAACCAGGAGTGAAAAAATGCTAACTCGTTTCCAAGATTCACTGGTGCACCACTTTGTTGGTTTTCTGCAATGTATAGTTCAATCTTACACCTCTTTATCTTTTTAAAGGTTAACTTAATCAAATTTAACCAGCTCTGTCATCACAGTGTGGGCACTGTGTGCAGATGAATAGTGTTTGGCTTTCCCTTGTGCCGCAAACAATTGAAGCTCCCCACTCATATACTGGCAGACTTTGATAAGGTATTTCATATAACTTGGTGGACTTTTTGCGACAGATGGGTGGGGAGTTCCAGGCACTTGCAGCACGAGAGGAATGCAAACACTGTTCATCTGCACACACTGACAATATTGTGATGACATAGAGCTGGTTGAAAATTGGTAAAGATTCCCTTTAATGTACATAACTAGAAGTTGCAGTCTTAAATTCTAGCTAGCATACAACTTGACATTATTTCAACACAAAATAAATCACATTTATTTGCAGCTCCCAGTCCAAAACCCCACCTTTAGACATGCATTGCTAAATTCTGTGGTTATGAAATATAATCACCCTTCATAATCCCTGTTACCCAAGAGCTGAACCATCCAAACTGGCTGCCAGGGGTGTGGTACATGAGCTGAAAGCTCTCTATAATGATTCATCAGTTGTGATCATAAAAGATATCAGCTGCATGCAGGGCACATCATTGAATAAATAAGCAGCTGTCATATAAACACATTCCTTTTGCATGTAGCAGCTCCTGTGGTGACAGAGTGAGGTGAGACACAGAGAGCAGCGGGGCTTCACGACCATGTGGAGTCCACCAGTTTATGTTGGGATTTAGGCTTCTACAGTGATGTTACTGCTAATGGATTTGGCTGTTGCCTGCACACACCCTGTTGTCTGTCCATTAGTTTGTGTGGTTTATAGGGTGTTGCCGTATCACCATCAGATTCCTCTGTGATGCCGTTAGAGGTTGTCCTCTTTGGCATTTAGTGGAACCACAGGACATTTATCAGAAAGTAAATCTTGCATTTGCTTTGTCAGAATCTCCTCTATTGAATCAAGTTGTTTATAGGTTGTTTGTAGAAGTATTCTGCATTTTAAACAGACAGCTGTGTTACTGCAGTGTGTAAGTTGGATCAGTGTAGCGCAGTTTTAAACCACAGTCTTATTTTAGTGAAATGAGTTACTCATACTCATGCAAAGTCATGTCCTTTCCTAAATCTACTGCTGCTGGGCTATATGGGTCCCTAACGTATTCATTCATTAGTTCATTTTCCGTAACCACTTACCCTGTGGTTCGTGGGGGGCTGAAGCCTATCCCAGCTGACACTGGGCGAGAGGCGGGGTACACCCTGGACAAGTCACCAGACTATCACGTGGCTGACACTTAGAGACAGACAATCATTCACACTCACATTCACACCTACGGCCAATTTAGAGTCACCAATGAACCTAGAACCCAGAGAGAACCCACACTGACACGGGGAGAACACGCAGACTCCGCACAGGTGGGATCCCCTACCCTAGGGTTCAAACCCCTCACCCTGGGTTAAAATCAGGAACCCTCTTGCTATGAGGCAGACTTTGCAGATGTCCACACAGTCAGTACAATTACATGACAGTAGAGAACATTGATTTGTTTTGTTAGTCTGACTGAAATTGTACCAAATCAGATTTCTCAAATTCAGACTAACACACCTGGATAATGCAAGTGGGAGTTGAATTACTCCTGCATGTATACAGTTAAGTGGACCCAAACTGGTGCAGGTGCTCTGCAAATGCTCCACAGTGTCTGCACCAGGTTTTGACCAGAAAGTAAAAATAGCATTAAATGCATTACAGAAGTAGAGAAGAAAAAGAATTAGTCATCTGTACAGCATGTATGAAATGCACAGAGCTGTCAAGTTGTACACCATGGTACCAACTTACCACAAGCTTACTGTAGTTAACTTGTTTGTCGATTGTTTGGTCTGTGATGTAATAGGTCAGCCGGAAAAAGGTCCAATACTAACAAGCTGAAAGGGGGCATATTGCCACCTATCATTGCAGAGTCAGAAATACTTCTGACAATAAATCTATTCTCCTCCCGTACTTTGAAGATTCAAGACAACTTTATTAATCCCTTAAAGGGCAATTTCATTTGACAGCTCGCACAACAACACACACAACACGTAGAACATAGAAAGAAAATTGACAGCTGTGTGCAAATTCTGTTAGATGCCATGATGAATAACATTAAAAATGTGGAGAAAGAAAAAAAGAAAAGAAAAAAAGAAAAGAAAAAAACACACACCAATAAATACGTTCATTAAAATATGTGCATACTAGGACAAGGACAATTAAAAAAAATTAATCAAAGAAATCAAATTAAAAAGTGTAGTTGAGCTACAACCATAGCTCGACTTTACTGTGCATGTAAATTTACTGACTTAGAATTTGTTTTACTCTAGACTGGTAAAAAATAAATAAATAAATAAATAAATAAATAAAAAATTCTACACTCAAACTTTTTAGCTGCAAATAAAGATTATTTTTCTTATTGATTAATCAGCCTTTTTTTTACTTCTAGATAAATTGTTTGGTCTATAAAATGTCAGAAAGTTGTGAAAAATTGATGTCATAACCAAACATTAGCAATTCACTATCACATACAATAAAGAAAAACAATCATTCCTCACGCTTTAGAAGCTGCAACTATACATTTTTTGGTATTCTCTTTTGGAAGCATGTTGCCCTTTAATTGACAGATGGCAGTGTGAAGGCACAATGCCAAATCAGGGGAGAGAGAGAGGCTGGCTCCAACTTTGTGTTTAGGCTATGCGGCATGCCCTGTAACCACTTGGCTTCCAAGGCACTCAGAATCTTTGGTATTTTTGCTTGAAAAATGGCTTAACCGATTGCCATAATAGTGGCCAATTAAGTCTCCGACAAAACAGCTACAGTAATGGGTTAAATCAGTGAACTGCTTCAGCCATATTTTTGAGCAGTTGGATGTTGCAAGAAATCAGGTTTAGTCTGCAGCTGACATCAGAAAAATGGACCGAATGGAAAAGTCATTGATAGTCGGCCAGCTAACTGGCAAGTTTTGATATATCAAGGTTTTTCACACAAAGTCAAAAGTGAATGAGGAAAAGCTCTTGTTGAAAGTCAAGTTAAAGGATCCATCACAGAAAGCACTGTGACCAGCTCTGTATCGAGAGCTATTAAAGCAATTAGTAAGTCCCAGTGCTGGACAAAGAGCCTCAGTGTGCAGAGAAGGAGTTTTAACCGCAGAAACACTCTGGCCCACTTCACCCCGAAATGTCCCAGTCAGAGGGGATGGAGGAGTTCCAGTTGAGTTTGTGCTCCCAGTATTAACAGCTCAGCTCATACTGGCTCTGCTGTAAAAGGGCTCCACTGTGAGTCTGTTCTGTGTTAGCTGTCAACTGTAACTGATGGCATATTATCAGGGACTGGCGGGCGTTACACACCTGTTGGCCATTTTATTTTACTGCTCCTAGGTCAGTAAAGTCTGCCCCCTGTGTTTACAACCACCTGTAAAATTAAAAGCTGCTTTAATGTAAATATGTTGGGGTTGCTGTGTGGTGTGTGGAGATTCTTCACATAAAGAGACAGATAATGGTTATTTAATAGAAGCCTGAGGTCAAGTCAAATGAGCCTTTTGACTGTGTCATTTGATGGTGTGTGAGAGTTAAAGCCTGCCTGCCTGCAGGGCTCTGAACAGGCTGAGCATGGCTGTCACCACCTGCTGTCCACTGTACATGACTAACTTTCCATATACACATCTGCGGAAAACACTTCATTATCAGAGGCTCTTAAATAAGCTGGAATCTAGATAGAATGAGTGATGCTCATTGATTGACATGTCACTCAGCACTTTACTGTCAATGCAGCAGGTGAACTTCCTGTTGTTTGTCTGTAAAAACTAAATTCAACTACCATAAATCTTTAAATAGCCTAGTCCCAATTAAACACCCAACCCCTTTTACTAGCGTGGTGTGGCTACACATCTGACAAATAAAGGCCTGTCTCAGTTAGATGCATGGTCTGGTTGCCAAGCAGTTAATTTTTATAGAGGTTCTTTGGATGTATAAAACAGGTTGTTGGCTACCTACTTGAGCTGACGTTAGTCAGCTGTTTCGAACACATAAAAACATAAATGTTTTAACTTTTGTCAATACGGAAATGCTACATATTGTTAGCTCGGTTAGATTCTCCACAATTCAATCGTTCAGTTTATTTTACTGAAACTATGAGCAGCAAAGAAGACAGTAATTAATTGAGATTTACCAGCCTGGTAAACAAGAGTGATGGAAAAAAGTGGTGACTCCCTGCATTACCTCTAAAGGAGTCTGTGGTTTCTACAGCATGTCTGTTTGTTAAAGTGCTCTCAGTTTATACACAGAGAGGTAATGTGAAATGTGCTCTTCCTTTACTTCTCTTTTGTTTTTAACTGTGTTTGGCACTATTGTGTGTTTGTCTGGGTCTCATTTTTGCTCCATCTTTGCTCTGGTCCTCATCTACAGGGGAAAACATTGGAGCTCTTCATTGTGTCCTAGTAGGAGAGCATGAATGTGAGTTGTATTTATGTTCTTGCACTTACACTTTTTGATAGTGTGTCTTTATTTGTTTCAGACCTATGTATTTACTGATGGTGAGGACAAGGAGCTGCGGATGAGAACAGGTAAGAAGCTGGACAGTTCTCATAGGAAATAAAAGCTGAATAAGATGAGCAAAATGATAAGAATGGAATAAACTTAAGAGTTGTCATTGGAAATAATTGTGAAAGTGTTTCCTCATTTGTTTTGTTTAACCATATTATGTCACCCAGCAAATCAGAATAAACCTTACTAAACCTTTCTTGCAATCATGGAACCCATTGCATCCCTAACCCCCCTTTTTTTTAACATTTTGGGCATGCAAGGCAATTAAATTTGAGCAATTGTGCATAACAGTATCTAGGCCAAATTGAGACATTAAGTATTTTGGTGCACAAAGGCAGTTTTGATGTATAGAGGTAAAGAGTGGTGCAGAGATTACTTTTTTTTCAGCCTTCCTCGAAGTTAGTGGCACCCTACTTCTCCAGCCAATGGGATTTTTACTATTGGAATTAGGATTATTGCAGACAGTAAACTCTGTTGCAAACAAATGTTTATGGTACCTACACGTTTTGTTCAGCAAGATAACGTTAGGGGTAGTTAGGGGGTAGTGCAGGCACAGCAGTTGCACTGGGGTGCGTGAGGAAAGGGGGCCCACGGACGGATGGACGGATGGACGGACGTGGGAGTCCATCCCTGTGGCACACCACTTGTTAAAGGAGCTGATGATGGAACATAATCACTTATGCCACAGACACCAAATGTTTAAGCTGACAAATAAGATTTAAAGATGAAGAATTGAAAAATATATATAAAGACAAACCATTGGTATAGTTTAACAGGTTGAGGAATATGTGTAGGTGCACATTGCAAGGTTATCCTGTCATTAGAGAGTTTCAGACTGTAAGCCTGACGTATGTCAATTTGTATTTTAGGCATATTATTATCTGATGTACGGATATGCTGGAGATTACAGGAAGATGTACAGATGTACATCCTCTTATGAAGAATTGTGTCATAGTGTTTTAATGTGCAGTATTAGTTTTGTAGTGTATGTGTCAGCAGATGGAAGAAGGTTAACATATTTGATGTACAGTATCTCCAGAGCTCATGTTCTGTATGTGAATCATCTGCTACCAGCATATAAAATGCACAGGTGTAGGCACAGTAAGAAACTATCCACAGCAGCATGGAGCTGAACCGTGCTGTCCTCTGCTGTCTCTTTCCCAGGAGTGAACCTCATCAACACTAACTGCTCAGCAGCTCACACCCGACAGGCTCTGTGCTGCAAGATGTCTGTGGAGTACGATAAATTCATTGAGTCCCAGAAGAAGTGAGTGAAAAATGAACATACAGCAGGGATGCAGTAAATGGTTAATTAACCGGTTTGACCATGATATGTCCAGGAGATTACAAGCCACCATCATATATTCACCCACAGGAACAGTGCTGACTGTGTGTGTGTGTGTGTGTGTGTGTGTGTGTGTGTGTGTGTGTGTGTGTGTGTGTGTGTGTAGGTGGTTTTGCCATGTGGATGATGATAACTACGTGATCCTGCCAAGCCTGCTGCGGCTGCTCTCTTCCTATCACCACAGCCAGGATGTGTACCTGGGCCGGCCCAGTCTGGATCATCCTATAGAGGCTGCAGAGAGGGTCAAGAGTGATGGATCGGTCAGTCTGCTGCTTCCATCTTATTAGGATGTTCTGGCTGCATTAACTGATAAATATAGCAGTGAGCAATAAGACAAATCCAGGCTTCAGAGTGTTCTTTCAGAAACAGCATGTTTTTTCTTCAGACTATAACTCCCTCAACAGCTGGATGATCTTTGTCTCTTTTTAGGTGTCTGTCAAGTTCTGGTTTGCCACAGGCGGAGCAGGTTTCTGTATCAGCAGAGGCCTGGCACTGAAAATGAGCCCATGGGCTAGGTAGGTCATGGACAATCTTTGAAGTGATTGAAACTGTGTTACCTTTTGAAGTCAGGGTTCTCACTTTACTGCAGTTTGTGGTAGAAAAACAACATTTACATGTACAGTAGGTGAAGAGCCACTGTATCTGAAGGTCCAAGTAGCTAAAGAATGTTTAGATGAAGAACCTCTCTAAGTATTTAACTAACCCCACTCAAGAGTGGAGGGAAGGCAAAGAGACGACAGTCCGAAGTAGAGGGAGAGAAAAGGGTGAGAGAAAGGTAGCCTGCCTAAGCAAAGTTAAGTTTGATGCATTTTTTGAAAACGGCCCTGATGTTAACGTTAACATTCCCGCTGACTCTTCCTCTCACTTTCATCACGCTGTCATCATCTGAGCAAATGGCATTGGACTTTTCTGTGCTCTTATAGCTCCTTAGCTTTGTTTTAAACTCGGTGAAACTTAACTTCTCATCACTTTGTGTAATATGGATGGAAAATGGTTTAAGTGAGTCCGGCAGGCCCTTCAGGATCATTGCAGTTAACAAGCCATCACTTAAAGTTTCTCCTGCATTCCCCAGTGCTGTGATAGCAGTCTGCACGAATAACATCTCATTAACAGCTTTCTGAAGGGACGTCAGCTCCGTGTATAAACTGTAGAGCTTAGATCGGGCCCAAAAAATCCAGCCCGACCCCACCTGAGCCCGTGCATGTTATGTCCGAACCCGGCCCGGCCTGTCCCTTAACTGTAGTTACGAGCCCGAGCCTGGTTTAAACCCGACATTTTTTTAGGATACAAAAGTGGACATTGAAGGCTGACTCTCGTCTTTCTTTCTATGGCAAGCCTTCATCATGTGCCTCTTAAGTGTCGAGGTCCCCATCTTTTTGCTGTCATATACCAGCATCGTGCTGCACTTGGTACACTCGATGAAGCCGACACACACGCTGTCACCGTCAACAACTCACATGTGCACAGCCAGTGGCACTGTCAAGGGGGGGCCATGCGACAGAGCCTTAGAGCTCTTTTTCAAAAAATCAAGAAAAATAAAGTGCTCTCAGCCAGGCTGCAAACTGTGCCATTAGATTAGGCTATAGTTGTGTATATAGTTGTGCTACAGTTGTGTAGTGAACAAATAGTGTATTTATAAAAACATTCAGTTTGAAGTAGTCATAATTTCACATTTCAAATCCCCATTTAATTGGACTACTTTCCTTGTCCCAATATACAAGCAGGGAGGAGACTCGATTTATGGACCGAAGTATGTCCAACTCTGCTGTTATAGGTGGCGATATGACCCCTTTCAGCTCGTAAGTAGTGGACCTTTTTCTGGTTGACCAATTACGTCACAGACCAATCAACAAACAAGTTAGCTACGGTTAGCATGAACTCTCCTTGTCCGTCCAGAAAAGCACAGCTCTGGATATAGATTTCACCATGTTGTTGTTTTTCTTCTGTCACACATTGAATGCTATTTGACTTCCGGGTCAAAGCCTGGGGCGGAAACTGTGGAGCATGCGCAGAGTGCCAAGGCCAGTTTGGATCTAACTGACTGTATACATGCAGGAGTAATTCGACTCCCAATCACATTATCTGGGTGTATTTGTCCGACTTTGAGAAATTCCATTTAGTACAATTTCAGTCAGACTAACATGTTTACATGGATTTTAAATGTTCAGTTTTAGTCAGAGTAACACAATAAATCCATGTCATCTAATGTTACTAGAATGTACTGAGTATAAGCAGTGTAAAAATGTAAGTCATTATTGTCAACTCACTCAAGTGGAAAGTGATTTGAGAGATGGCTGCTGTCAACAGCTGCTGTGAAAGTGCTGTGAAAACACACTTTGACAGGCTTTGCAGGCTGAACCTCTGTCGTCTGGTTTCAGTTTGGGGAATTTCATCAGCACAGCGGAGAAGATCCGACTACCAGACGACTGCACCATTGGCTACATCATCGAAGCGCTGCTGGAGGTGACCCTAACACATACACACGTCTTCCACTCTCACCTGGAGAACCTGCAGAAGCTGCCCACTGACACTGTGCTGGAGCAGGTGAGTGTGTGTGTGTGTGTGTGTGTGTGTGTGTGTGTCAGTGTTGGTCTGTAATCCCTTCCATTGAAATCAGTTCATTACATTAATGAATTGTTGTCACTGAATAATGTTGAAAGACTGAATACTCGCTACATGCACTTTCATATAACAATGTATCCAATAAGCATCTAAAATATGTGTATTGTTAGTGTTTTCCTGTGCCCCTTTCATCACCTACTCTGCACTGATGCTGAACGGTGTATATTTTTGTTTGTTCTGGTGACAGGTCACTCTGAGCTTCGGAGGCTTTGAAAACAGAAGAAATGTGGTCAGCATTGTTGGAGGCTTTTCACTGGCTGAGGACCCCACAAGGTAAGGCTCTGTTCAGCATTTAATATCACATACTGTGTGTCTGAGACTTCAGACTAGTGTTAAAGCATTATACTGAGACAAATACAGCTGCGGTTACATGGACAATATTTCTCCAAACCAATTGAAATCATTCTAATTAGAGATTCCAACTGAACTGGATGCTAAAGTGATCTGATAAGATGTGTATGTAAATGCCCCAAAGTATTTAGTAACAATATAACTTTGACTTGTGTAAAGTGGTTCCGTCCACTGTGAAGGGTCTAATCTGCCAGAAATATAAGAGAAGGTTTTTTCCAACCTTAAATGAAGAAATGAATAAATTAAGTATAGAAGGACAAAAAGTCATGCAGCCTGTTAATACAGTTTAGTAGCAAGTAACTTAAGTGTAATCTAGGTTATTTTCTGTAGCTACAAATTACAGATGTCCCCTAAATGATTCTTATGCAGGCTACTAGGGCTGGGCGATATAACGACTACTACGTACAATATGTTGATACATTTTCAAGCGAGATATAGATTTACACAGTACCATTTATATTGATATAGGGTCAAGTTGCGTTACATAACACTGTTCTTTTAAAAAGCCATGCCACTATGCATCTCTTCTCACTCACGCTCTCCACACACCTCCACCCCACTCACTCAGTCACAAGTCACAAGCAACACTAAGAGAGACAGAGTGCTGCTACTCTGTTCAGTCTGTTTGTTAATTAGTCTGCAGTGCAACATCGGCCTATATGTTGCACGAGCTACACTAAATAAAATAAGAAAAGATAAGATAAGATACACCTTTATTGATCCCACAATTGAGAAATTCCAGTGTTACAATTGAGAATCAAGATGTGAGATGAAATTACCGCACTAGCACACGTGCAGTCGTCCCGCACAATAATAGAGATGCATTGATTTTGTGTCTTCTCTTGTCCCGCAGGAGAAAACACGTCATTTTATAAGCTATTAATAAAGAGATTCATGGGGTTGTTTGTTTCTTTTCCCTGGCCTGCATGTCTTTTGACGCACTGGTCAGGAATAGTGCTCCTATTTTGTTGTTTTCATTTAGTTTTTAATGAAATAAAGGCTGTTTCATATTCTATTCTCCTCCTCTGTATTTTATTTATTTTTCTATCACGCAGTGATTGAGGTTAAGGTCTCTTTTCTAAGAGAGACCTGAATAAGAAACATTAATGAGATAAAGATAAAGCCTATGCTCAATAACACCGGCATCATCACGCCTCTTTATGTAATTAACAAATAGCAACGAGAGTAGGCTGTGAGTGGCTCAAATAACACTAATAAATAACATAAATTACTTGGCCATAATATTGCTGTGGAGGAAGAGAATGTTGCTGACCGACTGCAGTCCCAATCCCGTGCGTCTCTCTTCCAAGATGCGCCCACAGACACTAAAGGCCTGCTCTGTAGGCGCACTGGATGCTGGGATACTGAAGATGAAACACGTTAGCTTAGAGAGCGCTGGGAAGTAGAGGGCTCAGTGCGCCTTCAGACCTTGTTTGAGCTTCTTTTCCACATCATTTGTTAACTCCATCCTGTCGCTATAGGCTACATCCCGATCCTGCAGTGTTTTTTTAGCCGCCCGTTCCCGCCCGCAGCAAAGTTCAAACCGCCCACTCCCGCAAGATTTGGGTTGGGTCCCGTGGGACCCAGCGGGGCCCAATCCCAATGCAGCCCTCTAAGTAGACGTATGACTAATAATAACAGCAGCAGTAGGAGGCATCAGGCAGGACCACGGCAGCAGCACAACCACGTCACACTATCCAGGCACAGCAGCGATATGAGTTAACCTGCGAGACAGTGGAGCACAAAGGCTCTGGAGAAGAAGCCGAGTTAGTGACATGCAGTACGGCCGAGTTAGCGAGATGCAGTAACAGGACATGAGTGTTAGAAAAGGAGAAAGAGCGAGAGAAGGAGAGAAGGTGCTTGGTGTATTATGGGCGGTCCCCCGGCAGACTAGGCCTATGTCAGCCTAACTTGGGGCTGGTCCAAAACAAGCCTGAGCCAGCCCTAACTATAAGCTTTATCAAAATGGAAAGTCCTAAGTCTAGTCTTAAATGTGGAGACGGTGTCTGCCTCCCGGACCGCGACAGGAAGATGATTCCACAGGAGAGGAGCATGATAGCTGAAGGCTCTGGCTCCTGATCTACTTCTGGAGACTTTAGGGACCATGAGTAACCCTGCATTCTCAGTGCACAGTGTTCTGGTGGGATAATAGGGCACTATGAGCTCTCTTAGATATGATGGAGCCTGACCATTTAGAGCTTTATAAGTTAGGAGAAGGACTTTAAATTCAATTCTGGATTTTACAGGGAGCCAGTGCAGAGAAGCTAGAACAGGAGAAGTAAATAAATAAAAGATTAAAATCATTTTCCAGCAGATTCATTTAAAAGGACATGGAAAAAGACTTATTAACGCCCCCACAAAGATTTTTGTTTCAGACAGGTCTACTTGATACCTTTATACACTGAACAAAAATATAAACGCAACACTTTTTTTTTGCTCCCATTTTTCATGAGCTGAACTCAAAGATCTAAAACATTTTCTATACACACAAAAGACCATTTCTCACAAATATTGTTCACAAATCTGTCTAAATCTGTGTTAGTGAGCACTTCTCCTTTGCCGAGATAATCCATCCCACCTCACAGGTGTGGCATATCAAGATGCTGATTAGACAGCATGAATTTGCACAGGTGTGCCTTAGGCTGGCCACAATAAAAGGCCACTCTGAAATGTGCAGTTTTGCTTTATTGGGGGGGCTGGGGGGGGTCAGAAAACCAGTCAGTATCTGGGGTGACCACCATTTGCCTCACTCAGTGCAACACATCTCCTTCGCATAGAGTTGATCAGGTTGTTGATTGTGGCCTGTGGAATGTTGGTCCACCCCTCTTCAATGGGTGTGCGAAGTTGCTGGATATTGGCAGGAACTGGAACACGCTGTCATATACGCCAATCCAGAGCATCCCAAACATGCTCAATGGGTGACATGTCCGGTGAGTATGCTGGCCATGCAAGAACTGGGATGTTTTTCACTTCCAGGAATTGTGTACAGATCCTTGCAACATGGGGCCGTGCATTATCATGCTGCAACATGAGATGATGGTCATGGATGAATGGCACAACAATGGGCCTCAGGATCTCCTCACGGTATCTATGTGCATTCAAAATTCACCAGTGTTCATTGTCCATAACATACACCTGCCCATACCATAACCCCACCGCCACCATGGGCCACTCGATCCACAACGTTGACATCAGCAAACCGCTCACCCACACGACGCCACACATGCTGTCTGCCATCTGCCCTGAACAGTGAAAACCGGGATTCATCCGTGAAGAGAACACCTCTCCAACGTGCCAGACACCATCGAATGTGAGCATTTGCCCACTCAAGTCAGTTACGACGACGAACTGCAGTCAGGTCGAGACCCCGATGAGGAGGACGAGCATGCAGATGAGCTTCCCTGAGACGGTTTCTGACAGATTGTGCAGAAATTCTTTGGTTATGCAAACCGATTGTTGCAACAGCTATCCAGGTGGCTGATCTCAGACAATCATGGAGGTGAACATGCTGGATGTGGAGGTCCTGGGCTGGTGTGGTTACACATGGTCTAATCAGCATCTTGATATGCCACACCTGTAAGGTGGGATGGATTATCTCAGCAAAGGAGAAGTGCTCGCTAACACAGATTTAGACAGATTTGTTAATAATATTTGAGGATTTGAGGGAAATGGTCTTTTGTGTGTTTAGAAAATTTTTTAGATCTTTGAGTTCAGCTCATGAAAAATGGGAGCAAAAACAAAAGTGTTGCGTTTATATTTTTGTTCAGTGTACTTATTTTATAGTTTTGTGTCCTGTAATGCAAACCTTAAAATCTCTGTAGCCCCAGTGCTATGTGCAAAAAGTTAACGTACAGCCTTGCTATTTGTTTTATGTCATTTTCTATTTACATGTTGTGCGGCTGCATATTTTCAGGGGAATAAAATCCCTGTCTTCCATTTTATTTTGAACACAGTCTGTTAAAAGTCATGTTAAAAGTGCTATTGATATCTCAAATATGGCTTTGACTGACATGTTGTCCATTTCATAGAAAATACCAAGATGTATATCACATATCGCCATTCAGCTTCTAAATACAGAGATATGAATTTGCCCAGCCCTACAGGTCACTGTTACTGATAGCAATAGACATTTGTTATGTCCAGTGACTCCTCAATTCAGCCTGTAGCAACAGTATTACACAAGGCTAGTGTTTCAAAATCAAAAACTACATTAATTAATCAGAGCACTGACATGAAAATATAGCACTAACAGAGTGCTTCATTAGAGCTGAACGACATGGATCAAAGCAGGAACAACAGACCAAGACCAAAAGTAATCAAAGGGATCCACATGTTTTGCCACAAGTGGAGAGAAGTTAGGGAGATAGGTTTTTTTGTCAAGTCAGGACACATCAGAATTGATGACAAAAGCCTGATTGGGACATACTGAAAATAGCTATTGCTGTTTGATTATTTTATTAAGGCTTGTACTCTGAGAAACACTGAACTCTTGGAGTTTGCCCTTGTGAGAGAAGTAAATATGTCTGTGATGCTCTTCTCTTCCATCCTGCAGGTTTAAGACAGTCCACTGTCTTCTGTATCCAGATACTGACTGGTGTCCAAAGCTGGAACGTCGCCACAGAAACTGAAAACCACTGTTTTTATCCTGCAGTACTGATACCTGCTAAAAATGTATTCCACTGCTTCACCCTGCCATGTTTGGATCAACCTTCGATCAAGCTGGAAAAATATGTCATGTCACACATCATTTGGTGGATGTCTCTATCCAAAGCAGTCTCACCTCATACTTCATTAATGCACAGCGCTAGTGGTAGTGCAACCCTCAGAGGCAGAGTCTTTCAATAGGCAACATTTTATATAAATGTAAATTCATCAGGTCAATCTAAAAAGGTGGAGCCAAAGGACGACTTTTTTCTGGCTACAACAGCATGACAGTGAGTAAGGGGCCGTACACATGCCGCGTCTTTAACCACTTGGCGAATGCAAGGTTGGGCAGTGGGGGCTACTCCTGTGCTTAATCTGTGCCAACTGCACGGAGGCAGGTTTCTAAGTGCTAAGCTAAGTTGCTAAGCTTACCAAAAATCCTGGGAGCTTATCTTCTTCCAGGCATTGTTTTATAAGTGTGCATTAGGCCAAAAATATTGTCCATGGGACAGATGTAAAGCTCTGTATAGCCCTGCACTTAAATAATTAACTTCTGCTCCATATTTACTACAGACTGATATTTATGGAAGAAGGGAATGATATCTGCTGGCTGTGATTGGTTGTTCCTTGTCAAATGACATGCAGTGCATGCTGCCACCTTCCAAAAGTTGAACTCTGTTTATCTCAGGGCACAGCCGTTGTGCCTATCTAGTAACGCACCAAGCTAGTAACCTAGTCTACCAGTGTTGTGTCAAAACAAATTTGCTGATGAAAATAATTAAGAGTGCATATTTACAGTTAAGGCTTTTGCACACTGAGTCGTCTTTTTTTGCTTTTTCGTCCAAAATTGTAGCACATTTAAATCTTATGTTGTCTCAATCGTGTTCGCGCACTAACTATGAAACTTTCATCTGTCATTAAACTTTTCAGAACAGGTTAGATTTTCTACTTTTTTTCACATCCGTCAAAAGCCTTTAGACTAAATAAAATAGAGAGGAACAGGGTGTGCAGTATCATTTCATAACTCAGGTAGGTTGCTTTCAATAAGTCAGACAGTAATACTGAGGGGAATGATGATGATGAGGAGGAGAATGTAATAAAGGATGAAGGCTGCACAGAAAGAGAGAGACAATGTGGAGACAGAGAGGGAGGACAGCTCAGCCTCTTCAGGCAACTGTGGTGCCAAATGCAAGACAGAGAAAGTGGTGACAGTCAGGGAGGGAGCTCCATCAGAGAGATGCAAGAGAGCAAATGTGTCTTTTCATTTTGTCTCGTATTGCAAATTTTCTCAACAGTCAGTCTGCAGACATGAGCAAGGTTTCAGTATGTAAAAAAAATTTAATGACTGATTTTAAAAAAAAAACGCATCCAATAAAACCCAGCAGACATCCAGAGGGAGCTCGGAGTAGAGCCACTGCACCTTGGCATCGATAGGGGTCAGTTGAGGTGGTTTGGGTATCTGATCAGGATGCGTCCTGGTTGCCTCCCGTTATAGGTGTTCAGGCACTTCTTCCTACTGGTTGGAGGCCCCGGGGCAGACCCAGAACATGCTGGAGGGATTACATATCTCATCTGGCCTGGGAAGTCCGTGGGATCCCCCAGGAGGAGCTACAAAGTGTCGCTGGTGAGAAGGATGTCTGGGGTGCTTTGCTTGGCCTGCTGCCCCCGCAACCCGGCCCTGGATAAGCAGATGAAAATTAATGGATGGCTGGATAAAAAAAAAAAACCTGACTCAGTGTGCAAAGGCATTTAGAGTGCCACATTTCTACTAGTTTCCAGCTTTCCTACTTCCTGTTTTTATCATTTGTTCAGTGAAGGAAATATCCGACTATTTGGCCCCATTCCCTGTGGTTTAAGTTTACCAGTATAAAAAAAGTCACTGAATTTACGCTGTGTTCCATTTACCTCGGAAGTGGAGGTCAGAGCTGGGAATGACATCACATCCAAGTAGATTGTGTTCCAATACAAGTTTGAAAACCAAGATGTTGTTAGCAGTACCAGTTCAAGCAATGCCAGTTGACAACAACGCACTACACTGTATTATACAAACAGCGTAGCAACAGGTCCACCGAGAGAAGCTGGACAGTACTGTGTGTATGACTGTTAATAAGACACAAATAAGGCAGAAGTGCTAATAAACAGTATATTACTATAGCTTTCTCTACTGAATATGTAGTGAGCAGCCATATGGGATTTTCAGGTCAGAGTTAGTGAGGTTCCTCCGACTTTCTAAGTTGGAAATCTGACTTCAGGGGGTGTTCCAGTTAAAATTTCTGAGTGGGAACTCAGAAATCCTGACTCCCCAGTATGAATGGAACACACAAATAGAGTTTCTTCCCAAATGTTCATATTTGCAGATGGCTAAATGGTACTCTGAAGTCTACTGGCTCTTTGGTTCAACCAATTATAACGTCTACAAAAAAATAGTTCAGGAACTCCATTCTGCATGTCAGTGGCACTGAGCAGAGAACCACTTCAGACAAATGCTACGGTATGTGAAGGACCTACTCTGCTTCTTAGGGCATAGATGTTTAAGCGTTAAATAAAAGGCCCACAAACCACTGACTCTTACTGTAAGTCACCTCTCTATTCTGTCACTGTTGACATGTTACCCCAAAGTCAATATAAAACCAAGGTCACAATGAATGATTGTTGAGGTACTTTTAAGAGTCTGGTTAAAATATGTTGAATTTATCATAATTCTTTGGTCTCAAACATGAATTGAACTGATTTTTGATTTGAAGGTTTGAATGCTGCATGGGCACACATTTATTTCAATGTGTTGTTATTGATGTGATGCCCTCTGATTCTCAGCCAAATACCTTTTCCTTGTATTAGCCTATTTCTAACTGGCCCATCTTTATGGTTTTGCACTACTTTGAACTTGTTACTTCCTGTCGGTTACTGATTGTAGTTCCGTTTTTCAGTGTTGGTGTAAATATGAGTGAACTTCATGATGTATTCTTTCTTTGCATAGGTTGTAGTCTTTGTTCTACGTAACGCTTCTTTAATGCAGTGATACTGTAGAGGCAGATATGAGTTTGTTGGAGTTAGTGGAGCCGAAGATAACTCAACTACATTGCACTGAAATTTGGTGCAGATATTATTTGCCCCCAAAGAGTGTTGCTAATAATTTTAGTTTGGCGCTGCCAGCAGGACAAATTTCTCTGTTGACTACCTTGGTTCATAAGGTTTCACACTGCAAAAAAATGCCCTATCAAATTTAAGTTAAAAGTTTTTTAGATGAGCGTTCTTTTTGTTGAAAAAAGCAAATATGGCTACCAGTGCATTAAGTGAATTTCATTTAATGGGATTTCTTAAAGGACCAGTTCACCCCAAAATCAAAAATTCATATTTTTCTTCTGACCTGTAGTACTGTTTATTAGTCTAGATAGTTTTGGTGTGAGTTGCCCAGTGTTGGAGATATCAGCCGTAGAGATGTCACACCAAAACTATCTAGAGTTATAAATAGCACTGCAGGCAATAGGAGAAATATGTGTTATTGGTTTATGGGTGACCTGTCCTTTTAAAATAATTTAGGATGCCAGCTACCAGATATATTCAAATAAAATTACAAGTGAATTAATAAATACCAGAAGATTAAATTACCTAAAATAAGATTAGTTATATTCTTGTTTCCAGAAAACTTACCGGCAAGACCCGATTGCCATTCAACACAACCTATATGACCTTCAAGTTGGTAGGCTTGTGTGCTCAGATATTTTTTAGCAAACGTTAGCATGATAGCGCTCTTAACTGGTATACTGAACAGTGGCGTAGTGGTAGTTGTTGAGGTGGGTGCACTGCCAGGTAGATGGGTGATTACCAAGGACAAAGTGGGTATAGTCCTCCTATATATTCCAATGGCTTTTTGGCTGAAAAGTAGGTATATGTTAAGCAGGCAGAAAAAGAGGTGGATATACCCTGTATACCTGTGTACACCTTTCACAACACTGCTGAATATTGGAAAGATACCTGCAAAACATCAGCATGTTCACATTTAGCACAAGCATCAATTTGTCCAAGTACAGCCTCAGAGTTGTGTCTAGCAAATCCAGTAAAAAAGTTCTGTAAAGATGCTTTTGCTAAAAATGAAATGAAGAAAAGCCTTACTTTCCACAGCCATGCTATAGTTTTCTAAGTATGCCAGTTAGTGTGCTGACCCCCCAAACTATAAATGCTCATGATAAAATGGAAAAAGAAGTTCTTGTAGACAACATTTAAACTTAGATGTCCAGACCTCTGATCCTTCCTTAGACTTCAGGTTTCCCAGTTTGCTCACTTTTTCTTTGATAAACAGGTTCTTTGGCTCCAGCCACTCCATTCACACCAACCAGCAACAGTATTTCTGCCTGTAAACAGTACTTGTGTAAAACACTCATCTACCTTTTTGCACACAAGCAAAGAATCCAAAATCCAGAGCATGTGTTCCACTGCAGGTCAGTGGCAGAGAGTGAGTGAGAGAGTGAGTGAGTGTTTTTGTGAACCCCTTACCGCTGATGTATTATTGTGTTGTTTCAATAACAATAAAACCATTCTGCATTGTCATCTGTTTCACTGTTCATTGTTGAATTTCTACCATACTGCAGAGTTGATATGTGCATCTGTTTTGTTTGGGATCATTGAACAGAATACTATGTATCCATACCATTGCTTGAGCAGTATTGTGGTTATTGCTAAGTTAATGACATCATTCATGACAGGAATGAAATAGCTGTCAGATTTATAGGAGTGTGTTTCCCATCTCCTCTGGGGAGCCGCCTCTCTGTAAGCAGTTAAAATCCTGCTTGACAAGCAGATGAGCTCACTGAGCAAAACACTGAAATACATGTGTGATTAAATTAAGCTGATTCAGCGCCAAGGGACTCTGCTCCTATATCACTGCCTGGGTGGATGTGGATGAAGAAAAGGCTACACCTAAGGGTGTGTGTGTGTATACATAGTTGTGTGTGTCTGTAAGGTCTGAGTAATTCAGAGATTATAATGTGTGTCACGGTGGGGGCTGTGATGAGTTTCTGTATTCAGAGCAGCAAAGGAAACCACCTATTAGTATCTTAGGTTTACAGTGGCATGCACAAGTCAAAATTTCATTTACTGTGAATAGCTAAGCGAGTAAAAGATGACCTGATTTCCAAAAGGCATAATGACACATTTCTTCAATATTTTAAGCAGGATTACTTTTTAATTTCAATCTTTTACAGTTTCAAAATAACAAAAAATGAAAAGGACCTGAAGCAAAAGTTTGGTCACCCTGCATGGTCAATACTTAGCAGCAGCCTCTTTGACAAGTATCACAGCTTCTAAATACTTTTTGTATCCAGCTAAGAGTATTTCAATTCTTGTTTGGAGGATTTTCACCCATTCTTCCTGCAAAAGGCTTCTAGCTCTGTGAGATTCTTGGGCCATCTTGCATGCACTGCTCTTCGGAGGTCTAGCTACTGATTTTTAATGATGTTTAGGTCGGGGGACTGTGAGGGCCATGGCAAAACCTCCAGCTTTTATTGTTTGGTTTTATCTCAAACAACAACAACAAATAGCCATAAAATTAAAAGTAACAAAATGTCAGAAAAAGCACAACACAAATAAACAGTTTCATTCAGAAAAACAACAAAATAATGTGTTCGAGAGGGAACAGGGGGAAGCAGAAAGCTTATTTAGTCCTGTCCCTTCCCCATCCCTATATATAAAAGATACCCTGACAAAATAATAAATAAATACAACAAAGCAATTATTAAAATAAAGATCAAGGCATACTTAAACTAGCCTCCTACAATATCTTAAACTGAAGAAATTAATTTCCCAATCACTCCCCATATGCAACCAAAGTAAAATATTCAATGATCCATGACCCAGCCGTGAATGAAGTTAGTTACATTTATATTATACATGTTGTTTCATGTAAAGAACATAAATTTAATAGAAGAAATACTTACAGAAAGTAAATATAGTTGTTTAGAGGTCCTTGTTTTTGTATTTGTCAAGAATTGTTTTCTTGTATCTGTTTTTAAACTGTATAGAGCTAGTGCTTTGTTTGATTTCTTCATCAAGACCATTCCACGAGGTTACCCCACAGACTGATATGCACATGCTTTTAAGAGAAGTACATACACACGGTTGTTTAAAATTCAGTTTTCCTCTTAGATCATATTTTCTTTCTCTATTTTTAAACATTTGTTGAATGTTTTCAGGAATGTTTTTAGGCCTGTGCCTCTTGAGAAAGTCCATTGTGGATTTCGAGGCGTGTTAAGGATCATTATCCTATTGTAGAAGCCATCCTCTCTTCAACTTCAGCTTTTTTACAGATGCTGTGATGTTTGCTTCCAGAATTTGCTGGAATGTAACTGAATCCATTCTTCTCTCAACCTGTGAAATGTTCTTCGTGCTACGGGCTGCAACACAAGCCCAAAGCATGATCGATCCACCCCCTGTTCAACAGTTGGACAGGTGTTCTTTTTATGAAATTCTGCGCCTTTTTTTCTCCAAACATATCTTTGCTCATTGCATCCAAAAAGTTCAATTTTTACTTCATCAGTCCACAGGACTTGCTTCCAAAAAGTATCAGGCTTGTTTAGATGTTCCCTTGCAAACTTCTGACGCTGAATTTTGTGGTGAGGATGCAAGAAAAAATTTTCTTCTAATGGCTCTCCCATGAAGGTCATATTTGTACAGTTGTCGCTGCACAGTAGAACAGTACACCACCACTCCAGAGTCTGCTAAATCTTCCTGCAGGTCTTTTGCAGTCAAACAGGGGTTTTGATTTGCCTTTCTAACAATCCTATGAGCAGCTCTCTCTAAAGTTTTCTCTGTCTTCCAGACCTCAACTTGACCTCCACAATTCTCTTAACTGCCATTTCTTAATTACATTAGGAACTGAGGAAATAAATACCTGAAAACTTTTTGCTGTCTTCTTATAGCCTTCTCCTGCTTTGTGGGCATCAGTTATTTTAGTTTTAAGAGTGCTAGGCAGCTGTTTAGAGGAGCCCATGGCTGCTGATTAATGGGACAAGGTTTCAGGAGATAAAGCTTTGAAATTTGCATCACCTTTCCCAATGATGACTCCCTCTCTCTCTGAATTCAGTTAAATTCCATTCAGTCCAGTTCAATTCAGTAAGCTTTAGTGGCATGAAATTTTGCTGCCAAAGCACAATTACAATTTAAGACAGTGAAAATTCAGGAACAATTAACAATTTCTCTCTCTCTCTTCCTCCATTCCACCCAAATTCCAAAATCTACACCAGGTGAAATGTACACCTTGATTAAAATACAGAAGTATCACACAATTCAAAGCAGCCTCTGTAAAGACACTCCAAAACTATTATCGGACACATCGCAAGTAAGGAAACTCTTACATTGTGAAGCCCGTCACAAAACAAAGAGCACAAAGTCAACAATATAAGTTACGTTAAATTAAGCAACAGTTAGTTTCTGAGTAGCAGTAAAATTAGCTACTTTTTCAGTGTTGCCAATGATATCACCAAATGTGCTAAGCTAGCTACATGTAGCAGTGATGGAGAGAGGAAAGGCAGACTGTCAACAAACAAACAAAATGACTGCCAAGAGGTTGAGGACTTCTGTCAACAAGCAAACAAAATGACTGCCAAAGAGACAGAAGACTCTGTCAACTAACAAAAAAACAAAATGAGTGTCAAACAGAAGGAGGGCTCTGTCAACAAACAAACAGAAAGACAAAGCAGCACGTGCAGTTGGACATCAGTGTCTACTTCATCTCAATGAAAGACAGATAATTGCACTACAACAACAAATGTAAGTCAGGTACACTCTATTTATCTGTCTGTGTTTTTCTCTTTGCTCACTGGTGTATTTCCTGGGCCCTATTTCAGATTAATTATAAAATTACATTTATTTATCATGTAAATACATATTACTTGTATTGTTAGCGATTTAAGTCAGTAAGAAAATTATTGTACTCTCCCAAATTTAAAAGTCAACCATAGATCTTTTTCAATAATAATAATAATAATAATGATAATGATAATAATCATTATTATTATTATTATTATTATTATTATTATCATTACTAAATTAAAAGAAGAACAAGTCTATCTTAATAAAAGCAAGATAAAAGCTTTAAAAACAATAAAGGTATGGAGCCTGTGACTTAAAGCTTCATTATTTAAGTAATCAGTCTTACATGTTGTATAATCCTAAATTCATCTGTGAACATTTGTGCTTTGTCACACAGCAAACAGATAGTATTCCAGCAAAGAAACATCACACCACGCACAGAGAGTGGGAGGAACAGGAGTTAACAGTTGCTCATTTTTGCCTCTAGCACCTAAGTAGGTTGATCTGATCATACTCTTGATTTACACGCTATCAAGATATATTTCTCTATCTATCTATCTATCTATCTATCTATCTATCTAGCTATCTATCTATACTACTGTTGAACCTACTGTTCACTTCAATGTGACACTTTTTTGCTCCCATTTTTCACAGCTTCAAGTGAAAGATCTAAGAATTACTTTATGCCCTCAGTAAATAGAGTTCTTTCAAATTTTGCGTGCAACTTTGTTAAAAATCTGTTAGTGAGCACTGCTACTTTTCCAAGATAATCCATCCACCTGATGTGGCATATCAAGATGCTGATTAAACAGCATCATTACTGGTGGATGGTCACAATAAAAGAACACTCTAAAATGTGATCACACAACACAATGACACAGATTTTACCAGTTTTGAGGGAGCATGCCATTGGCATTTTGACTGCAGCAATGTCCACCAGAGCTGCTGCCCTTTAACTGATTGATCATTTCACTACTGGAAGACATTTTCAGAGTTTTTTTCTGTGAATTTGGCAGTACATCCATTGGCCTTACAACCTCACAAGTCTGTTATGATGGCAAGGTGAAGACCCTGGTGAGGACGATTAACATGCAGATGAGCTTCCCTGAGACAGTTTGTGCAGAAATTCTTCAGTTATGCAAAACAACTGTTGCATCAGTTGTTCAGGTGGCTGCTCTCAGACGATCTTACAGGTGAAGATGCTGAATGTGGAGGTCCTGAGCTGTTGTGGTTCTGGTCTGTGGTTGTGAGGCAGGTTGGATGTACTGCCAAATTCACAGAAATGACATTGGAGACATCTTATGGTAATGAAATAAATATTTAGTTCACAGGCAACAGCTCTGGTGGACATTCCTGTAGTCAGTGTGCCAATGACATGCTCCCTCAAAATTGGTGGCATCTGTGAACTTGTGCTGTGTGATCAAACTGCACATTTTAGAGTGGCCTTTTATTGTGACCATCCCAAGGCACACCTGTATAGTAATGATGCTGTTTGATATGCCACACCTGTCAGGTGGATGGATTATATTGTAAAAGAAGAAATGCTGCCTGGCATGGATGATTTTTAACACACTTGCCATTAAAAGTTGAGAGAAATATATCTATTAAGAGCATAAAAAAGGTCTAAGATGTTTAAGTTAAACTTGGGAAAAATTGGGGCAAAACTAGAAGTGCTGGATTTAAACTTTTGGTCAGTAGGCCTACATATTTCTGAAAATCGGTAGGCTATGGTTTTTGGTTTTGGTTTGGTGAACTAAACTCGAAACATAGGCTACTTATACACAATAGCTGTGCATGGTTGGTTTCTGCGTGTTCACAGTGACTGTGCAAGAGTGACCTGGAAGACGAGCGGGTTTTGAACATTAACTTTAGCGTCAATCTTTGAGCCCAGCGGAACACACAGCACAGACACCGCTTCCTGCAGCCTCCACCCACCGCTCTGTCGTCTGCACAGCTGTAAGTTCCTCCACGACTTTGAAACCGTAAAACACAAACTGAATCTGGATACAGGAATGTGTGGCAGATTTACAAGTTCGATCAGGAAGTTGAAGCGTAGTTTAGCTCGATGAGTCTTGCCGACAGACATAACCAAGTCACATGACCGATCGCTTCTCTTCAGGCTGAAACTATGTTTGTTTTGTTGCTTATCAATCTGCAGCTGATCCCTGCGGACTCTACCGAACATGGAAATCTCATTTGCAGGCAAACGAGCTCTGGTCACCGGAGCAGGAAAAGGTAAAGCAACACTTAACACAGATACACACACAAGACGGAAGCCAACGTGCGTACACTGACACCACCAGGCTGTTTTAATAATCGCATCCTCTCCAGCCTTACAACAGTTGGGTATCTCCCTTCATCCAATATCTCTGTGTAGGCTTATCCAATGTTAAGAAAACGGTTACTCTTCCTGTCTCCTAAGTGGGCGTGGTTAGCTCTCCCTCCAATCAGAGCCTGTTCTCCCTCAACCCCCCTCCCCACCACCGTGTTGAACAGAGGCTCTGTGGATGTCTGTGTATGCGGATTGAGAAGCAGGTGGGAAAATACATTCTTCCTATTATTGCAGCCTATTGCTGCACAAAGCTTGGGCATTTTTTATTTATTACTAGCGGTAAATAACTGTTTGTAAACTAACTGTGAACCCGCCTGTTTATCAAGATCACGAGATCTCGCGAGAACTTGTTTTCTGAGACGGACAGGGCTCAAACAAAGTTAACTTTCTCTTGATCTGTGCGGATGAAAAATGCAGCTTTAGTGTCAGAATGTTGGTAAGATGTGTGGCTTGTGGAAAATTAACCCAATATTTACTTTAGTGACTACTGGGCGAAAGAATTGACCATAAATTCTGATCACGTTCATTTTCCTCATTGACGACAATACATTCAGAGCTGCCGCAAGTCTCCTACGGGGGCGTGGCGCTGACGTCACTGAATCAGGACGTGAGCTGAGTTGGGTATCTCGCTTCATCCAGTATCTCTGGCCTACAGTTGGGTATCTCCCTTCATCCAATATCTCTGCTTCTATCCTCGATCACTTGACCCGCCCTGCGTTCCAATACCCATACTATCATACTATTTAGTATGCCAGAAAAAGTATTAGTGTGTCCCAATACATAGTATGTCAGATGCAGTATGCCAAAAGTACCAGGATGTTCTACTACATCCGGTCACATTTCGCAGTATGCATGTCAGCATGCTTCTTTGGCCATTCTGACCCACAATCCTTTGCGCAGCGGAAGTTACGTCACACTGAGCTGCGTGTACAACCAACGCCCACACTTCCTTTCATACATGGTTTATTTAATTTGAGATACTAAGACACTACATATTAGGACTGCAATGATCTGATTATATACTGTCACATATCATACAGTTTTGCAAGAACACGGTTACAACATTCAACTTTACTGTGATTATAGTATAATCAGTGTTAGGGTTCAACTATGACTACAATATAGAAGATTCTACCAGTACAGGCAGTGGTGTAAGTGTGGTATAAATAATGAATGAATATGACTAAATATGAATACACTATGGGCCAGGTATGAGCAGTATAGACTAGTAAATATATGAATAGTAAAAGTCAAACACATATTAAGTAATGTAGTAAGAATGTGCAGGTATGTTACACTACAAATAAAAGTAATGTGAATGTAAGGCTGCCTCACGTGCAGACAGAATATAGTGCCAGCAGCTGCATAGCTGTAAATATATTTAACAACAAACATCTGCCAGCAACAGAGAGCTGTGTGTGAAGGGGGTTAATATGCCTACTGGTGACTAGTTCAATAGACAGGTCACTAATAATAGGCTTGGGACTGTTTATTAGAAACAACAACATACATGACGACATAACAGCAACAGAGCTCTCTGGCACCTCAAACGGTATGCACAGCTCTGGCGAGCTCGACGATAGGAGATTTGCTGCATCTCCGAAGTACAACAACATAAAATATTCAAATGTGGCGCTACGGACGGCGGCGGAAGTGAGCAAGAAGGTCGGAGTTCAGGGAGCGATGTGATGGCGGATGTAGTGTGTCCCAATAGTATGCATACTGCATACTACACTACATACTTTTTAAGGGCAGCTGCAGTACATACTAAAAGTATATAGTAGAAGTATGCGATTTGGAACGCAGGGCCGGAAATCGATTGAGACTCGTCATCGTGTAGGACGTCTCAATACCTTAAATGCGCTCTGAGGAATCGAGGAGTTGAGGAGAGAGGAGAGAGGAGGCTTTCAGAGGGGAGGGAATCGAGGTAGGGGGAATCGAGTGCAGGCCTCGCAGAAGTCTTTTACCGACCGACTCACATGAACACATTGTGTGACTCTGAGCAGGAAGCGGTGCATATTATAAATAGGCTACAGAACACAGGTTGTTCTTCATGTGCAGGTTCAAGATTCAAGCTTCAAGACAACTTTATTAATCCCCTAAAGGGCAATTTCATTTGACAGCTCGCACAACAACACACACACAAAGTAAAAGTGAAAAGTAAATAGAGAATTAAATAGTGCCAGGAAGGTAGAGCACCCTATAGGCAGTGTACTTGCTGCAGTGGCTGTGGGCTTGTTTCCAGCCTGTGGCCCTTTGCTGCATGTCACCCCCCTCTCTCCCCCTTTCATGCTTTTTGGATCAAAAATGGCTCTTTTGTTAGTAAAGATTGCCAACCTTTGGCACACACACACACACACACACACACACAGGGTCTAAATTTTCCCATCTACACTCAAGCCCTTGACAATGTTTTAACTGATCACAAAAGAAACAATGAAACATTATAGTCCTGGGAGTATTTTATAATTTATTTATGAGTTTAACCGTTCAAATATTTCTTCTGTTATTGATTCAATTCCATTGTCCCCTAAAGAGACACTTGTCTTGCAGCCAGGAGAAACATAGAACACACAGACTTGAACATATAGAGTAGGCTACATGAAACATAATAAATCAGTAACGGTGAGAACATGACCCCAGCTACATCAAAAGATTAAAAACTGTCTGAAGCCACAAAATTATTTGAGTCGTATGATTATTAATAGGTCTAAATGAGCATTCACAGGTATGTTTTACCAAAGAATGGCTACTCTGCAGTGAGCTATTTATGATTTTTGGTACTTTAACTATGCAGCATTTGTGGTGATAGAAAACAGAATCTGTCCTGGCACTATTAAATCATTAATTACTCAAAGACTTTTACTTTTTTGGATTTGGAATCCATTGGTAGCCCAGCTGGGAGACCACTGGCATAAGGCAGTTACAATGGGCCCCAGTGCACGCTATTATGACAGGCCCTAGTTCACGCTATCGTGAACATATCGTCTTGTCACATGATCAGAGACTTGACACTGGATAACATCAGCATACATATTACCCAGAAAACATCATTGCATATCTGTATAAAAAATACCAAAGAAAATAAGATTTAATTTAATAATTTTAATAGCTGATTTATAGTCATAGAATGAGCATATCATTTTGTTACAGATGCTATTGACTATTTTACAAAAAAAAGAAAAAGTAAACATGACAGACATGGGTTTGCATTTTTCAAGGGCATATATAGCAATTGCACTGTTTTTAACTTAATGGGTTCTTCTTGGAACACAGGCATATTTCCAAGGTGGCAGTTACTCATGAGGGCCCATTCTCCACCCAACACATTGTTGGAGGGCCCTCTCGCTTCATGGGCCCCCCACCTCACAGGCTCCAATGCAACTGCACTGCCTGCGCCATCTATATTTAAGCCTCTGTGGGAAACTCAAGACTGGCCAACAGTATTGAGGGTCAGCAAAGATAAATGAATATTTAAAAGAAAAAAGTGAGTAATTTCCATATGATTTTTTTTTTCCTTGTCAAAACCACCAGGAGCCACTTGAGAAGGGCTCAAGAGCTGTAGCTTGCCTACCCCTGAGCTACATTGTCTTTAGGATCATCATTACTTGTGTGCAGTAAAAAAGTGTTCCAACTCACCAGAACTGAATTTGAATTGTAGTGGAGGTCCCAACATTTCTAAACATGTCAGGCTGAATGTTGGAGAAATGCATCTAAAATGATGCACAGGATGCACAGAATATTTTCTGTTGGTAGAAGAGTGCAACCATAAAAAAGAAAACAAAACCCTCAGGTACTGGGTGTAAACATTCATTTCACACAATGTTAGAGTCAGGAACATGTTTGATTTAATTTGATTGACTTTCTTGTCTACCTCAGTGGAAATGTATACAATGCACATAACACAGCACACCATTAGAAACATACAGAATTAGTATAGTGCAAATGGGCAAATGAAGCTTATGCAGACTGCATAGCCTGCAGGCTGCATGTGGAGAGGGGTTTATTTGTAAAGTTAAAGGATAAAATGTGGGATTCAAGAAGTCAAAAACCTACAGCATTGAGATAAGTTAACCATTTTGAGCCCTTTAAAGAGAGAAAATTACAAAAATATAACAATACATGTGGGAATGACACATGGAACTTAAAAGCAAGAGGGATACACACACATTGAAACACTGAGTGAAAGTGTTTTGATACATGAAATCATGATTAGGGCATGTACCAGTTACCTAGTTAAAGAATGGGAATAAATTAAACAGCGACAGAGATATACCCTTTAATAGCTTGCAAAATTAAAAATATCTGATAGAGCTAACACAAGTAACATATTACGTCATATTTATCAGATTTTGGAAAACTCTAGAAGTCAGGAAATTAAAGCAATCACCGGCTGGGAGGAGGAATTAAAGGTAGTTATACCTCCAGACATCTGGAAAGACAAAAGTAATAATACATGTATGACTACGAGTATTATTGGAAAATCAAATACGTTTCTTTTTAACACCTGTTATCCAAGCAAAGTGCTTTAGCTGGTGGAGAAAATGTGGGGAGGTAGAAGCCAGCCACACCCACATATTCTATTCCTGTCCAGATTTGCAGCAATATTGGACAGAAATAAGGGGAGCGATAGACAGCATTTTCCAGCGCTTACTAATTTTGGGGCCCAAGTAGCTATTACTTGGCCAAACACCACAGCTACTCTCTCAACACACGAATAGGCTACATATCTTTTGGAACTTTAAGAGTAGCCACACTTAAACAGATAACAAAAAACTGGTTGAAACCGGAGGCACCACAACTCAGAAAATGGAAAGTTAAAATTAACGAGATCTATAAAATGGAGATGATAAAACCACAGCATTAGGAATCTAGCTAAACTATTTGATGAAAGATAGAGGAGAATGCAGAAGACAGGTATTATACAGAAGTAAAAGGCAGGGGAAAATGAGAGGAGATGGAAGAGCAGAAGGGATGAAAGGAAAGATGGGGGAAAGAGAAGAAAGAAACATACTTTTTCCAGGATGTCCCCTGAACCAAACCAATTCTTATTTCTTATTTAAGTCTTTTTTTCTGTAGTGTATCTTCTAAGTGTCTTAGTTATTTTATTGATTTTACTCTTGTTTATTATTTATTGCAATAATCCTATGTATGCATAAAGGTATAGATATATGTATTATTATTAACTATCCAGTCATATCTATTTTATTATTATTTTGTTTTTTTTACTTGTTTTTGTTATTTGAGATATTGGGATCATGGAGTGGGATGGGAGGGACGTACAGTAGCTATTGTAATGATTGACACTTCTGCTCTTCTTTTGTTTCTATGAGAAGTAGCTCAACTGCTGTAAGGGACTATAATTTTGACAAATAACGTATATTTTTTTATTAAAAAAAATAAGAAAGCAAGAGGGATACACACACATCGAAACACTGAGTCAAAGTATTTTGATATGTGCAGTCATGATTAAAGCTTGATATTTTTCTAATGTTTTGATACTAGTATTAATTTACCTGCTGTATTGGAACAAAAAACTTTTTTGATACTTTTTTTTTTTTTTAGATTATTTTTTGGGGCTTTTTGCCTTTAATATACAGGACAGTGTGAAATGGGGGGATGACATGCAGCAAAGGGTTGCAAGCTGGAGTCGAGCTCGAGACCACTGTGGCGCGGCATCGCCTCTGTACATGGGGCGCCGGCACTAAACCTCTGTATAGTGAGTTCTAAAGCATTTATTACATGTTTGTTCACTGCTCATTAATCCTAAATACTGGGACTGAAAGTTAAGTGTAACCGCTGAAATTAATGAATTGATAAAAACTGAGGTGACAGAAATAATACCAATTAAAAATGAAAAAACTGATGCAATTTCATGTGAATTTTGAAAGACTGATGGAGGCATGTGATGAATTTGCACATACCCACACAGAGTCTTGTCAGTTCCAACATACTGAGAAAAAGGAATAGAAAAGGCTTTGTTCGTGGAGCGCAGTGTGGCAAAGCCTGAGACATGTGTGGAATGTGTGTGTGTGTGTGTGTGTGTGTGTGTGTGTGTGTGTGTGTGTGTGTGTCAGCTCTGGTGTCACAGCAGCAGCTCTACTCTGTAATAAGTCTTTGTGTTTATGGATGTTTTGTGTCCCAGGGATCGGCAGGGCTACGGCTCTGGCTCTGGCACGCTGCGGGGCAAAGGTCACGGCGGTCACACGTACGCAGGCTGACCTCAACAGTCTGGTGCAGGAGGTACTACACTTACTTTGACTCATAGTTGTATGTGATGAATAGGAGAGGGGGGAGAGATTCCAGTGGTAATGACTTACGAATCATTACATCATCTGACAAATGAGGACAGTTATATTCTTACAGAGCTGATTGTTTGAGGGTTCAAACTCTGTGCACTAACAATATTGTTGGAACCTGACCTTTGTAACGGGTCTCCAATTAATGGGAACTTAAGGTTCAAAGTATCAAAATGGCTATCAGAAATAATTAATAATTATTATTAATAATTATGCTAAATAATGTGACTTAATTTACATTAAATCACCTCATGGGGCACCATTCCCGGGAAGGTAAAAATGATAGCAGTCTCATCATACACTAAACTTTCAATTTGGAATTCTGATTAATAGTTAAACTAATACCTGTATCCAAAGTTGCCACATTAATAGTAAAGGTTGAAAGATTTTGGAGTTCTTGACATAGCAGAGGATAACTATTCATTCGTTCTTCTCCAATATTAAACAGACGGCAGGTACAATTCCAGATGTATTTATTCACAAGAAAGCAAAGCAAACAAAACCCCAGAATTTTAAGTAGTCACTATATACAAGCATAGGTGTGTTTACGTGTGTTTGGATGTGGGTGGGAGTGTGTGTGTGTGTGTGTGTGTGTGTGTGTGTGTGTGTGTGTAAGAAACAAAGGCCGTCTGGCCTACAAAACAAAATGGCTGGAAGACAAGATGTCCGAATCAAAGATAACTTCAGACCAGGGGAGGGTTTGCCTGACCATGTGGTTGGTCAGGACAAAGACAAAGGAGAAGAAGCAGGAACCTTGAATCTCCTCTTTGGGTGTAGCTATGTTGTGTGAGTATATATGTATGCGATATGTGTTGCAAAGGGTCTGGGTACTCATAAGTCATTGGAAACGCCATATCAATACCTGGAACACATGCATTGATAAAGGCTAACAGTTCTGCTCAGCTTGTACTGCTGTAGAGCTGGGAGGCTAGCTGAGGCTAACTGACTGTGCTGGCAGCTGAGTTAAGTGGAGCCTGAGGAAGCACCGGATAGCCCTGGTTTCACTACAGGCAGATTCACTCGCCACAGGGGCGAGGAAATAAAACCTAAACAGCCAACTTAGTTTGGCTTAGTTTAGCAGTTAGCGATGTCTTTCACTCACTCTCAGTCTCTGCTGTGTTTAGCTATTTCCTTGCTTTTCTGTTAGCATTAGCACTAGTCGGCTGCCACGCTAACGTTCCTACTCTTTTCCGTGAGCCGGAGCCGTGAGCCTGCGAGCCCGCCAGGCTCACGGCTCCGGCTCACACAGAGTAGGGACGTTAGCGTTAGCTCCTGGAATTAGCACTAGAGCTACTATGGCTACTGGAGTAACTTACAGCTATGGAGCGCTTCTACCAGCTCTTATAGTCACTGAGCCTTGCCTCCATCTCAGCAAATATATTACATATATTACAGGTACCATCATCATTGAAGTAGGCAGGGAAATAGCTAAACACAGCCCGCCAGGCTGCCTGCTGGGCTTCACATGAACATACATGAACACGCAGCCGGACCGGGTTGTAAACAAGGGGCTGGAGATCAACACAGAGAGAGGGTGTGTGAGGTCATGCTATACTCCAGATGAAATTACACCTCTAGTTCTTCACATAGCAATTTTTTAATTCCTTCAATCTAGAAATGATGAATTTCGCTTATTGCTCCTTTAAGTTGGCTTGGTGACATCACAGAGTCACATGTCACTGTGACAGTAGTGCCCAATCAAGTTTGAAAACTGGGTCCATGGGCAGGACTCTAACTGAGGTGTGACAACAATCCTGTAGAGATGAATGCCAAATGGCTGTCCTTTGCTTTGATAAACAAAGAACATGCGGTCTTGGCCACCATTTCAGATGGCAAGACCCAGAGGGAAATCCTTTACATGTCCAGTTTAGATCTTAACAAATGATAAATCATCTGTGGTCCAGTGAATCCCAACAATATCACACTGTGTATCTTTTAATTTTAGATTCATTACCTTAAACAAACTTTGGCTGACATAAGCCCCCATATGTGTTTAGTTTTCAGACTCTATTATTTTCACATCATTCTGATATATCAGAGCTTTCACAACAATTAGTCTTCCCAGTTACAAAATTGATTAAGTCATGGTGCAAAATGTCTTTTACTACAACATTAACTGTAAACTATCAGAACCATTGTGAAATACATAAGCATAAATCACTGCATAATGGGTAACATGAGTGATTTAAAACACATTTAAACACAGTTTTCTTCACCTTATTTCCCTAAACTCATTGTCTCACGACATGCTGGGAAACTCCACCCATTTAGCCCTGACACACCACAATATGTTAAGTGCACAATGATAGTGTTGTTTATTGGCCTTAAGCCAATTAGGTGTAATCAGCTTTATAAAGTTTAGTCATTTTAACTCAAAACGCAAAAATTGTTGACTTAACAGAAAAAAAATATGTCAAGCTCACAAGTGATGAATTTTTGTGTGAACATAAAGATTTTATGTTATTCTGACAATGCAGGGCATTTATGTAGACTTTACATTAAAATGTTGTGTCATGGATGAATTAAGGTTTACACTGTACAGGAAGATAAATATTTAAAAAGCAAAACCAAGAGCCTTATTTCAGTATATTCTATTATATTTTTATATTTTGTTGTGTTGATGACTGCTGGTTGACACTCAATATCTCCTCGGTGGTTCACCCACAGACACCCCCCCCCCCCCCCCCCCCCCCCCTCGAGCTGCTCTATTTGTTTCTCACTTGTTTCTCAATTAACTAATCAATAACTAATCATTAGCTACTCTATGAACTTTGATTATCTGTTACTCAATAACTAATGGTTCACTAACAGTTAGTTCCTCATTTTGTCCTGCTAATTATTTAAATGTTTTGTCTCCTTATTGTCAAGTGTTACTGAGATTTGTTTCTAATGATTAACTCTGGAGCTGTGTCCCAATTCTGTGCTAAATACTAACAGTATACAGTGTGTCTCTACTAACAGGACATGATTCTGTTTTTACTGTATTCATTGTTGAATGGATTATTATTGGTTTAATATTCACACTGAGCCATTTCTGTTTTTGTCCTTCTCCTTCATCTCCTCCTCCGTCTACTGTCTGCACTGACATCTTTGGCATTGGCTTCCTTTCACAGTGTGCATCCATCAGCCCCGTGTGTGTGGACTTGGCAGACTGGGGGGCCACAGAGACAGCCTTGCAGGATGTTGGCCCCATTGATCTGCTGGTGAATAATGCTGCCTATGCCAATCTGCAGCCATTTCTGGAGGTCACACCTGACCAGTTTGACAAGTAAGATTAAATACTCTCTGATGATGATATCCAACTAAAGCTGCCGCAAAATAAATACTCAGAGAACACAACATGATTTAGAAATTTTGAGTTGGAATATACAGTTTTACCATGTGGCAAACTGTATGTTTATTATGTTCTAAGGTGTCTTTCATCTCCAGGTCATTCAATGTGAATGTGAAAGCTGTGCTGCATGTCTCTCAGGTATAATGATGGCTCAAATCCACATCAATACGTAATTGTTTTTTTGTCTTTTTTCTCTTGTTAGAAGCTGGCCAAATGTAGATGACGTCCAGATGTTTACATAGACTTTGATGCAGTTCGGCAAAAGCACATGTTTTGATTGATCTAACCATTTACACTAAACTCAGGTTTTGGTGTCAAGGAACATATTGTATCCTTCAATATCACAATTACAGGAAATATGGTTTAATCGCAGCATTAGTTTGAATTCAAAAATTTGTATCAAATTGCTCCTGTTGAGTCAAACAGAATTGTGTCTCTGTGGTCAGATTGTGGCTGGTGGTATGAAGGCTAGAGGATCAGGAGGCTCCATCGTGAATGTGTCCAGCCAGGCGTCACAGTGTGCCCTCAGAGACCACACAGTCTACTGTGAGTACCACAGGAGCAGCCATGTGCCAACATTCACCTGAAACGTTTCCCTGAAGAAAAATATTTCAGTTAGCAGATCTCTTGAATGAAAGAAGCTAGTAGAAGTGTTCAGTACATATCTGAACATATCTTTAACAAAATCTTTAAACTGAACTGACTGTACCGAATCATCATTGCTGACTGACTCACTGCTCCCCACTGGGGACCAAGAGCACCACTGTCATCTTAGCTGTGAGATACAGAACAATACTGTCTGGTTAAAGGAATACTTCATCCCGAAATGACCATTAGTATATCAGTTACTCACCGTGAATGATGAATTCAAAAACTGAGGACAGGAACTGAGGTCTCGATGAATTGAGGTCATAAGTGGCCACGTTTAACAACAGCAAAGCTATATCAAAACATCCATTTTCAAACTCTCACACAACTTGTGCAGTATAATCCAGGTTTCATTTATCCAGTCATATGCTCAGTACCTCCCAAACAGACAGCCCTTTTTGACAAGGAACTGAGCGAAAAGTGAAACTTACCTATGTTCTCTCCAAAGCCAGATTTCATTGACAAAAACAGTAGTTTTCCATTTTACCTTTGCTTGTTTGTATGTGACTTTGGTAAATCCAAAATAACCCTTTCAAACACCAAAGTCACACGGCAACACAGACAAACTAACTGATCAAGGCAGGTGGCATGGTGGTGCAGTGGTTAGCATTGTCGCCTTACAGTAACTTGGGTGGAGGGTTCAAAGCCAAGAAAAGCCCAGAGGGGTGGGGAAGCCCTCCTGTGTGGCTGTTGTCCCCGTGTCAGTGTGGGTTTTCTGTGGGTACTCCGGCTTCCTCCCACAGTCCAAAGACATGCAAGTTAGGTTAACTGGTTGACTCTAAATTGCCCATGTACTAAACCATTGTGAGTGTGAACAGTTGTCTTTCTCTATGTGTCAGCCCTGTGATAGTCAAGCACCCTGTCCAGGGTGTACCCCACAATGTCAGCTGGATAGGCTCCAGGTGGACGATGTTACAGGCAGCAGAACATTCACCATTGCATCTCCAGACTCTTTCATGCTTGTCACATGTGCTCATTGTGAACCTGCTCTCATCTCTAAAGAGAACTGGGTGCCAGTGGCAGTCCTGCCAATTCTGGTGTTGTCTGGCGAATGCTAATCGAGCTGCACAGTGCTTGGCTGTGAGCACAGGTCCTACTATAGGGTCCCTCATGCCACCCTCATGGAGTCTGTTTCTGACAGTTTGGTCAGAATCATGCACACCAGTAGCCTGCTGGAGGTCATTTTGTAGGGCTCTGGCAGTGCTCCTCCTGTTCCTCCTCACACAAAGGAGCAGATACTGGTCCTGCTGCTGGGTTGATGCCATTCTATGGCCCTGTCCAGCTCTACTCGTGTAACAGTTGGCCTCTGATATCTCGTCCATGCTCTTGTGCTGGGAGACACAGCAAATGTTGTTGTGACTGCACTTATGGATGTGCCATCCTGGAGGAGCTGCAATACCTGTGCAACCTGATTGGGCTGCAGGTACCGCCTCATGCTACCAGTAGTGACAAGGACACTAGCAGAACACAAAACTAGAGAAGAATCAGTCAGGAAGGACAGGGAGAGAGCAACTGTCTGTGGACACCACATGTAAAACCATTCCCTTTTTGGGATTTGTTGTGCTTTTGCCTCTCCATTGCACCTGTTGTCACTTTCATTTGTACCAAAGGTGAAACTGATTCACAACCACTTGTGCTTCCTAAATGGACAGATTGATATCACTGAGGTTTAACTGACTTGGTGTTACACTGTGACCATTAAATGTTCCCTTAATTTTTTTTGAGCAGTGTATTTATTTATTGTGTGATCATGAAAAACACGTTACTTTGCCACATAAAAAAAAAAAGGAGTTGTATGGTGTTTCAGTGTTTTACACCAGAGAGCAACATAAACCTGCCAATGCCAAATCCAAAGCACTTTTATTAATTTACATATGGAGGTGCAAGGGAGCTTTTTCTTTTTTGAGATGGAGTTACATTGTCTATGTTAAAATGATAAACAATCAACTGTCCAATCACAGCTTAGGGCGTGACCATGGGTGATGCTTGGTGTCTGATGGCAGCCATGACAGACAGCCTTTCGCGTTAAAAAAGCTTCTTGTGGATCAGCTGTCTTGAGGGACATTACTATTGACAGGACATATAGTTACATTTGTAATTGACTGAATGCAGTTTTAGGAATTCTCAGTCACAAATTCTTCCATAATGGGACCCATAATATATTTCCCTGTTAACTACTCTGCTAACCACTGTTTAGCTGATTCAATTATTTGTAAATTTCTATCAGAAGTTGCAGAGGGCAGCACTGAGACTGCAAATGAACAGGGCCCATGTTTCACTGCTGCAGCCCTGGTAAAGTTCCTGTTGTCTAAGTGTTCGTGTCATTGTTCAGGTGCCACTAAAGGAGCCCTGGACATGCTGACTAAAGTGATGGCTCTGGAGCTGGGACCCCACCAGGTAGAGTCATTCTTACATAACACAGCAACCTCTTTCAATAATTCTCATCATAGTTTGGCTTGTTACATTTTACAGTCAGCTGAGTGAACATTATTTAGCTTGATCCCAGAATTGTCATTAGTAGCCACGGTGGATGCTGTTTAGCAAATTTACAGTGTCTTTCATAGGGCAGCACGGTATATGCGGTAGACGGTAGAAATGATATAAATTTGGCCCACGGTAGAGATTTGCGCTCTACCGTCCTATCGTCGATGACGTCATCGCACCTGCCTCAGTGTAAAAATGGCTGCGAGCACAGAGACAGCGGAGCAAGAGGAGCTGGTTCACATCTGTGATTTAGCGTAGCACGTGCAACATGTGTTGCTGGAGAACTTGTGAGTGAGTGAGTTAATGTTTTATGAACAGCCCCGGACTTCTCAGACACTTTTAGCGACTTACCGCTCAGAGGGAACTCATTCAGTGTCTCTTCTGGCAGCAGCACAGCGTCTCTCCCTCTCCTCTCTCGCCGTGCGCACACGGGAGTTGGTTTTCGGCAAGAGAGTTTGTCATAAACCTTTGGTAATGTAAACCTATGTGACGCTAGGGGCTCCACAAAAAACTCCATATGTGAATGTGTGATAGTTGTGGTATTATAACTGCCTGTCACAGGTTACAGCTTGATGATTAGAGGAGAAATGGCAGAGCATAAAGGTCCAGGTGGAAAAAACACAACTCAGTCATTTAGGATTTTGCTAAAAGAAGGAAATTACCTTTTGATATAGATCCCAGGGGACATTTTGCACCATAGAGTACTGGGTTTTAATTTTGAGTTTTGAGATCTGCATTCTGCACAATAAATGCTCTAAAAAATACATTATATCTTTGCTTTTGTTGTTGTTTTTTTTTAAATCAATTTAGCTTTGCTAAGGGACTACAAAACCCATTCAGAAACGCTTCTATTATAACTTTTACACTTAAATTTATACCACGATATATACCGTTACCGTGAAGGGATTCGATTTATACCGTGATATGAATTTTAGGTCATACCGCCCAGCCCTAGTCTTTCATAATGACAGTGCAGCGAAATCTTGTGCACAGAAAAAATAAATAAGCACAATTAAATCTTATTCATGTGTATCTTCTATTCAAGGACGTGTTTTAAAAATGAGAGGATGAATGGTGCTCTCAGTGATTAAATATTGGAATAGTTTTAACTGAATTGTCAGCATTGTGTTCTGATCAGATCCGTGTGAACAGTGTGAACCCCACAGTGGTGATGACTGAGATGGGTCGCCAGGGCTGGAGTGACCCCGAAAAAGCCAAGACCATGACGTGCCGCATCCCTCTAGGCCGCTTTGCAGGTCAGACACTACAGGCTGTATATACATGCTGTTGACAGTGATCCTATCCCCATCCATAATCGATACCTGCTGGAGCCTATCCCAGCATGCCTTGAGTGGAAGGCAGGGCGCACCACAGAAAGGTTGCCAGTCCACCTGATTACTACCTGCACATCTTCAAGGCATAGTTTCACATTTGGGAAATGTGAGATGAGAGGATAAAAATGTAAAAATATTGTTTTTAAGATTTCACAAGGAACTGCTCCTAGTTACTCTTACAGTAATTTTAAGAGGTTGGGGGAAGCCGAGAGTCATAACACCATAGCCAGAGTAGCAAATCTTTATAGATTTAAGTGGAAGATGGTGTCATGGAATGGAATAAGCTTCCTCTGTTTATTAAAACTGAGGTAGGCACCTCAATTGTTATGTTTTGGGCAAAAAACCCATAATAGATTTTGAGCATATTGTAATTAAAGTAGTCTGAGAGAAAACTAGAAGTTTACCTCCTCTTGCCATTCTTTTCAGGCTTTAGAAAATCTAGCCTGTGATGGGAGACTTTGACCAATCACAGGTAATTTCAGAGAGAGGGTGTTCTAAAAATGCAGATGCAGGTGCACATCCCATTGGATGGTAAAAGTCAGAATGGTGAAGAATCCTGCATAGAGAGTTGCTATTCCAGCATTGGCAACAACTGCCTACACTGATAGCAACCCAAAAAAAGATGGGCTTATAGTCTGACAATAAACACACACAACATGTCAGTGTTGGCAAAGTTTTTCAGAAATGGAGAGAATATGTTGGTAACAGTTTAGCCTTCTGCTAACTGGCGCTGAAGGCTCACAACTGCTGCTTTAAGTAAAAGTTTACCTAACTGATGTTATTTAGAGCCTCGAATCACAGTGTGTCCTTCAACTCACTCCCCGCTGCCACAGACCACTTCACTTGGAGGAGCGCAGCCAGCAGCTCTGAAGACTGACCCCCAGTCAGCGGCTACAGCAACTTGACTCAAGCCAGCACAAAACCCTGATCTGAGGAGCCACACAGTCCCTACCTGCTGCCGGATCAGCAAACTTTCTGTTGCTGCCGTTACACAGGTTTTAGACCCAACGCTGGGACCCAACAACAATCCACTGGGACACTCTGCTTTGGGGGGTTTGTGCTGGCTGTATTCAAGCTGCTAGTTGCTGACCAAAGGTCCGTCTCCAGAGCTGCTGCCGACTCTCCTCCCAGGGAGCTCCCAGCTGCAGGGAGTGAGGCGGAGGGACCATGGGGTGGCTAGCAGCAGATTCTAGCCTCATTTGTGGTCCAATATACAGAGAGAGTGGAGCAAGGAGGGGCTGAATGAATCAACTTTTGCGCAACTTTACAATGAAATGTGATAAAGAAATGAGTGTATGGTAAACACGTTACTGTGTGAAGTGTGTGCATATGCTTTTGGTCGTCTGGTGGAAGGGGCTTAGGGCAGAGAGGGGGGAGCTGCAGGAGGAAGAGGTATTTTCGATAAGAGGGGGTCAAAAGCAAAGGCTAAACCTTGGCTGATAGATTGCATTCCTTTATAGAATATGAAGATCTTTATTATTTTTTCCATCTACCGTCCACTTAATTGATCTTTGCATCTTTATTTATTTCTCAACTGTTATCTTTTATGATTTTTTTCCTGTTTTTCCCCTATCTAAAAGATCTTTATCAATTATTTGGTCATGATTGTTCTGTTTTCTTTGTTCTTCTGCTCCCACTGCTCAGCCTCCTCAGAGAGTTCATCCTAGGGTTCTGAAAAGGAGGCTGATGGTTAATTCAGATTCAGGAATGTGGATTCACCCTCTCCTGCCCATTCAATCTACATGCGTTTTGTGTTCACATTCTCTGCATGAATGTCTAGCATGTTCTTGGTCAATGTTGGACTCCGCTGACTTGAATTGTCCCCAGAATTGTCACCAGAATTTGTGACAAGACTGACTTGTCACCAATTCTGTTTACGGTTTTCATTGATAGTCAGGATCCCTAGGTGTAGCCAAAGAGTGCATTTAAATCTAAATCTAATGTTACTGTCAGCTTGGACACAAACAAAATGCCCCCAGTGGTGCAGTTATGCAGTGTATGCACATACTATACATGCTTACACTCAATAAAAGTGTTAACTGAGCTCCCTGTGTGTGTGTGTGTGTGTGTGTGTGTGTGTGTGTGTGTGTGTTTGCAGAGGTGGAAGACGTGGTGAACAGTATTTTGTTCCTGCTGAGTGATAAGAGCAACATGACTAATGGAGTCACTCTGCCGGTGGACGGAGGCTTCCTGTCCTGTTGACAAACTTGAGCCTCGTCTCAGGACACTGCCCCCCTGTTCAGAGGGAAAACAACAAGTACCTCCTGTCTCATCATCTCACTGCATTATACAAAAGAGGTCAATTTAACAAAGAAATTAAACTCAACTACTGCACAAATCAACCTCTAACTTTTCTTTATTTGTTAATTATATTTATTGTAGTATTATAGTAGTATTAATATGTCATATATGTTTCTTTGGTAGTTATGGTAATAATTTTGATAATTATTGGTACCTACAGGGCACCACGTTTGCAGTTGAGGTTAGAAACAAGTCTGAGTAATGATGATGTAGAATATTTTAAAGGTCTATTGTTTAGGATTTAGTGGCAGCTAGTGGTGAGGTTGCAGATTGCAACCACCTGAAATTCCTTTCCCATGTGCAACGCGTATAGGAGAACTACGGTGGCTGATGCAAAAACGCTGATGGCCCTAGAGCCAGTGTTTGGTTTGTTCATTCTGGGCCACTGTGAAACAACATGTTGGGCTCCATGGATTCTGTTAACCCAACCTGGTCAGGACCCTTCAAAGGTCTCACAAACTAAAAGCAGTCATGTGATGAATAGCAGTAGAGAATTAAAAACACATTTTCCAACATAAATTATGTTTATTTTCTGACATATCTCCAATTTCTGCATTTTCTTTAGACATTGTTTTGTTTCAAGGTGACACTAGCTGAAAAGGTTGAGCACCAGTATACTTTAGATAGCACTGTAAAAATCCATCTGTTATCTGTAACCACTCAAAGGGGTGGGGCTGATCCCAGCGGGTAATTATAAATATGTGTACAATATGTTTTTTGGTGGATTTAAAAAGTGTCCAAAATCAATCTGTCATTCCAGAATACATTGTTATGGATATTCAGGACTGGCTGGCAGCAGCTAATGATTATTTTCTGGATTAATAATTTAAAACTATGGTCTACGTTCAGAAAGACGATGAGAAAGATTTGAAAAAAGCACCCCCCCCCACACACACACACGCACACACCCCCCTCCCTCTGTGCTCCATGATCCCTCCCCTCCGAGCTCGTGTCCCCTTCCCCTCGGAAACTAAAACTAACGGCAGCTTTCACAGTCATAAACCAGCATTGGCATACAGTTATCTATGTCACAACATCCACAATAAAAACGAAATATTACCTGTTCAACAAAAACTGTATCAGCATCACTTTTCAGGCCCAGATCTTGCTGGAGCTTTCTCCATCGGTCAAAGGATGACCCGATGTTTACTCTGCTTTGAGCCCTCAATTTGTCGCATTTCCTCTTCATTTCTGCCTTTTCAGAGGCAGACTTAGGCTTCTTTTCGGCCTTTGCCGGTGGGGCAAGCAGAGGCCGCTTGCTGCTGTCACTCTTTATTTTCCATATTGAAACTCATGTAGCTGAATCACTCAGGGCCTTACAAACCACTCGTACTTTCAAATGCGGAGGGGGGTTGGGACGAAGCGGGACGAGGAGCAGAGGAGTGTCAAAATGGAGCAAGGGGATTGGACGGAGGGTAAGAGAGAGAGAGAGTGCAAATTTGAGCAAGGAGTAACTCCCATGCGGACGGATGGCTGTGATTGATCAATTTCTTTGCAGGCCTGCAGCCGCCAGAGAGAATGGATTTTGGTTCCTTTTGCTCTTCACATTGTGTAGCTAGCACTATTGGGCCATAACCACCATCTAAATGATGATAATAATAATGATCAGTCTTTCTAAAGACCATAGCTTTAAAGGGGCAAAAAGAGAAATAGTTTCACTGCTAGGTTTGCTGTTGTGCACTGCCTGTAGACCAAAACAAAGTGTGTCATGAGCCACACCTCCCTCTACCTCTGATCTCCACCCCCCACCCCACTCACCTGGTCTGTGCAGGCGAGCACCACAGCATCTCCATGGACTATTACATCCAGACGGTCCCGGTGTTTCTTCCGCAGGCTCCACTTCACTCAGCTGCCCGATATACCTGCTGCTTCTTCCCGCATTAACCTGAATAACGAGCCAGGGCTCGGTGCTCCGGTTGGATACAAACGGAGAGCCGGTGCTAACGTTAGCTGGGAAGCTAGCGGAGACTAACTGGCTGTGCTGGCAGCTGAGTGAAGTGGAGCCTGAGGAGAAAGCACCGGTTAGCCCTGGTTTCACTACAGGCAGATTCACTTGCCACAGGGGCGAGGAAATAAAACCTAAACAGCCAACTTAGTTTGGCTTAGTTTAGCAGTTAGCGATGTCTTTCACTCACTCTCGGTCTCTGCTGTGTTTAGCTATTTCCCTGCTTTCCTGTTAGCGTTAGCACTAGTCGGCTGCCACGCTAACGTCCCTACTCTTCTCCATGAGCCGGAGCCGTGAGCCCGCGAGCCCGCCAGGCTCACGGAAAAGAGTAGGGATGTTAGCATTAGCACTAGTCAGCTGCCACGCTAACATTCCTACTCTTCTCCGTGAACCCGTGAGCCTGCCACGGCTCCGGCTCATGGTGAAGAGTAGGGACGTTAGCGTTAGCTCCTGGAGTTAGCACTAGAGCTACTACGGCTACTGGAGTAACTTACAGCTATGGAGCGCTTCTACCAGCTCTTCTAGTCACTGAGCCTCGTCTCCATCTCAGCAAATATATTACATTTATTACAGGTACCATCATCACTGAAGTAGGCAGGGGAATAGCTAAACACAGCCCGCCAAGCTGCCCGCCGGGCTACATTTTACAATGCTAATTGCAAATGTTAGCTGGGCTGCCGGGCTACTCACCTAACACAACCATAACACCTCACCCATTGCTGGGACCGAGCCGCTAATTACTCAAGCTCCGGACATTAACCCATGCTACGATTGTAACATTAAATTTAATTGAATCGACATAGCGACATGTGCCTAATGTTACTGTAACACTAATTAAAACAGACATTTGACTTTATGTTGTTACTTAATGTTACCTGTCCAGGAGAAGAAGAGCTAGCTCTGAGTCAAATTGTAGTCCCTTTAGTTCTTGCAGTGCTCTCCACCTTGGAAATGCAAGGCCAATGTTAATCCGAGTTCTGTCCCTTTCTTTATCCTACAACTTCGTTGCCAACAACCGTTGTTTCTTAAGAGGTAATGTCGGATCCTGGTCGTCTTCAGGTGGATGTTTTGTTCCGCTCTCTGCCATTTCACTTCGAAAATACGCGCTGCCATTGCTCACTGGCTGTAGCCTTTTATAGGGAGGGAGGGCCAAGGGCTCCGAGAGGGGGGGTTCACATGAACGTACATGAACGGGCAGCCGGACCAGCTTGTAAACAAGGGGCTGGAGATCAACACAGAGAGAGGTTGTGTGAGGTCATGCTATACTCCAGACGAAATTACACCTCTAGTTCTTCACATAGCAATTTTTAATTCCTTCAATCTAGAAATGATGAATTTCGCTTATTGCTCCTTTAAGTGGTTAAATTATTTAAGACTGTGAAGTCTGTTACAACTTTCTTCATTCCCAGGTTATGTCTTCAAACAGCCAATGACATTGGACAAGATGAAACCAGAGAATGTTGGGACATTTTGCTTGGAAATAACTTAAATGAGTGATTATCAAAAAAGATAGCAGTAAACTTTCTATTAATCAACTTATTGATCAATCAACTGCTAAATCTTTGTAATTTAAGCCATATCATTCTACCAGTTTCAAAGAGACATAGTCAGGTGACATGTCCCCGGTTCATTAATCTGATCAGATTAGGTCTGATTTACCCAACCACAAACTGATCGACTGATCAATTCTCCACCCTGCAACTCAAACTCAACAAACTGCTGCTGAGGGAATAAAAAAATTCTCATGAAGACTTGCACCTGCGGTGTGTTTACGGACCCGCAAAAACCTCTGACTTTAGAGATGAGACACAAAATGATCACAAGGGACACACGAACAAACAAAAAAGGCCATTAATCTTTACTAAAGTCCGTTATACACTGCGATTTTGAGCTGTCCCAGGTAGATGAACGATGTGAAAGTCACGGGGTGCTATCTTTGGTGGTGGCTGTAAAAAAGTGGTCCTATGTCCTGTGTAGGAGGTTTAAGTGAGAGCGTATGTGGGGGAGGGGAGCAGCGCAGCATGACTCGTCTTGGCTGTGATAAGATAATTTCATTTAGGTGCAGTGGATTCTTATAACTGCCACTAGGAGCACAAGGAGGAGCCAGAGGAACATTATTTTTTCAGAATATTTGACTTTTGCACCACTGTCAGTTTCAGCAAATGTGACAATAAGGTTTTTTTAGTCCACTTACTTTACTTGTGTTTCTTTCATGTTGTTATTTGTTACTGTGGGTCGTAAAGAGAAAGAAAAGGCTGAGTGGGGAACAAATCATGACAGAACAGAGAGTACCTTACATATACATTTGTATTTAGTATACAAAAAATTGAAATATTTCACCACACAGACATGTGAAGTAATAAAAAATAAGACAAACAGTTGGAACAAGTATACAAGTCATCTTACATTACATACGTACATGGCCAATGCATTTCATCATACAACCTCTCCTAAGAATTACAGTGGGTCAAAGAACCAGAGAACTTCCATGCAAGAGTAGATTAGAATTTTTTGCTGCGTTTCTCATCTACATTTCAACACCTTAGCTAGGCAGGACCGCACAACATGATTCAACCACACAGTTTGCTATGCCAACCAAAGACAGCGTGACAGAGTGGACTGCAGTGCTGCGTCTCGCCACATGAGGGAGACAGACACACTGCAGACCTGGAACCATACAGAAATGCATTTCATAAAGGTGCAATCTGCACTGTTTGCCACAATGACAAACTCCACAAAGATTGGCCCCTTTATTGTACACTGTTAGCAACACTTCTAACTTCAACACAAGCGACTATAATCCCTTTAGTTTGAATTGTTTTAGTTTTAAGAGCTAAATATTCAGGTACATGTAGATAGATATTCATAACGCATTCCTTTTCTAAGGATTATTCTGTACATCACTAGATGTCATTAATATCCATTTTTTTCTTCCTTTATGTCCACAGATTGTTGAAAAGTCTTGTGTATTACTACAATACAATATGAAATAGTACCAAAAACTGGACACTAAAAAACTTGGCTTAAAACAATACTGTCTTTTATGCACTACCCCAAACTGTGAAACAAAGCTGTCTCACTGATACCGACTCGTGCTCGTCCACTCACACAAACACCAGCGCTCATATACACGTCTGTGACTCTCTCTCTCACACATACACGCACACACTCACACTCACAAACACTCACACTCACGCACACACAGAGGAACAGAGACAAGATCTAAACAATGGGATAAATTAAGACAAAATATTTTAAGACCCATGCAAGCTCCTCCATCCCCAAAGGCAGAACTCAGGCAGCAAGGTTGTACAGCCCCCATGTTTGGCATGCTTGTCTTTCACATGTTCACAGTTAGATGAAGTTACCCACAGACACCTGACTGAGATCAGATGCTTGTCCAAAGTAAACAACATGCTCAAGAAACATTTTTTTTTCATCATAACAGGACAGCACAGATTGGATTTTCCACCTTGTTAACAGTGGTAAAACAACTTCAGCTAATGCCTGGTACACACTACATGATATCAGCCCAATTATAGCCTGAAGCAGCGTCATATGGTGTTGGCATGGATCGTGAATGACAATGAGTGTCTTATGCGATAATTCATCATTTCATCTCACGTAGTGTGCCATAGTAGACAACAACCGACACCACGTCTGAGACGCCTCACGACATTCCGACAGAAAGTCTAGCATGTTTGATTTTCTTTTTGTTGTTCAAGACTGCTCCCGTCACAGCCCTCACTTTGATCAATAGAGACACAGAGCGATAAGCTGCCGTAGACAACTGTAACTAGGGACGTTACCACAACAGTTTAAAAAGGGAAAAAAAATACTGCCAGTAGTAGTAATATTACTGCCATTAGCATCAAGCTAGCAAACAATGTTATTTCTTCATAATGGAGATGGACATAAAGTAAGAAAATTAAAAAATAGTGGAGGGGCTTTTACTTACCACAACTGCAGAGGCTACCAGCTTCATTTGAAACAGACTACATTATAGACGGTCCATTACTTATTATTCCCTTTGTATTTTCATATTTTTACTTTTTATCTACTCCCGTTTGCCTTGATAAAGTTAATGCATTGCACCGTCATTTCAAACTCAACACTTCCTGTATCTGTATCTAAAAATAAAAGCCCCTTATAACTTCGGTTGAGAGAATCCCTTCATTTTCTAAATAAGCTTTTATTGTAAAACATTTGCAGGAACTTGTTGTGGAGGAATCAGTGACTTGCATGTTTGCTTACAGTACTTCAAATGTAGCTCCTGCCATCTCTACTACAATAACATTTCTGCTAGCACATGAACAGACAAAGTGACTGAAATAATAGGAATAATAATAAAAATAGGACAAGAATAACCTGTTGATGTCACTCACGTCGTGAAAGACGACCAGGGATAATTAGTGTGGTCCCTTGTGTAGTGTGTCATGTCTGTCGGCCAAGTCACGGCACGATTTCATGACTCCACAATAGCCTAATGTGACACAGTGACTGTTAAAACGAACAGAAATGTCGTGTAATGTGAACCAGGCATAATTTGACAAAATGATCTTAACTCAAAGTTCACTTAGTAGCTTTTTCCAGAGCTTTCAACCATACCTCATGGACTGCATTAGCAAAGAAGACCCAGTGAATGACCCACAGAAGTCTTCATCATCTCATGGCCTATTCTGATGAAGACCATAAGATGATGTTAAAAGCTCAACTAATATTTGCAAGTTAAGCTTGAAAAATGTAATGCTTGAACTTGTAAATTGCACAACACCTCATCTTCTTCGACTGAGCAAACTCCGCTGCTGAACAGGCTGCAAGGTGTGGTTGAAAGCTAAAACCAAGTAAGTGGAACTGATAACCGATCAAAATATTTTTGTCAAACTAGCTCAAGATTGAGCCTTCACACTCGATCTTACAGTACGTTTAGGATTGAGGATTTGTGCAAACGTAATGAGGAAAGCCAAAAATGTGATGGGTTCAGAGACACTGGAGTTAAGTCACTAATCTTACAATGTTATGCTCCCATGTAAACCTTTCAGAAGAACATGTTCATAGTTTTGTACATCATTCCTTTCAGTATCAATGACACTGCACTCATCCAAATTATTGCTGAGATGTCTGAACACCATTAACCCATATTCCCCATTCCTTAAAGGAATGCCTCACCCGCAAAATGACCATTTGTATATCAAACACGCACCACCTACTGTCTTGAATTTGTGAAAAAAAACTCTTTTTTTCCTCTCATGCCATCATGGTGAATGGAGAATCCAAAAAAAGCATCATTGTTCACAAATTGGGCCGCATTTAAAACAGCAAAACAATATCAAAATATCTGTTTACAAACTCTCATGCAGCTCCTGTATAATCAGAGTCTCAAAGTTTGTATACAGATATTTTGATATAGTTTGGCTGTTGTTAAACTTTTTCCCAAATGACTTCAATTCATCAAGAATGTTCACCTTTTTTGGATTCTTTATTCACTGTGTAGGCATGCGAAAAAAACGTTTTCTTCACAAATTCAACGCTCAGTGAGTAACTGATATACAAATGGTCATTTGACCATGGTCACTATCTGGCCCCAGATTTTCTCTGTGTTCATTTGATTAAATACATTGATTTGGCAATATGCAACATATTAGCAAAAATCTGAAGTAATAATGGTCTGACAATAGGTTTTGACAAAGGGTCCCTCAATAAATGAGGGTCTTATGGCTAAGAACAACTGCTGAATTTGCTTGAAAGTGCAGTCTGACTCATCAGACTTTGCGTTCTTAAATCTCAGCAGTGACTTTAGTGAGTACATTATTATTGATTGGAATGAGGGCTAAAACTACAAAATAAGACCCAGGCTGTAATTAACTAGAAATTCCCTGGAACTTATCACATTTCTTGTAGAGAAAACACATTAAACCATGATCTATTTGTGAAGTTTAGTGAATGCAGGCAGTAGTATTTTGTTTGTTCTGTCAGGAGCAACAGATTTGTGTGTGCATGCCAGTAGTATGCATTTTTTCTCCACATGCTGATCTTAGATCAGGAGCTGAGGGTAACTTCAGACCTGAAGGCTTATTCATAGTTCACTTTCTATCTAGTCAACACCGCATTAATTCAAGCAAGCGTGGCTGAAACAGAAGAGATGTCGCAGTATGAAGACGAGTATTAGAAACCTTTGTCAGCCCTCATGGCAACTTGATGTGGTTCTATGAGTACAAAGTAGGTGGATAGTCAATGTCTTTCACAGAGAACCTATGAGCCTATTCAGTAATGGTAAAAAAATTGGATTAAGTATTGGTCTTGTTACCAATATCGCTTTGAAAAAACATCAATATAAAGAAAGCAATCTCAGCAGTGCACACTCACTCTCGCTAGTTTTCTCTCATCCTCTCAGAGAAGTAGTGGTTGTTGTTCATGGTGATGTAGTGAAGTGTTTTAGCAAGGTTTCCTCCTCAGAACATGGTGCACCTCTTTCCCCTTTTCTTCACAGGCGGAGGGCAGAGCACGGCTCGGATGGCCTCATCAAATACCGTCTTCAGGCCTCGCTGGGTCAGTGCAGAGCACTCCAGGTACTTCACAGCCCCTGAGGAGAGAAAAGATTTCTCAGTGACAAATGGAGACAGTCAAAAACAAACAGATATGCCCTCAACCTGAGGGCCTCAGTACCCTTGAAATTAAGTCCTTAAATAGTGTCTGAAACCTCCACCTCCCACCACATCAGAATTGTGGAGAGTGTGCAAAGGTGTGTAAGTATTGCACCATGAATGCTTTCAGAGAAAACATGTACCCTTATCCACACAAGTAATATTTGTTGCATTGAGAGTACAAAGGCACGCAAAAGACACAGAGCTGTTGGAGAAAGATCAGGGAGTGATGGTGTTATCACAATGACATCTGTTATTTATCTGATGGAGATAGAAAAGCATGGACACTTGTGATGTGTTCACAACAATAGTTTCACCCTATCAATTGATCAAACATGTCATCAAGTCAAAAGAACCCTGCATCATTATACCAGGCCACCAACGGTGTGCTGCAGGCTAACTTTAGCAACCCTTGCTAACAGGAGCACTAACAAGTGCAGCATCTTCTCTGCAAGACTTTGTTTAAAGATCAGGCATCATATGCCATCAAAGGAGGTGAATGCAGCATGGAAATATGTCAAAATGTAGGACTGTCATCCACAAATCAGCAATCGCAATGTAACATTAGCTAGCTAGCTAGTTAGCGACCAAGACATCAGCTTACTATTAGCTTTTTTTGTTATGCTTGTTATAAAAAAAAATGACCATTATACATTAAACAACACTGAACTAAGTTAAAAACTAAATCATCATTTTTAAAAGCTTTATCAACAATAAAAATACATACACAATACAATCGGGACACCCTTCACCTAGACATGAATGCACAAAATGAAGGGGTAGGGGCTGAGCATTCGGGGGTGTATTACTATAGGACTGAGCCCAACTCACTGAAAGGAATACTTCAACATTTTTGCTTTATCTGTCTGAAGTTCAAAAATCGACCTTCCAACACCACCGAAGCTCACTCATTAACATGTTGTATCTAGGGGTGCACCATAATATCAGCACATCATCTGTATTAGCCAATATGTTTTTTCTTATTTTGCACAATGAATAAATATTACATACATTGAAAAGTACTTTATTTCATGTTTCCATCTGTTGATGGGCCATCATGATAAGAGTATGCATGCATAATATGATGTTAATACTACTACAGGAGAGACTTGCCGATTACTAAATTTAAGTGGGGAAAAAGGTGGATACTGGTATCACTAATAGGTCAAATTAGTTGTTACATATAATATACATTATTATTATATACATACAATATCGACATATCAGATATTGGCAAAGAAATCCAATATCGTGCATTCCTAGTTGTATCATGTTGTGTTAGGTGTTGAAAGTGTCATCCATTCCCTCAGTACTTTAAAACTGTGTCTCTGGTCATAGTGTGGGTTACCAGGTACTGTTGGTGATCACAGACTTTGGTTTTAATCTCTGTACAGGCACAAACTTGATAACCTCACTGTGATGACAAGACTTGAGAAAGCTATAGAGATTAAGCCACAGAGATATAACATGCTGATCTATGAGTTTCAGAGGTGTACTTTGGATATTCCATTAGCCCTTCCTGGCTGCATCTTCCAAGGCTACACTGAATCGCTTACTATTAAAGATCCAGTGTGTAAGATTTATGGGGATTTAGTGGCATCTAGCAGTGAGGAGTGCAGACTGCAACCAGCTGAAACTTCTACCTGTTAGAATTCCTTAAGTGTTCTTTATTCAGGAGGTTTCTACCAGGAGCGGAATTATCCTAAGAGGTCACCTCCTCTCCAAAACAAATGGACCTGGGGTCTTATTTATAACATTGTGTATGCACAAAATGCGGCCTGAAAGAGGCCTTCCCACACAAAAGTTGTGACGTATAAAAACAGACTTCATGGGAGGAACTTGGAGAGAGATGCAAAATTGGCAATGCAGTTGTTGAGGTGGAAGCCTGTTTGAAAAAACTGTTGAATATTTTTGGTGCACGTCATTTGGGCTTTTGTCTGTACATATATTTTTAGTATGGATCGTACACATTGTTTTACAAATGAGACCCCTGGTGATTTAAACCAGTAAAAACACTGAATGAAGAAGTTTAACATTAATTCCTTTTTGGTAGGAGGTTCATAAAGTTTTGCAAAAAGTATTCCAGGTGGACATTCAGTGTAAACTAGAAACCCTATACCTAGGCACCCTGCCTTTGGACAATATTACCTCTCATGAGAGGTATTGATTTTGGATCCTAAGTGCAGCCAACAGGAAAGCCATTTCTAGAAAGTGGCTAAAACCAGCAACACCTACAGATGATGACTGGATTGGTATTATATATGACATCTTTAGGATGGCAATGATTATTTTTTCTATTAGATTGCAAGAGGACACGTTTTTGAAAATATGGGAAAGTTGGATGGTGTATATTACGCCTGCATGTTTTTCATTTGTTTAAGGTGAATTTCTGTCCCATTAAATGAGTTTCTTGTCCTTGTCTGTAAAGTGATTAGAGTAGCATGAAGACACAACCCAACACTCTATGTTACAGTAATACCTGTATTTACATTGACTTTATTGGTCCATTTCGGACTTATCTTCTGCTATAACTGTGTCTTACAGATGGCTTGGAAAGATAGGGCTATCAAGTCCTATGAGTATGATTTAGTTGTCTGTTTGGACCTTGAAATACCCCCCCAAAAAGTGTCACATTACAAATCAGTTTTTTTCTGATGCTGCTTGTTGCAGATGGGCTTCTAACTATGATGGCTGACACATAAACACAAATGGCCCTATCTAGAACCAGTGTTTGGATTCTCTTCTTTGCTACTATATAAACATGGCTGTGCAACATGGCTATCTCCGTGGATGTGGACATGTTCCCAATGTAGATATAAACAGCTTATTCTAAGGTAACAAAAACACAATCATTCTCATTTCAGGTAATTATACAATAAAGAAAACACACTTGTTATATTGTATTCAAATTCTGCAATCAGGCACTCCAAAAATATAGAAAACAAGGAAGAAGTTTAAAAAAAAAAACCTTTACTGTAGTGGCTAAATCATTACAAGAGCCAACATGTTTCGACCACTGCAGGTCTTCATCAGGGCTTAAAAACATACAAGGAACCAATAGGAGGCCATCACATGACCCAGATAATGACATGCCAGGTGGAACAACAGAGGAAAAATCACAAAAAACATATCTATATCCTCATTAAGACCAGGATACTTTAAAGGATCCAGTTGATGAATCCAAAAAGATTCCCTTTGATTGATTCTCTTCTCTCTCCTCTCTGTAGTCTTCACCATTCTTCTCACAGCCTATGTGGAAAAATGTGTGTGTGTGTGTGTGTGTGTGTGTGTATATCTTTATCTATTTTTTTTCTGCGTGACTCATCTCATGTTACTCTGTTTTTTTATTAACTTGTTATTTTCATTATTTTCTATTCGTTTCACCTGGCATGCCATTATTTGGGACATGTGATGGCATCTTATTGGTTCCAGCTATTATATTGGCAGGGCCATACCTTTGTTGTATGTTTTTAAAACCCTGATGGCAAGTGGGCTCAATAGCATCCCCAAACACACGGCAGGGTTGGGATGAAATTCCACGAATGTTGACGAAATTTGATCGAATCATTTCTGTCATCTTCAAGAGCATATAAACATTTTTTTGAATTGGATTTGTTTTAATTTTAATTTACTTTGAGGACTTGCACAAAAACTCACAAAACTGTACCACTATTATTATTATTACCCCTTTTTTTACCTATTTACCTATGTATTTATTCATTTATTTATTTTACTCTCTATCCTCCTCCTCCTGTCACATACCTGCACATTCCTCTGGTTACCGTTATTCATATATAAATATATGATACACTTAGACAACACACTTGCATACATACACACACACTTACAATGCTCCCACTAAAAAAACAAAAAAAATCTGTACCACGTTCTGTTTCATGTCTTATATTGATGTCTGTTTATTTTTTAACCTCTGGCCTAATTTGTCACCCATGTGTACTATGTCACACTTAAAAAAAAGAGAGAGAGAGAAAAGAAAAAAGCCTATCAACTTGTGCACGTGACGCACACAGCCTCACCGATCTCTCTTGCCATGGCCAGGCCCTGCGGGTAGGTGATGGGGGAAAGCTTCTTGTCTCGCAGCCTCTCAATGGTGTCCTTGTCATCTCGCAGATCCAGCTTGGTGCCCACCAGGATGATGGGTGTGTTGGGGCAGTGGTGTCTCACCTCAGGGTACCACTAGGGCACCACACACACAAACACACGTGTACATTTGCAAATGGACAAAGTCAGTGAGAGAGGAGAAAAAGAATAGTTAGCAGATACAGAAACAGAGCGACGAGCACCTTTCCACTGTGACATTCAACAGACTCTGTGAGTTGTGGAGCTAGAGGAGTTGTTTTTTGATAGATCTGTCTGAATGGAAGCATAGTTGTATGAACACAAAACATCCTCAGGCACAGCATCCTCCAATCACATGATGCGATGAGAGAATCCCATCAGACCAGGAGCATACAGACTCTACAGAGGGAGGCTGGACCTTCAGGGATGTGTGATTTCATATGAGAGCGTCTCATGACGCTCAGCAGACCAAACCACAGCTGGCCGCCACGCTCCCTCTGCAGAGTGTTCACTTGTTCAGACCTTGCCTTACAACAAGTCTCTGTACTACATCCCCTGGAGGAATGAGTGCAAGTCCAGACGGTTCTAAACCAAGGTCTGAACAGGTGGGGCAGCGGTGTGAGAAGCCAGGTGGAGCCATAGATGTGCCTCCTTATGGTCAGACTCGGCATGGAGGGGGACAAAGGGAGGGGGGGGCTGGTGGTCAGTCAGCGTACTGACCTTAGCTCGGACGTTCTCAAAGGAGGCCGGACTGACCAGGGAGAAGCATATCAAGAACACATCCTGGGAGAGAACCAGAGAGATGGCTAGTTGAGAGCGAGATCTGTGTGTGTGTGTGTGTGTGTGTGTGTGTGTTTTGTCTATTTTTAAAGACACTAACACTTCTGTATTGGACTTTTCTCTATGAAATTCTTTGTTAACTCACACAGAGGCTAGTTGCTGCCTTTAATACAAAAAATATCTGCTCAACTTCCTGAATGAATAGCTTTTTTTTTTTTTTTTGGTAATACCACAAAACTTACAGGATTGCCTTGTGTCAATTATACTTTGATCAAAAATTTAAACACTTTTGTTTTTTGTTCCCATTTTTCACAGGTTTAAATAAAAGATCTAAGCCACAGTAGATAGAATTCTCTCAACTTATGTTCATAAATTTATTAAAATCCATGTTAGTGAGCACTTCTCCTTTTCCGAGATAATCCATCCACCTGACAGGTGTGGCATATCAAGATGCTGATGAAACAGCATCATTACACAGTACACAGTTGTGCCTTGGGATGGTCACAATAAAAGGCCTTAAATGCACAGTTTAATCGCACAACACAGTGACACAGATGCTGCAAGTTTTGAGGGAGCATGTCATTGGTTTTTTGACTTCAGGAATGTCCACCAAAGACGTTGTCTGTGAACCGAATGTTCATTTGCAACTGTGTTGTTGATGTTTTTCTGTGTATTTATGGAGAAATATATGTTTTTCATAGTTAACATGTTTATTTTACAGCCTAATTGGCCTATGTGATCTAACAATATAGGAATTATGCTCTGTAATTTGAGGTATATTGTATTATTTTTGTGAAATGTCATTCCATGTCATTATTTGTTTCTTTGTTTCTTTAACATCATAGTCATAAAGATTATTTTACAGTAATAAGGGTGACTCTTGACCCTCGAGAAAAGAGTGGAGCATGCACAATATAATTCTTAAACTACTGTATAAAGACCTCACATGATTATTTACATGTCCACTACATTTATTTTTATTTTTCTCATCAATCTATACAGGACATACATTAGCAAGTGCATTTTGTCAGTTCAGTCAGTTGCCAACTGTTTCACCTGAGAGTTAGTAGCTGTACATATTTAGAAAGAGCCAATCTCTGAGTAATAACTAGTTTGTTTTGTGCAGCACATCATTACTTAATGATGTGTAAATCTTCAAACAGCTGGTGTACAATCTAAAGCTTGAACCTACACACCCACCCCGCTTTAGAGGTGAGCATGTAAGTGTGTGTGCATGTGTGTGTGTGTGTGTGGGTGTGTGTGTGTGTGTTTGGGAGGAATGGGTTTGAGTACCGTCTGTGGGTAAGACAGTGGTCTGAGCCTATCGTAGTCCTCCTGTCCTGCTGTATCCCAAAGGCCCAGATTCACTGGTTTCCCATCCACCATCACATTGGCAGAGTAGTTATCGAAGCTGCAGGAAGGCGAATACTACACTGAGTAAAATGCAGTTAACAGAGAGTGCATATGTTACTGATTTTGTTGCATTTAAATGGTTTGAAGAGAGCCATAGGAAACATTGGGATGCTGTTCCAAAAGTAAGAAAAACTCATTGTATATCACAATGACAGCCAGGCATCAAGCATATCCTTGCCTGATTAAGCTTTTATGCAGTTTACTCCATATATCTATATTCAGAGATGATGACAGTTTTTTAAAGACTCTTTATGTTTTATACTTCATTATCATACTAATAATTGTTTGTTGGTTTTACTTGACGATGACGTTGATGATATAACTTGCTATTGATTGCCACCAGGAGGTGTTATATATTTATCACTAGCAGTTCAACGTTTTGAGAAATATACTTATGATGATGATTTATTGTTGAAACATGGAAGAAAGAAATCGGTATCAAAAGTTCAAATTTAACAAAATAAACAAAAGCAAAATAACTGTATTTTACCAAAATGTCAAACTAATCCCTCAAGGTACTAGTATTGACACTGGTATTTAACATAAAGATCACTTGTGGTCAAAACATCTTTGATACAATAAAGCATTGGAGCTTATCCATTGCAATATTAACATTTCTTACATAATTTCTTTGAATACTGACTGATCAATTACAACCTTTTACGGTCTGTTATTTCTGAAGAGCATATCATATCTATGAATAACAGACCGCTGCTATGGACGCAGTTCTAATCATAGATCCTTGGCAAAAGCAATAAAATCATTTCTAAATCAATAATATCATTATATATATTAATAGTGTCAAATTATTTATTCCTTTAGTATGTAGCCGTGTAATAAGTGGGATGATTCAAGACCCCTCTACTTCTGGGGTCCTGCATCACCCTGTCATGGTTCATTTTGCAACAATGACCCATTTGCTGCACATCATCCCCCACATATTGACCCTTTCATTGGTATTCTGTTGCTAGGGCAACAATCTTGGTCCCTGTTCACTTCCTGTCAGCTACCAAGGAAACTATAAAAGAAGGAAGGGTCATTACGTCATTGACAGTGTTCACATTTCGCACTGGAGTCAGAGATTGGTGTCATTTCTACTGAAGTTAATGGGGCTGGCTTGGCAAGTCCCACTGTAACCCATCATATCTGTTCTGTTTCACCATTGATTCACAAATGCTTCCACCAAATAAAAAACACATATTCTGTGATGTTGACTGACATTTTCTATCTAAATGTGTATGTTCATTTTACTTGTTATTGGTCTCCAAACAGATCATGGCTCTGTCTGATCAGCTGCATCTAACATTAGCTCACCCAAATCCGTTTGGTCCAATACAACATGATACAAGACCAGACAGGGCAGGTCCGACCTATTATCACTGACCAGACAAAAATTAACCACATCCCAAGTCGTCACTGTGTAACACGTACATACAACATTTATTGATTATCAGTATATATACAACAACATTAAGGGACTTTATATAATTAGGAGGTGATGATAATCACTAAATTATAATAAATCTCTTACTGATACTTGTTACTTAGTTTGTCAGTGAACTAAGTTGCACTTTGTTTAGCTAACGTTAGCCAGCAATATCTCTGTTGAGATGCCCTACATTAATTTAGGGATAAAACCATTAACGTCAGTCAGAAATAATAAGGTGTAAAAGAAACAGACAGGGAGCTGTGGTGTTGGTGAGTAATAGCAAATGTTACAGCCTCTCTAGTTTAATCGCTGTCAGGATGTGTGTGCTAGCTAATATAGGCTTGATGACTAGCAGAGGCAAACTGTAAGGCGTTAGCATTGTGGTTAGTCAGATAAAAGGTCAAACCTGCCCAGTTTGGCCATGTATCATGATCTGTCAGACTTAGAGTTGAGATATATGCAGCTGATGGACACAGCCATGATTTGTTTGACAACCAATAACAAGGGAAACAAATGCGCACATTTAGGGCCGTAATATACTTGCTGCTTGATCGAATGTACATGTACACAATGCGCCGTGCGTTGTGTATGCAGCACTATGCAGCCAAAATGCACAATACTGGTGGTCACCACTTGGGCAGACAACAGAAATATAACCCGGAAATCGTGAAGAATCTCATGAGAAGAAGAAGAAGAAGAAGAAGAAGAAGAAGGGTCTGGTCTGATCATCCGGTCGGGTCACTGTGTGCATTCGCACCAGTGCCTCTAGCGGTTATACAAATATTGCATCTCGCGCACACGTTGCGGTACCTCGCATTGAGATGTGCGTTCGCAGATCACACGTGGCAGCCATGATGCAGTCGCATTTGCGTTGTTTGCAGCAAGTATATTATGGCCCTTAGATAAAAAGTCTGGCATGCTGTCACTGACATAATGACAATTCCTTCTATCATGGGTTTCTTGTCAGCTACTGCATTAACAAATGTTCCAACAGCAAATATAAAGAGACCCATTTAGAATGTTTAAATACAGTGCTCCAGGATGACGGTTTTCCATAGGCAGAAGATAGTGTCACCCTGGTTCCCTCGTCAAAAAGCCTCTGGGATTTTTCAATTAGATGTTGGATTATTGCAGAAAATAAGCATTTCATAAGACACATAATGGTTTCAAATTTCACAGTGGGGTACTTAATGACATATTTTATGTCGTAGAACAAAACATGAAAGTCTCTTAAGCTTGTGTTAAACACAGACCTTAATTTCAGGCATCTAACCAAAAACCCATTCAAAAACCCCACTGACTTTAAGACAAGGACACCAGGAGTGCTAAAACGCTAACTCATTTCCATGTTTTAGGACTTATTCCTGCAGCACTCTATTGTCAAGTCTGAAAACGTCTATAACATGGTGTTGTTCATTTTCTGGTAAACCAACTGAGAAACTGGTTGTATACATAGTCTAACAAAAGAAATCTTCAATCTACATGCTAGCTTTTACAGAGCTTTCAGTCGCAACTCATGGTCTTCATCAGCAAATGTTTGCTAAATAAACGTCGACTCAGTTGTCATGTATGGAACTTTGGGTAGTTGGTAAAATGTGGTCTGGTCATTTATATTACACATGTTAGGACATGGTTCATACTTACAAGTGAGCCATTTTTATGACAACTTTGCTGATAACAATGGTTTAAGTACAGTTGAAATTCCTGGAAATAGCTAGTAAGTTAACACTGAGTCAAAACTGTTTTTGTTTTGTTTTGTCAAATTACTTTTTCTACGGTCAGGAACAAGGAAGGGCTGGTTTTGGGCTAATCCAGCAAATTAAATACATGACAAACCACAGTGTTGATACACAAATCTTATTAAAAACAATATTAACATAAATCAGTGTTGGTCATTGATTTACAATATTACCTACTATGGTTTAATACATCCAGAGATGTTAAGTTGATAGCTACCAGAGTATAAACACAATTAATGTCACAGCAACCGACCCTAAATCACAGTATGGCCCTGTAACATGAAACCACTGCGCACATCAAGTAAGTTTAAGCGCATGTGCAGTGTGTGGTTTACTCACACAGTGGGGATGTATTCACCAGGGAAGGCATTGGTGGTGTAGCTAATCAGCAGACAGGTCTTACCCACAGCCCTGAGGAGAGGGGACAACAGAGGACACATGAATACAGACGTACAATACAGTTCCACTGACTCATATAAACAAAAACTAATTCTGTGTAGACTGTATCTTAGTGTGTATGCAAGCCTGTATGTGTATGCATGAGTGTAAAGGCAGGCTGCTACTCCCTTCTACTGTGCCACACAGACACTGGCCTACATTCATGTTGCCTGGGGACACAGTAGCCCCCTATGATAACCCCCAACCCCCCACCCCCACCCCACCCACCCCCCACACACACACACACACACACACACACTCACTCACTCACTCACTTACATGCACAACCTACCTCTCCTGCACTCATACAGTACACATAACAGCCCCTCCCCTTCTTCAGTGTACTGCACTGACACAAGGCGTAGGATGCCCCACAGATTGGTGGTGGCATGGAATGGGTATTGGCTGTGTACTCATGCATGAAAAAATGAGTAATTTTGTGTGCATGTCTCCATAGACACAGCAAATGGTGGTAACACACAGTGCCAATATGTGTGACGGTGCCATGAGACTGATTTGAGGTCAGTGAGTTTCTTTGGTTGACATGGAGAGCAGGACAGAGACAAATAGATGACAAGAAAATAACAAGAGAGGAGACAGAAGTACAGCAAGACATGTTAATGTCTTAATTTCTTCAGAAAGTAGTACTCTACTGATCAAGCATTACAGTTCCATTAAATTGGAGGACTAGTGAGAGACAGAGTAAAAAAAGAATGGACCACAGATACAGAGATATCCTGAGCTGCAGTCCCAATAGTGGGTCAAGCTCCCAAAACACTGGAGCCTACACTTCCCACAATGCAACTTGATATTGTCTATTCTTGCAAGTATGATCAGAGAACACACTGTAAATTTCAAAGGTGGTGCAAAGTCTCTGGCTAATACCTTATTTCCACATACCTCTGTGTGTATCATAGATTTATAATAAAACTTAAATATGGGATGCCAAAATTTCTCACCCAGCGCATACGCCAAAAACGTTTCTAGCTTCAGAGTTGACTTCTGTGTTGACCCTCTAAATATGCACAGTAGTGTTTTTCCATCTGGGGACCATAATTTGCATCAGGTACTTTGAAAAATTCGACCCTTTTGCGACAGATGTTCTGCACTTTGCCACAGGAAGTTTACATCAACTAACTGATAAATGTAATACAGCTTGATTTATACTTTTTCTAGGTGAAAAGTTCAACAGCACATTAAGCTAGCTAATACTGATAGCATGCTAACTGTATAACATATAGAGTGCGTGCATGGCATTTATGTCTTTTAACAAAATATTTCACAAAACTGGCTATACACCTGACAGGCCACCCTCCTCACTTATTTGCCACCATTATTTGTCTTTGACAATAGGGTGGCAAAAACAGCCAAAAACTAACTTTTCTGCAAATTTTGCAGTAGTGTTTTTATCCATCCATAAAGAGATGCAGTTCATTGTGTTGAACATTATGGGGTGTACTACGTATACTATACAGAAGTATGGACACAAAACAAAACTGTGTAGAAACAAGGCATAAAAGCTCTGATTCAGTTTTTTTTCTTTTAAAGATCTTTCACCATAAAAACATGGCAATCTGATGCTGTAACAATGCTATAGGTTTATGGCCATCAGTTTGAATTATTTCAACATTATTTTTGAGAAATCATATTTTGTCCATCAGTTTCTCACAGTGGTTGGCTCTCCTTACTACAATTTCCATGATGATCCTTTATTGCTGTATGGAGAAGGCACAAATCTGGCACTATGAAAAACCCTTTGCTGTTGCAAGTGATCAAAACACTGCCTATTAGTTGTCCTTTAGCAGGGAACCAAAAATGAATGTTAAATTACTCTGTAATTTGATGCTTCTTACTGAAAAGCACCTTGGGAGTCCAGGTTAATTTCTCTACGCATGTTTTGCTGTCCACTGGCTTGTATCTTTGACTTATTAAAGAACCAAATATTTTCTAATACAGTTGTTCATCGTTGGCACTGATAATTCAGACAGGAAGGTGTAATGTCCATCAAAGACTTTAAGTCTTCAAATGGTCAACTAACACTGTCAGATAAAGAAATGAGTGTGGCTTTTACTTCAAGAACCCTGAACACACATAATTAATCCTTCAGTTCACAACTATGTTACATACAGTATAAAATCTATTTAAAGAGCACATGCAAACTGAAGCAAAGAAGTTTTACATAGTAACTTGGGCAGTATCAAGGTATTACGATGTACAAGGGTATTCAGAATTTAAAAATCCCAAAGGTATGATTTTCAATATCATCAAAAATACAGATACTCCTCTTTCTATGATACTGATATGGAGATGCTGTATTGACGCAACGTAGCATGCGCCACCAGAGGTCAGTCTACTGGTGGAACAGGTAGCTGAGCTGAGAAAGATGAAGACTGCAAGTGGTAGGGATAATGTTACAAGACTAAGAAAGAAAAATGCCTCTGCCACTGTTTGGAAGTACTACCACATATAAGTTTATCTTGAGATGACTTCCTCCAACTACAAAAGCAGTTTTTTAGCCACATAATTTAATTCAACGTATCATTCATCAGTATCCGCCACGGCAACAAGTGTCATCTGGAGGACCTGATGACACTTGTTGCCGTGGCGGCAAGTGTCTTCTGGAGGACGACACTTGCCGCCACGGCAACAAGTGTCATCAGGTCCTCCAGAAAAAAGGGCGCTTATTTCCTTTCTATTCATTATTCGCTACGCCATGAATATTTAAACCCAGGAAGACTTAGAAACACAACATTGTAGGCTAGACAACGACATTCTACAATACTTAAGCAGCTCAACTTTTACTTTTTATTGTTTGTTTTTACACAAATACCATCATTTACCATAAAACCTGATGAAATGTCAGAAGGCTTTAGAGGTATGAAAAAGCAGATACTGAACAAGCCTAGTACACAGTGTGAGTTAAAAATGTTTTAGCTTGAGTATAAATTCACACATATCTCAAGGCATCATATACCCACTCCATGGATGTATGGAGAGAAGAGCAAAAGTGGAGAGACTGGAGGAAAAGAACAGCAAGAACTGGAGTTTGTGAGACTAGTCAGTCCGAGCTGTTACACAAACACACACACAGATGGTCTCAACATACATTGTCAATGCCTACTTTACTCGCAAACTACAGCTAATGCCTGTGCAGCTGGTACATAGGCCTTTCTAACAGCAGTCATTTTGACTTGTCATGGTAGGAAAAGCATATGGAACGCAGAGGGGCTCCAAATGTTGATTGCGACGACGTTCGTATTAATTAGTCAAACTTCTAAACATCTTAACAAGTAAAAATATAACAGCTTAACGCGTAAAATGCGAGATAAGACAACAGAAAATGCCATGTTAACAGGTACATTTTTGACGTCTTAAGACATTTAATTTTGGATGAAACCATTTCACCAATTTCAGAGGGGAAACTGATGAAATAGTGTTTGGTATACACTGTATTTACTAAGTGTCCACTAGATGACAGAATTAAATTAGATTACAGACACTAGAGTACATTGGGCATAGTGTTAGAAATCAATTCTGAATGTGTTATTGATTTGCCTTCATTCTTTCATATCATATTAAATAAATGCCTAAAGTTATTTGTTTCACTACTACAAATATTAATGATATTACTAAGGTCTGCTGCTGAATTCTGCGTCATGTTTCACTTGGTAGAACTCTAATAACTTTAATAAGTCAGCAGTGATAAAAATGTGTAAACTGTCATTAAGGCAGACAAGCATAGCGTTAGCTGGTTTATTCACTTTACATGGAGCTAAAATTAAAACAGAGTTATGTAAATTGTTTGCCTCATGTGTTGAGGCTGTCTGTTTCTGAGTTATAAGAAATCATAAATCATCTTTTAGGAGTAGATGTTTACCATAAGCTAGCTTGTGCTCTGTTAAATTTAACAATATGCTAATGGGGCAAGGGAAGCTAATTGCTAACTTGCTTGGTTAAAAAGGAAAACAACAAATGCTTTGAGATGGCTGTCAGAGATGACAGAGGTATGATTACGTTATTCCGTCTGAGGTGAAACAGGTGGTATGTTCCACATGTTTTATTTCCTAATTGCTCTGGAAAAGAGGATTAGCATACCGTTAGCATACCAGTCTGTACCGTTAATATAGTAAAACTCCGGTTCTCTTCTGGTTCAGTGTCAGAGGCCGTGCCTTTAATTCACGCAAGGTATCATTGGGGCTAGGAGTAAGGTGGATACAAAGCTCAGTTTTCCTAAGTAAAACATCATGTTTGTGTTTCAGAATTTTTTTTAATATGATTAATACTGGATGAAAACACATTTGGGCTGTAGTATGTTATAGCCACAGTTGCTTAAAGTTGCTTCCAGAGGCCATTCGCTGTCCTCAATGAGTTCATGACAGAATTTACACAAAATGGACAAGTCCCAAATACTAAATTGAAGTTGCGTAGAAGACAGGTGATATATATGTAGCCAAAACTTACCCACTAACAGAAGCCTATATTGGCCATCGCTACATCAAAAAGGGGTGGGTATGTTGACGCTAACCAATGGCACGGAAGCCTTAATGTTCTAAACGTTCTAAGATGTCAGCAATGTACTTGTTAACAGGGCATTTTCTGTGAAGACATTTTACTTTTACCTGTTAAAGCTATAGTGCTTAACTTCTACAGGTCCGTAAATGTCCGTTTCACCCAAGACACTACTAGAGGAGATGACATAATGCTGATTAAGCCGATCTGCTCCTCTAACATCTCGTGGTATTTTTCAACATATATCATTCTTAGTATGCGTGTCGACCGGTGACATTCCCGCACTGGCACACAGGAAATGCTTCCTCACAACAAGAAGGGAGGGGGAGGAAGAGCAGAGAGTGTCATAGCAAGAGGTAGAGCGCAGGTAGAAAGAGAAAGCAACATGGCGGAGAAGCGGCCGAGACACGGTTCAGAAGTGGATCCTACCACAAAGGCAAGTGTTACTCTGTGTACGGTGTGTGGCGACTGGCGAGTGTTACTCTGTGTACATGGTGTGTGGCGAGTGTTACTCTGTGTACATGGTGTGTGGCGAGTGTTACTCTGTGTACATGGAAGTGCCGCCGGCTTATTAGTTGTAATAACGCATTATCCACTGGGAGGCGACAGAAGTTACGCACTATAGCTTTAAGACAAACAAATTTGACTTATCAATACAAACATCAAAACAAATGTTAAGAGCTCTTTCCTGTTTCATAACAGTATGAACAATAGCAGAACACAGTTTAGCCAACATTCATTTTATTTCCACCTTTGGTTCTCAAACTAATTTCAGTAATGCACCCCCTTTGAAATATGTTTCCTGCCAAGTACCCCTGACCAGCGCAAATTAGTTTTGGTAGAAATACACAGTGAATAAATACCAGTGTGTCTGCGTTTGTTGCAACAGTTTACGATTTATGGCAGTCAACAACTGCATTGAAAACAGGAATACTGCATGTAAAATGTGGTGAATTGAACTTATATTTACATTTTTTATTCAACTTATTATAGTGTAATTATTTAAAGAATTACGCATGACTGATATTTTTTTAATTAATATTTACCGTAAAACCTCAGTTAAAAGCCTAGTCCCAATTAAACACCCAATCCCTTATACTAGCCCGGTGTGGCTACACATTTTGACAAATAAGTATCTGTCATAATTAGACACTTGGTCTCGTTGCCAAGCAGTTAATTTTTTTTATGGCTACCTTTGGACCATAAGGATCCTCAGATCAAAAGAATCAAATGGTTTTTTTAAAAAATAAATATTCATCCAAGCTTTGAGTATTGTTTTAACAGGATAAAGTGGTGTTTTGTTGGTATGCCAGGTGCCTTAACATTCTCTCTCTTTCTGCTGCACTATTGTTGGAGCTAGATCAAATGAATGACTCATAATAGCAGTAATATTCATGCTGGTTTAACTAAACAATTTAATTATATTTCCCATCTTTGCTGAGCAACAGTTTTATGTTAAAGGAATTAAAGGCCTGTCCCAAATATAGGCCTGCTGATTTCAGTGATTTAAGCAAATAGCTAATAGCCTGGGCTATTAATTGAGGTTTTACAGTAAACAAAATCCCCCCTGCAGTACAAGGCTACCATACAAGGTGCCATCTACTAGTCAGTGACCATCAACACACTCACACCGATGGAGCAGCCATCAGTGGCAATTTGGGGTTCGGTACCTTGCCCAATGATATTCATGCTGATACGAGGAGCCAGGGATTGAACCCCCAATCGATGGACGACCTGCTCTGCCTCTGAGCCACAGCCGGCCCCTTTAGACCCTAGACCCTCCCTGCCTGGTAAACTCCTGTCTTTCCCAGTTTGTAATGCAGGTTTTTTGTTATAAATTTATAGTTTCCAAGCCCAAGCTGAGAAATGACATCATCAGGGTTGTTTACTGAGGCTCTCTCCAGAGCCAGCTCCCTATGCAGAATAACTGAGCTTGATATCTCAAATCAGAGAATGCTCCTTTAAATTATTAGTGCCATTCTCTGATTCCCAACTGCACAAATGCTAATTCTGCACATATTATCTGCCACATACAGAATCCATCTGTTCTGCTTCAAAGGAGGATTAAGGTCACAAACTTTTTTTATTTAAGTTTGGAGATAAATCCTAGGATTCTGAGAAAAATCTCTGAGGAAAGGTAAAAATTCTGAAAGAGCAGCTTTGTAAAAATTCAGTTCAAAGTCAGCTTGGTTTAGTTTCAGCATTCTGACTTTAAGCATAAGAAATATGACTTCTGTCTCAGGCCTTTTCTTAATTTTCCTAAGAATAGACACTAATGGCTCATTTTTTCATGGCCTAAATCTATACCTAGCAATGATATCAAGATTTTAAAAGAGAAGTGAAGCCACAGATATCAGTCCACATGAGGCTAAATGTGATATGGGTGCAGAAAGAAAGGCACAGTGTGAGCAGAATTAGGGCAGCGGGGCCTATTTGCCACTGACAGGGCCACAAATTCCTTAGCGTGCATCAGCACTTCAGCCTGCCTCCAGTGGCCTACGAGGCGTGTAGGTGTTCCCGCATCCGTTCCCACCGTCACAATGAACCCGACACCACAGTACGATCAAACCGAATAAAATCACAAAGCAGATCACTGAGGATATGTACTCAGCATCAGGGAGCAGGGTACAGAAAACCAAGGCGACCGACAGATCGGTGAGCCCCAGCCCCTTTTCCTAACGTTACATAGCATCCTCCCATCATCCATCCATCCGTGGACGCTTCACCGTATCACACAGGAGAAAATGTGCTGGTGTTGAGTGTGTGGAAGCATGCTCTTACCCGTCGCCCACCACCACACATTTGATCGCTTGCATTTGTACAGGAGCTGGAGGCTTTCAGGGAGCCGGCGCTGTAGGTTTTATAGATCCGACAGTCTGCACTGAGGTCTCGGATGAGAGCAGCGGGCCAGTCCGCTCGGCGATGGAGCCGCAGTGAAAGGGGTCGGTGACGAGCAGTGCCGAGCAACTCCGGAAAGTACCGAGTAATTTTAAAGAGACAGAGCACGGAAGAGAGGAATCCAAGCAGAGGAAGAGAGGATTCTCGCCCTCTACTTCCGCCTTTGCTTCTGTAACTTAGCACCGCTTAGCACACTACAACTAGCCCATTACTACTACTACTAGCCTACTACTACAACTAGTAGTAGTAGTAGTAGTAGTAGTAGTAGCCTATTAATACTATTGGCTACTATCACCACACACTGAATGCACTCAATGTCTGTTGTCTGTTGCCAGTGTCTCGGCAATGTTATAGAATATAAGTCATGCTGCTAATGATGAAAATTACTGTAATGCCTGGCTGAAATACATTGCTATTAGAAGGCCAATTTGCCAGGAAAGGAGAAAGAAATAGTAAAATAGTAGCCTCCAGAATGGGCTAGGAGTAAAACAGTTATGGTAAGGAACTGTTGTTGGTTGTTGTTTTTTACCCTCCCCAAAGATATAAAAATTTTTCCTTGAACCTCCCTGAGTGTATAGCAGAAGTCTTGGAGTTGAAAAAATCCTCAGTTTTTCACTCTTGTCGTGCATGCTGGTTAGTTCATGCAAACAGTTTATTTTTGGCCAAATTTTAATGAGAATTTACATAAAGTGATTGTGATAAAATATCACTATGTCAAGCTCAGATGTTTTTTTTTTCTTACCATTTGTCGCACATGATGTGTCCAAGGAAATTTAGAAATTCAATGATAATTCTGTTTTTACAGTTTTTGGCTACAATGAATAGTGTAATTTTGGTAATTTTCAAAGAACACAGGCATGTTTTAAGATTGGCGGTAAAATAAAAACAAAATACATCAGTTTCCCTTAAGCTGACATAAAAAACATAGGTCCCTCCCCAGTGCTTAAAAATTTTTTGACATACCTCCTCCCTTTTGCACCACCCCCTAACCACTCATAAGTAACGAACAGTCCCTTAATATCATTAACTGTTTGAAAGTTGTATATTTATTGTTAATCAATAAATGCTGCATGTACGTGCTACACAGTGACGACCTGTGATCTGAAAATACGACCACCCATCTAACCACTATCAATCTGTGAAAATAAAATGTTCACATCTGGAACGCATGTGGTCATTGCAACCATCAGTATTTAAAAACTAGCGCTTACAAGTAACATTCAAATAACATTCATTTTGATCCTTTATCATCATCTGTATTATGTTCTCATTTTAAGACCAGTACACCTGTTTAATAATGTCATGCCCCCATTAGGCCCATTGATGCTGAAGGTTCCTCCATACTGACTTTCACAGGGTTCAAATATGTGTGAACTATCTTGACACTTAGGATCTTTGGCAGTATTTTCAAGATCCAGTGACCTCATACATCCCCACCCCATCAACACACAATGCTGAATACTGTAATGATATTGCTTAAATAGAATAATAGACAAATTCATATCAACTGCTAAATCATCCACACATTACGAAAAATTGTGGGACATTTATTTCAGAAATGACTTTTTAATTGATACAAAAAGCACAATCAAGAACAGAGCAAACTGGTAAAAACACCTGAAAATATAAAATGATAAATATCCATGACATATCTGAAACAGTATCAAGATATAAAACAGCAATTTCTATATAAAAGACTGCATCCAGAGCTTAATTTGGACTGAATTTGTAAAAACAGCAGAGATTATTTGGTGAGTCAGTTTTCTGCTCTCTGTGTCTGAGCTGGAGAGAGGCAGCCATCTGGTTTGACAGATACAAATATTAAGGCATATTTGAATAAAAATTTCATTTTGCATGTAAACACCAATAATGCTAGAATGGGCTGGACAGCAAAACAGATACAAGTGATGACAGTTTAATTAGTGCACAGGACATCTCAATTAGAGTGGGGGGCTAAAGACATGAGAGTGGAGATTCTTCTGCAGTGATCCAAGGTTGTGTGATGCATTAAGACAGGGCTGTGGTCACAGCAAATTAAATGTCCTTTCAACAGCAGTTCAGTCTCATACCAAGTCAAATATTTTTTAAATGGTAATTTCAGTATTTTTTTTAACTTGGACTCTATTTTCCCATGTTTTTGTGTCCAAGTCACTAATGGGAACAACAAGTTTTGAAAGTGGTCCAGTATCAAGTGAAAGCGCTGCAGCTGTTAATAATAAAAACAGGCAGCCATAGAATCCTTTGGGGAGTTTTGCACTCCATCAATTTATGTCCACTAAAAGTACTTGTTTTTGCCACTGACAGGCTCAGATTATTATTTTTAGTGTCTGACAACATTATTGATAGGATCCCTTCAGAGAAAGACTTTTTGTGAAAGAGAAAGATCCTTTTTGTTTAACCAGAAATAGCCCAGAGGTCGTCATTGCCAAACCCACCAGACTCCATTTGAATAAGCAGTAATCTAACGTGTATAGAGCCAGCATATTGTCACTTCTAACTGAGTGAATTCAGGGTTTATTTTACCAAACCAGAGCTGGTGATTGTTGGAACAGTGGAAGGATGAACCAAAATGGCTTTATTTGGCCTCTGTTGATTTTGAATGAAGTGAGTTTAAGGGGCCATACACATGCCGTGTCTTTAACCACCTGGAAAACGTGAAGTCGGGTGCTATGTGCAACTCATGTTCCTTTCTGTGCCAGCTTTCAAGGGCATGGAGACAGGTTGCATTTGAAGCTGCTAAGCAACCATAACAAGCACCGTATCATAGCCTATATACATGAAATCCTAAGTTCAGGCACTGTTTTTAAAGTGTGCAGGCCTAAAATATTGTCTGTGGGACTGACATAAAGCTCTGGGTATTCCTACACTAAAATGATCAATTTCCTCTCCATATTTACCACAGACTGATATTTATGGAAGTAGGGAAAGATATCTGTTGGCTGTGAGTGGTTGTTCCTCGTTACATGACGTGCACGCTGCCGCGTTCCAAAAGTTGAACCCTGGTTATCTCAAAGTGGGCCATCACACCCTGAAAAAAAGGCACTCGGGAACGTGTGCGCGTTGCTCTGGCATCCCTCTGGCTTTTGAGTGCGCCTGCCACACGTCTACACTGAAAACAATGGATATGAGGGCACAAAAATATGTGCAGCCCCTTACAATAACAAAATTACTGTTTATTGAAATAGAGTCTGGTGGAACTGGCGATAGAGATTTCAGAACTATTTGCGGATATACAAATATGATCTTACTCTTTATAAAAAGGTCTGTCTCTGTAGGCATCCTTTCCATAATGTTGTCAGACACTTAAAATAACCATCTGAGCATGTCAGTGAAAAAAACAAGCGCTTTTAGTGGACATAAATTGACTGTGCCAAATGCCCTGAGTGGTTACATTGCAGCCTGTGTCACTGCTGCTGGCTGCAGAGCTCACACTCAACACTGGTCGAATTTTAGAAATTGTGGTCTCCATCAGTCACTTAGACACAAAAACATGGGAAAATAGAGTCCAGGTTAAAAAATATTTAAGTCACCCTTTAAGATAAGACAGGCCATTATGAAAATACAATAGCACTTCTTACACTTGGAGACATTTTGAGGCGCTGAGCAAGAAGAGCTTAGTTCCCTGATTGTGTTTTTACCCTTAGAGTACTGTGTTGCTACTTCATCTAAGACGGAAGAAATAATATACATCTCAAAATAATACCGACTTTGGACCATCACTCTATGAACGAGTAACTTAAAACTGACACTTGACATTTTGAATAGATAAACATATTTTTTCAATACCTAGTAATAATCTCATCTAGCTGGCAAACATTTGGTTAAAAACAAACAAAACAAATAACAGGTAGATATCCAGCACAGTGGTAGCAACCCCAGTGGCTTTGGTGTTCATTACTTTATTAGAAGTGGGTGTAAAAATGTGAATTGTGCCTTGTGGGTGGAGATAGACGAAAGAGTCGTTCATCTCAAGAGCATTCACGTGTTGAATTTATCTAAAGATTAAAAAAAGCATAAAAATATATCTTGCATGTAATATTTGTCATCTGGGGACCATGGATATCCAGCAAATGTCACAGATGTTTTTTTTAAGTCTTTTTAAGCCCTTCATTTGTTAAATGGATCTGCACATTGTGTTAGGTAGGATTACAGCTCACAGTCATATTGGCCAGCACAGATGATCTCCCCTTACGCTCCTGATTTGCTGTCTTTTCCAAATGTTTCAAGTCCAGACAATCATGATTCTTTTTTTATTCCTCAGACTGTCCTTACCTGTTAAGAAACTAGGGCTCAGATGTTACAGCTGAGGGGTTGAGGTCTCTGGGTCATTTTTTGGGGCTACTGTAGTGTCCCAGAGGTGAGCCCTGAACGTAGGTGAGGATGGCGCTCTGCAGGTAGCTGGCTCTGTTGGCTTCGTCTTCCCTCATCCTCTGGATCTCCGCCTCCTTCAGCCGCAGCTTCTCCAGCATGGAAGACATCTCACTCTCTTTGTCGAGGAGCACCTCCCTGTGGTTACTGCTAAGTACTGCAGGACAGCAGGCCACAGAGGGAGACAGGTATGAAAGACAGCGCTACAGAAAATATTTCATATTTCAAACATGATGCATTTTGACTTGGTTACAAGTGAAAACATTATATTCTGAACAAATCAGTAAAGTTGTAAAGTACTGTAAAAGTAGTTGTAAGTAGTAAACTTGTACAGTTCAAATACTGGTTGACCTGGGTAATACCTCTTTGTTTCAAGTGAGTTATTCTTACACATGTAAAAACTAGTTGGTCTATTTCTTGCATTAGGGCACATCATGCTACTGGTATCACTATGTTTCTTAAATAAAATACATTTGAAATTTAATAAATGACACAAACAAAAACATACAGGAAACTATGTGACTTGTTGAAATGTTCTTGCTTTTGCAATAGGAAAGTAAATAGGCAGGTGAAGTGATAAGAAAATAGTGAAAAAGAAGGGTGCACCTTTAATCTCTCTCTCCAGAGCACTGATCTTCTCTTTGAGTCCTCCCTGTGCTGTTCTCTCTGCCTGTAAATGTCCGATCTGCTCCTGCAGCTCCACCCTAACCCTGCTTATTTCAGCCACCTTCTCCTGGTCCTTAGCCGACAGCTCCTGCAACAACACAAGATCTATTCAACACCCAAATTATCTTGATGACAACAAACAGACATCCTTCATATATTACTTCTGGAGGCTCATCAGACGGACAAGGCCACTGTACAGCAGCTATGAGTATCTGTTTGGGTTTATCCTGCACACATGCATTGAGTAAGAGATGGTGTACACTTCAGACAGTTAGAGGTCTATCATAAGAGTTGCAAGATAGAAGGACTAACTTTGGGTGTCCAGCATCTGTCAGCAAATAATAAATAAAAGATAAAAAAAAAGTAACTAGAGACCATCCTGCAATGGGATCACTCCAGCTGTGATACAGCAACCTGCAACTTAAAACAAATGTCGGCCAGAGAGTTTCCCTAGACCTTATTGTGAGCAGTTTCATGCAGTGATGCAGTTGGCAGGTGTAGTTTGGTAGGAAGAATATAGTTCCAACATGAAACTGCTCACAACAAGGTCTGTGGATCATCTTGAGTAACCAGGTCATGATTTCTGGAAAGAGACATTGCTGTTAAGTTTTTCAAATCTGTTTATTTGGCACTTTGAGCAACACAAGCCGAGTGCCACCTAGTTCCATTATACTGGGGAGAGTGCAGACATTTCTACAGCCAATATCTCCAGCACTCTGCAACTCACACCAAAACAATCTAGACTGATAAACAGCACTACAGGTTAATTCTGGGGTGAAGTGTCCCTAAACTAAAGTGAGTGTCTTAATGCTGTGAGAGGAAACCCACACAGACACATGCAAACTGCACACATACAGAGCCCAGCTGGCTCGATTGGCTTCCAGCCACATATAATCCAATGTTTTCACAATCCTGCATTGATGTCAGAATAAATTTGGTAAGAATCACATGTCTGACAATGTGACTAAGTGCTCACAACAGATTTTTTTATAGTGATTTACACATCATTTATATGATAAACCACTATTTATTTCATAAAGTGTGTCTATGGTGTGAACACAGCCATCACGTATAGAATATAACAATGCCTACACATAGTGAACCTAAACTGTTGTAGGTGTAGGAGGCAGCTGATGAGTCCTGACCTGCTGGAGTTCCTCCGTCCTACGCCTCATTCCGTTGATCTCGATGCTCTGCTGGCTGTTCTTGGCCTGCAGCTCAGAGATGGTTTGTTTCTGCTGGGAGCAATGGAACTGGACCTCCTGTAGGCAGGTACGCACAGAGCGAAGCTTCTCCTCCAAGGATGACACGTGCTCCTGCTGCTCACAGGAAATAAAGGTGGACGTAAGGAAGATGGAGAAACAGAAAATATTTCACCGGGATAATCCACCCAATATCAATACTGGTCTCCGGGGACTCCCAGAGAGTCATTAAAACAATGATCTATGAGGGAGGGCAGGAAAAGCACGCTGTTAGGCAATGTCTGAAATACCTACAATTTAATTTTAATTGTCAGATTCCTTGAGTGTTCATTGGTCAGGAGGTTTTTAACAGGAGCTGAATTACCCACAGAGGTCTCCTCCTTTCCAAAGGGACGAGGTGACCGGTTAAACAGGTTAAACCAGTCAAAACTCAGAATAAGGCAGTTTCATATTGAATACCAGTGTTTCTCTGACACTATTCAGCATGGCAGAGGCTGGAGTCAAGCTGCCACTAACATCTGCTCAGCTTGTTTCTGTGATAACTTAAGATCCAGAGGTCAGATGACTAAAATCCTTCATCTGATAAAAATAGAAAATGATTAAGCTCTAAAAGGTGTATCATAAAAGTGTGGCTTAAACTGGATAAGGCCCCAACGCAAAAATGATCAAATTCCTTTCCAAACAAAAAATATTTTTTTGTTGCTAGGCAACTACCCCATTAACTCCTTACCCTAACTTTCCTGTGTAATCAATCTACCGTTTATTTATTCATTTTTATTTATTTCATAGTAATTAGTATCAAGTACCCAAAATGGACAGGCAGAGGGTAATTGCTGTAATCCAACAAAAATGCCAGGCGCCTAGAGCGCAGAAACACGAGGCTCATAGCAATGCAAAAACAGTGAGCAAAAAGCTTCATTCCTATTAAAAAATTTTACAAAAAGCTGCCTCCAGCTGCTAAAACATTTTCTGTGTGATCGGGACCTACAAAGTCAATTCATGTCAGCTCTTGGCAGAAAACCACAACCCTGACGCATGTGCAAAGAGGCTATGATGTCACTGATAGGTAACAGTGACTCAACGACACAGACCGCGTCCTTGATTAAAATGACAGATTTCAGAGTTTGAACATTGTTGACCAGTTTGGGATAATGTAAGTACACAACTCAACAAAATATATAATATTGGTGAGACTGTTTTTAGACATTTTTATGCAGAACATTTAAATATGATATCTTCAAGCTCTGAGGCTAACAAATCTTTTATAAAACCTTTAGTCTCTTCTCATTCTTTTTTATTAGCAAAGAGCGATGAAAAACATAGGTAGCTGATTTTTCATTGTAAGCAGACTGCTGCAGGTAACGATTACTAAAATTTGCCGATGACATCAGCTGAAGCTAATTTATGCTAATTTAGTAATAGAAAAACTGAAACATATGTCTGATTGATGTGCTTGTATTCACACAAAAATGATTTGTATGTGAAAAGACACATCACCGTATGACTGCCAGTGCAGTGTCTTTGTAGCTCAACAAGGTGGTGCCTCTTCTCCAGGAAGATGATCAGCTGACCTCACGTCAGTTGAAGAATCTTACAGTTAAACTTTGAATACTATCAGATCAACATTTGAATCTCTTCAGCTTCATAGTTTTGAAACAGGAGTTTCAGTATTTGGAGACAGTGGTTGGTTACATTTAATCAACATTTCACATATATCATAGATAACCAAAATAGGTATCTTTGGGTCAAACTAAAATGTTGAAAGGTCAGGGATTTGAAAGGATTTGAGCTTGGTAAAATGCAATGGAGCCCTGTCCCTACCTGTACCACTATTGATGATTAGATTGTACCTTATTTGCAGGCCCATTCAGAATCTGTGCCCGCAGAACTCAAATTTTCCACAGATTTTTAGGAATATAGATGCTCAAACTCAGAATGTTGTCACTGTCTCCTCCAGCTCCTTGTGCATGTGTGTGACAACTGCATGTTGTATTCAGTTAGCCTTAAAATCAGTTAGTGGTGTAGTGAAAAGAAAAGTCAAAAATAAGATTTACTGTTAACAGATTGTTAATAGATTAATTAATTTTGTCTCTGCTCCATCCTGAACCTTCCTTCATTTAAATGGCCATGTGTGCCACATTTTGTTGGTTGACTTTTCCAACAATTTTTTTTTTTTTTTTTAGTATTCATGATTTAAAAAATTTCTGATTTAAAGTAAATATCTACTACGTAGTTCTTTTAGCCTTCTTAAGGTGATTTTAGGTTTTAATGTATCGTGTGAGGTTATTTTTGTTCAAAAACAACTGTTATCATAAACAAATATTGAAGTTAAAAAAAAAAAAAAAAAAAAAAACATGCCACAGAATTCTGCAGATTTCCATGTTGGATCACCTCTAAAACAATTGAAAAATCAGCAGATTCCGTTTGGGCCTGGTTATTTGTATGTTGCTTTGGACAAAATGTATGATAAATGTGAAGATAACTGTAGTAACATCTTAATAACCGATCATAATGTGTTGATTTTAAACCCACCTCCTCCTGACGCACTTGAGCTCGCACTCTTCCCATCTCCTCCTCTGCCTGGGCCCTCTCTGTCACACACGCTGCTTTGGCTTTACTCAGCTCCTACAGCAGATGGACATTATAATAGGACATTAGAGAAGAGCATAGGTAGACTGGAAATTTCTGCAGTGCTTCTCACACTGTGCTGAAGGCGTCTCTAAAGATTCAAACCTACATGGGGGATTTATTTCACTGAATTTCTCTCTGTAGAAATGACCCAAAAATTCAGGGCTACTGTGTTGGTTCACAGCACAGTGTGAACATGTTCATTTTACCTTGTCCACCAACAGTACCTCTCCACCTACAGTGCAGACAGTTATATCATTCAACTCTCCAGCACTAAGGTCTTCCCATGTTCTACATTCACCCCCAGCTTGACCCGAGAAGTGGGAAATTCCCTGCCTGGGAAGAGAAGCTGCCTTGTAGATTTGAATAACTGAACTGCCTGGAAAATACAGTTATGGAAAGTAATAATTCCCCCCCTTCAATAAATACAGCCTCCATTCTGTCTTTGGCAATAAACCTCAGCTGCCTTTAGTAAATTTATGTAAAGGTGGAATTTACGCAGTGTGTGGGTTTCCTGATTTTCCTGGAATTGGTTTACAGTTTAGTGTCTGATTTCATCCACTGATAGCACCACCGCAACACGAGACAGATGTGCCATAAACTATCAGGACGCATCATTATAAATCCCACAGTGACGGTGTTTGCATTCTTTTATTCACTGTGATGGAGAGTGGTGATTGTAGTCAGCAGGTTTGTCTTTGTTAGATGAGTGTTAACTGAAAAGTAGCAGATTACAATCTTTCGTCTACTCCCTGAACATTGCTTTCACTATCAACAGTCTCCAATGGCATCCGAAACATGTAAGAAAAAGCACCAGTCACAGTTCTTGGTGTCTCCATGTGGTATCTCTGTAGCTGTAGTCCTGACATGTAGTTACATTTTTGAGGAAACACATCTGTTACAGCAGCTACTGTAGCCATGTGCATTGCCTCTGCTGCTACACTATAAAATCCTCATCATCCTCCTCTGCAATCCAACTCACATCACCATCTGCGTGCTTGACTACCATGGGTTCTTGAGTCTTCAACTGTTCTGCCCCTCAACTTTGGAACTTTCTCCCTCATGACACCCGCAATATTGACTCCCTTTTCACTTTAAAATCCAATCTGAAAACACATCTTTTCAAACTGGCATATTCTGTCTGAAGTAATGGTGACACACATATTGCAACTTGCACTGATGATGACTTTATGATGATGATTTTATACCTGATTATTATAATTATGATTTTTGTCTAGTTATTTTTATTAATTTATTATACATTACTGAATAGTCTGACTTTATGATATATGGATATTCATTCATTCATTCATTCATTCATCTTCTAACTGCTTCATCCTCTTGAGGGTCGCGGGGGGGCTGGAGTCTATCCCAGCTGACATCGGGCGAGAGGCAGGGTACACCCTGGACAGGTCGCCAGACTATCGCAGGGCTGACATATAGAGACAAACAACCATTCACGCTCACATTCACACCTACGGACAATTTAGAGTCATCAATTAACCTAGTCCCCAATCTGCATGTTTTTGGACTGTGGGAGGAAGCCGGAGTGCCCGGAGAGAACCCACGCTGACACGGGGAGAACATGCAAACTCCGCACAGAAGGGCTCCCACACCCGGGATCGAACTAGCAACCCTCTTGCTGTGAGGCAACAGTGCTAACCACCACACCACCATGCCGCCCATATATGGATATATTGCTGCTTTTTTAAAACTATGAATTGTAAGGTGTCCTTGAGTGCTTTGAAAGGCACATATAAATAAAATGCATAAATTTTATTATTATTATTATCAAAAAATAACTTTTTTCTGAAACTGTCATGATATCCACGCAGAAGTACATATGACAGATAAAAAATCAGGCCCCTCCTCTTCCTCTCAGTGCTTTTAATGGCATTTGCAAGAATCCACTACATGTGAACAAAAAGAGATTGACAAGCTTAGAGACTCCTCTGCTCTGACTAGTTGTTTCCTTCAGCCATGGCAGATTCTAGCAAATGCTTTTAGAAAGACTACAAAAAGGAGGGACATGATTTTTTTACACAGATTATCTGTCTTTTATACTACTGTGTGGATATAGTGATAGTTTCAGCAAATTTGACAAAAAGTCTTGTTTTTTTTTTTTTTTTAATAGTTTTATTGAGCCAAAGATGGAATTACATATGTCATGCTTCAGCATCAGTGCTTGTTTCATTTTACAAAAAAGAGTTTTTAAAAGATGAGTTCACAGATGCAGGAGAACTTAGTCTTGGTACAAGACTACCTTAACCCCTTCTATTACCCTATCCCTTACCCTTGTCTCACTCATTAACTTGTACTCAAAATGGGATACTGTAGAAGATTTGGTAACAACCCAGGAACTGTACTTTGTGCAAAGTGTGATATGAGAATTTGCCAGATTGTGATATACTTTGAGAGTGTGCCCTTTAAGATGTGTCTTATACTTTCCAAATGTAGTGTACTGGTCAGATCACATAGCCACATATTGTAGGTTGGAACTAGTGTTCCTTGCTGTAATGATACAGTAGGGGTGGACTTTTTGTTGGGCAGTACAGAGTTGTCTCAATGCTTCAGGTACACCCAGAATGGTTAATACAGGTTCTGGTTCTAGTGAAATATTAATAATTTCTGAGATGCTGTTACAGACATCGGACCAAAAAGATGCAACCTTAGGGCACAGGACAAAGCTATGAGTAAGGGTTGCTTCAGAAGAATGGCATTTATAGCAAATAAGGGGACATGTTTGTATATATACAGGGGCATGCAAAATTTTGGGCACCCCTGGTCAAAATTTCATTTACTGTGAGTAGTTAAGTAAGTAGAAGATGAACTGATCTCCAAAAGGCATGAAGTTAAAGATAAAACATGCTTTTCAATATTTTAAGCAAGGTAACTATACTATTTTTGTTTTGTACAATTTTAGAGTAAAAAAAAAGGAAAGGAGCACCATGCAAAAGTTTGGGCACTTCAATACATTTGAGCTCTCACACAACTTTAACCAGGGTCGCAGACCATAATCACCTTGTTAGGACTATAGCTTGTTCACAGTCATTGTTAGGAAAGACTAGGTGATGCAAGTTTCAGAGCTTTATAAATACTGTGACTCCTGAAACCTTGTCCCAACAATCAGCAACCATGGGCTCCTCTAAACAGCTGCCTAGCACTAAAGTATCTGATGCCCACAAAGCAGGAGAAGACTATAAGAAGATAGCAAAGTGTTTTCAGGTAGCTGTTTCCTCAGTTTGTAATGTAATTAAGAAATGGCAGTTGACAGGAACTGTGAAGGTCAAGTTGAGGTCAGGAAGACCAAGAAAACTTTCTGAGAGAGCTGCTCGTAGGATTGTTAGAAAGGCAAAGCAAAACCCCTGTTTGACTGCAAACGACCTGCAGGAAGATTTAGCAGACTCTGGAGCGGTGGTGCACTGTTCTACTGTGCAGTGACACCTGAACAAATGTGACTTTCATGGAAGAGTCATCAGAAGAAATTAACTCTTTACAGTCATCTGATATTTCAATGCCTATTTCTTTTTCCTAACTGGCTTGATAACTTTCAGAAGATGGAGAGGCTAATGATAGCAGGGTGTCATAAAGGTAGGAGATGAACGGTAGGCTTAAGACCGAAGTGGGATTTGATCTGCTTCCATATACATAGTAAGTTAGGACAAAAAGTTTGTAAGTTAAGCTTCTAAGTTAGTCTGTTATTAGCAGTTACTTTGTTGACTGAGTGTATGTGTTACATTAATTGTGTCTTTATTTTTTTTAAACATGGGTGCTCTGAACTCTGACCTCCTCCAGTTGTATCCGCTGTCCCTCCAGCTTGAAGATGCGCTCCTGCAGAGCCCTCTCACTCTCTTCTAGATGTCGATTAACATGCTCCACCTGTAATGACATTGAACTTTTAGTATTCTATCCTGGTCTATCTAGTATACATCTATTAGAGTCCTGAGTTTTAGTAAAACCTTCAGAAAAGTGAAGTAAACAAGGAATCTCCAAGGTAACTAAATCTGCCTGCCAGTACATCTTAAGCTTACTGACAACAGGTTACATCTGGTTTGTGTTATCCATACAAATGTTGAAGTGTAAAATAATATATGTTGTTGTTTAACAGGAGGCTATGTTCAGATACATTCTGCTGGTTGTCTGGCAACCAAACGGTGACAAAAAGACTTCAGACTTCCTGCAGTAGAGTGTCAAATAATTCCTTTGAACTTGCAATAACTGATTTACTGGCCACTTGGGGGCAAATGGACAAAAGTTGTGAACACAACATAGACATATAAGCATAATTTAAAAGAGAACTCCAGTGATCTAGCATTACACTCATATGATAATGTCAGACTACACTGAAAACCCTAATTAAACAGCTCACACTCAAAACTTTTAGTTTAGTACAATACAGTAACATAAAAGTTTTCAGTTCACCAGAAACAAAATTAATGTGTCACATGACCCATGTCTGACAGGAATTTTATATCAGTTTAAGATAACTTTTTTGTTGTTATTTGAACATTTAATTCTATGTCATATGAACATAAAAACAATGAGTTCACATTTTACAAGATTTTTTTTAATATCACTGAACTATAAAAATATGTTGTGGTGAGCTTAGGTTTCTTGAGTGCTAGAATAAGGCAAATAGATGAATTCTGAACCAGGAAGTGCTCTTTATTTCACCTCAGCATAACATTATGTTAGACATGCTAATATCCACACAGGCAGGAGGCCACTAACTGTGTATATGACTTGACACATGGTGCAAAATGTCTTTTACCACAACATTAACTGTAACCCACCAAAACCATAGTGAAATGGTAATGAGTAACATGAGTAATTTAGAATACATTTAAACACTTTTCTTCAGTTTATGGCCTTAAACACGTGGGTCTCATTCATGAAACGTGAGCAGAAGGAATTTGTGTGTAAACTGTTCGCAGACGGAAATTTACGTGCGTGTCCGCATTCATCAATATTTTAGTAGCTCCGATCTTTTCGTAGCTACTAACAAAATCTACTCCTGCTCCTGACCACTCGTAGTGCTTGTGTAAATGTAGTAAAGCACATAAATACTGCTTGTCACTATTGGAAATTACAATTTTAATTCGTATTGCGCTCTGTTATGTACACAATACACAGATGCCTTTGAAACACGTAATCTAAACATGACAAAATATTAAAAATATAACACATTTAGTTAAATTAGTTGGCAATTAGCAGGTTTAAGATCCAGATTAGGTTCATGATTGTGAATTATCTATGTAAATAGACTCAATAGATTACACGTTCTTTCTACATGTTGAATGATGATAATAAAAATATCCGTAAGGACAGCCAGATCACAGCCTCTTTGGCCTTCGGCCGTTCCCACTTCATTCAAAACCCCACAAATGAATCTTCTGTTTGTTTGGTGACCGCTGTATTTTTTGTGTGTGCTTATAGGCCATAAGGTGAACGCAGTTATCGTTTCATCTCGTTACGACATCTGGGGACTACACGATCTTTACTTCATAAAAAAGATCGATACATGTTCAGCTAATCAGCGGGAGTTCATAGCTCATAACCCCGCAAGAGTCCTGTGATCGGGGTCGTAATTCAGTACTTGTTCCGTCTGAGCATAATGATCTGTTCCGCCTGAGCGTTATTCGCTGGGTGGGTGGTGAAGTGGCGCACATGACTCGTGCTACGGATGGACGGACGGACGGACAGACAGACAGCCACGTATCTTAAACAGGTAATACATCTGACTACATCTTTCCCACATCAAATATCCGTGATCACCTACACCCGCGTGCGTAAAAGCGCACACAATTCCGTGTCCTCTCACCGCGGATGCTGTGATTTGATGGCCTGGTACTCATTGTAGCCCACTCTTAGATGTCGGAGCGGAAATCAGTTTCTGTGAGACTTTTTTCTGATTCACCTTACGGCCTAATATGCGTTTCTTTGCCTCCAGTTTCATATCAAACCATTTACACTTCACCTCTGACATGGTTCTTTGTACCATGGAGACAACATTAACAGCATCTGTTAGCTCCCTTCAGGCCTTCGCTTTGCCTGTCCCTGTCACACCACTACTAACTGAAGAAAATAAAATGTTTTTTCTTAAGTCCACTTCACCCAAAATTATTTCGATCTCCGCTTCGGAAAAATTCTTTTTTCTTTCTCTGTCTTTCTTTCTTTACGCCATGACTGACAGGTCGACTGGATGCACCTACACCTCCTTATATGGTGGTCATTGGCTATTCATGGGCGGGGATTTATGCTAATTGCTGATTACCGGGAGCGTCACTTTACGATGGATTGGCATTCATGATCATACACACGTGTTTACTATCAAATCTGAGCTTCCCGCAGCGTTCCTGAATCCAGAGTAGGTTTTTAGTAGAGTAGGCTTTTATGTGCAAATCTACACACAGATTTACTCACTTTTCATGAATGAGACCCATTGGACGCATTCACACTGGCACTATTTTGTCCGCTTTAAACGAACCCTGGTCCGCTTCCACGGATAGTTCGGTTCGTTTGGAGTGGTGTGAATGCTCATTCGAACTCTGGTGCGGACCAAACGACCAAACCCTGGTCCGCTTGAAAACTGGGGGTCTCGGTTCACTTGCAAGTGAACCCTGGTGCGGTTCACTTACAGTGGGAAATGCAAATGGACTATCCAGCGAACCAAAGAGAGTAAGTGAACCAAAGAGAGGATGTGGCATAGAGCAGTGCATTTTGGGTAAAAAAAAAAAAAAAAGCCAACCAAATGAAGGTGTGAAATTTTTCAGCATTCCCAGCCCAATCCAATCAAGTCCCCCTGGACTATCTTGGTGTGAATGCGCCCATTGTCTCACAGCATGCTGGGAAACTCCACCCATTTAACCCCAATATGCCACAACATGTGAAGAGCACAATGATAGTGTTGTCTATTGGCCTTTAACTAATTAGGTGAAATCAGCTTTTAAATTTTAGTCAAATAAACTATAAAATTGTTGACTTAACATAAAAAAATATGTCAAGCTCACAAGGGTTGAGTTTTTGTGTCAAGTGAACACAAAGTTTTTTGTCATTCTGACAATCCAGGGCATTTGTATAGACTCAACATTAAAATTGTGTGTCATGGATAGATTGGGTTTACAGTGTTTGAGGAAGAAAATGGATGCAGCAGAACCAGGGGTATCGTCTTTTTTTATTCCATGCATTCTTCTTCAAAGATTCCTCTGAGCAACAGTTAAATAAGAATAGAAGAAATTACCGGTCAAAGCTCAGCATCATATATATGTGCAGATGTAAATAAGAACAGGTTCCAGTGTCAGTGTTGACTGCTCAATAATGCCTATAAAAGAATTAACAGACAACATGTCGCTTTGGCAAACCTGTTCTTCAGACTTCACAATAGGTTAAGCTAGGCTTTATACTATTCAAACTGGAATGGGGGGTATCAGCTGAACATTCTATGGAATGATAAATGAAAGTAAACCTATTCAATCTAACCACTGAGTAGTGCAGTATGTATGTGTGTGTATATTGTGTATGGAAGAAAGTTCCTGAGATCACCTCCTTCAGGCGGAGACTGTCCATGTCCTGCAGAGCCTGCTTGGACCTTCGCTTCTCTATTTCCAGACGGTCTGTCAGAAGGGGACATACAGAAAATCTCTACTGGGTTTTATGTTTTAAAAAAGACATTCTCTTTGGGTATCTGTAATTAAGAATGTTTGTGTGTGTGTGTGTGTTCTTTGAGTGTGTGTCACCTTCAGCCTGTGCTAGCTGCAGCTTGAGCTCTGCCGTGCTGTTGGTCAGCTCCTGCTTCAGCTCAAAGATCTGCTGCTGCTGAGACTTACACCTGCGCTCCATCTCCTCCAACTGACACATACACAACAGTTAGGTTCATCTAACAGCCCTCATAATGCAGCATTGGTCTGTGTGTGTTGCTTAGCATTGGCATATACATTTTTTGTGCTAATGCTCAGACATAAATTAACACTTATCTGAGCAAGCATTATTCTTACTTTAGTCACAAGTTGGCTGTTGGTTTCTGTCAGGTTTTGGATCTCTCGGAGGAGTCTGCCCTCTCTGTGTGCGCTTTCCTAAAGAAAACATACACATGAGGTACATTCATTTTCGAACAGCAATTTGTCAGAAAGTCTATTTTTATTTAATAATGGGATTTTTATTAATAACACTTTTGTTTCACTGCTTATCCTATCCTGACTTAAGTTAAGGAAAAATCCTAATATATATATATATCCTATTATATATACAGTACAGGCCAAAAGTTTGGACACACCTTCTCATTCAATGCGTTTTCTTTATTTTCATGACTATTTACATTGTAGATTCTCACTGAAGGCATCAAAACTATGAATGAACACATGTGGAGTTATGTACTTAACAAAAAAAGGTGAAATAACTGAAAACATGTTTTATATTCTAGTTTCTTCAAAATAGCCACCCTTTGCTCTGATTACTGCTTTGCACACTCTTGGCATTCTCTCCATGAGCTTCAAGAGGTAGTCACCTGAAATGGTTT